TCTTCCAGGATGAACTACAACAAGCCCGGTCCCTTTCAGGACCAGGCTTATATTCTCGGCAGCGTGTCTGGCTCCGCCCTTGGCCACGTCCACCTTCTAGAATCCTCGGGAAGGATGTGGGTCCCAATCACGTGACCACCCCTAGCCCCCACTTGGGGCCCCTTTGTAGACTTAACTGGTCACGTGTCCTCCCGGGTCAACCAGAGTGCCATGGCCTCGAGTAACCTCATCCTTCGGCCGGCACTCACACACCCTGTCCTGTAGGGTTGGCACTGCACGCAAAGCGTGGTGACATTTCGCGCTATCAACACTCACCGGGCCCCTCTAGGGCTGGTACTACACCCACACCATCGTGGTATCCGTGATGTCGTTACACCGCACGCCGTGCCTCTCTAAGGCCGGCACTGCACGTTGACATCCCGCGATGTCACTACACATGAGAGACGGAGAGAGTTAGAGAGAGCGGGAGAGGGCTGTGATTGAGAGAGTGTGTGTGAGAGAGTTGATTTAAAATGAAGTATGTGGCTGTAAGGAGGTGATAGGCTATACGGGGGATCTTGCACCGTGGTTCTTCATGTGTGGTAAGCGTTCAGTTAAATGTTATCTTATTGTAAAGTTATACAGTAATTTGTATTTCTCGTGTAAAAAAAATGTTGTTCAAGAATGCGACATTTTGGATCTGTAACGTTCCACAGCTTTCAACATGGGAGGGGGTCAATGGGGGAAAACGGTGATCGTTTAACGAGTGTTCGTTTACCGAGCACATTTCGAGGAACGTATCTCGCTCGTTAAGCGAGACGACACGCCTGTACGGAACTCATCGGTTGACTCCTGATCTGGAGCAGTGGCGACTGTGTGTGCATGGGGAATTGGTGCGACGCCCCACCGACACATTACCTTTAAAAAATATAAATGTTAAAATAAATCAACTGTTACATATAAAAAAAAATAATTCCAACAGTGTGAAAAATATATTTAATGTTATGTTATTTGGTCATTTTAAATCCGTTCTGCAGAATCAATTCAAAATCAATAACTCCACGTGTGTGTGAGGCGGGGTCTCGCTGAGGGGCGGCCTCTCATTGGCCGATTCAGCCCCCCCCCCCACCGTAGAGGGGCGGGGTAAGGGGCTGGGTCCCTCTTACAGCCAATCACAAGCTTATATTTGCACACGGCCCTGCCCCCATTCGCGGGTGAGGGGTGGGGATTGGGCGCAGTCTCCCAAACGAACGTGCAAGCGAGGCCTCGGCAAGGTAAGGTAAAAGGTAAAAACAACGAGCCTACCTTTACCTTACCTTTTACCTTACCACAATACAATCACTCTACCCTACCTTTTACCCTTCAGCAGGTAAGGTTAAAGGTAAAAGGTTAAAAGCAACGAGCCTACCTTTACCCGACCTTTTACCCTTACCCCATGCAAATTACCCGATTACAGGGTAATTACTGGGGTACTACACATGAAAAGGGTTTATAACAGGTAAATGCTAGGTAGAGCGCTTTAATCATATAGAATACTTTCGATGATTCCAATTTTACACGCTTGCTTTTAACTCACTCTGTTGTCGTTGTCATTGTTGTATCTTCAAATCTTGTAACTCAATTTTAACCCACTTCCCAATGTGGTATTGACTGCGAACTTGGTATACTTATGTCATACTGATGACAATACTATATTCTATCATTACAAATAAAGTAAAAATATTTTTAAATATTCTTTTTTATGTTATGTTTCGGCTTGGGTCTAATTGTCCTCTGTCAACTGACGTTGGCTGTGATTGGCCACGGTCCCTTACGTTATGGCAAGCTTCGGGGTCACTTTCTGGAGTCGTGGAGTTCTGCCATTACTCGCACATTTCATTAAAGCGTGTTTTTAAAAGTTAAAAAAATATATATATTACTTATTAAATGGAGGCCACGGACTGTGCCACGGAGCTTTTAGCGGTAAACAAGGCACCGTATTTAGCGGGTAATACTTCACGCTACCTTTACCCTACCGGGTAATTCTTCTGCACTACCTTTACCCTACTACCCTTTACCTTACCCCTTGGCATGTCGACACCTTTACCCTTTTACCCGGTAAAAAAGGTAAATTACCTTACCTTGCCGAGGCCTAGTGCAAGCGGATCCCGTTTCTAGTTAATTAGTTAAGAGTTTTTATTTAAAGCTTTTGACTGCAGGGATTCATATTCTTGGTTCTTTTGGTAAAGTCATGTAGAAGGGAAACAATAAAATAATAAATATATAAAACAATAATTTTTTTACGACGTTTCGACTGCAACATAAGCAATCATCATCAGGTGTGAAAACCACAGCAAGAAAATTTGAAAAAAGTGGAGGTTTTTTTTAACGTTAGCACCACGGTGAGCGATTTGGCAGTTATTCAGATGGACGAGTCCATCTATGTTCGGAAAAGAGGAGGGGGGAGACGAAAATAATGGATGCGGTCTGAAAGCCACCGTAAGCGTGAACAATCAATTAAGACCCGAAATGGTTTATCAAATCCTTCCAATGATTGCTAAGCCAGAATCCATCTTTTCGGTTGAAATTGTCTATGTGTTTGTATATGTGGATAGCCTCATGAACGAATCTGTCATGGTAGCCAGATGGCTTGCAAAGAACATCTGTCTTGGAGAAGTCAATGTCATGTGAGCCTACTTAATTATAACAGTGATCTGCCACGGCCGAGGTGTTGGTCCTACCGTGTTTAAGGTCTGCTTTGTGTTCACGAATGCGGTCCAAGACATGTCGTTTAGTTTCTCCAATGTAACTACTACCACGGAGGCAACTTAGTTTGTAGACGCCAGGGTACTGTATGTCTGGAATCACATCTTTTACAGATGGAACCAGATCACGGATTTTATGTAATGTGTTGAATCAGACCTGGATCTTGTGTTATTATTTTATTGTTTCCTTTCTACGTGACTTTAGCGAAAGAACCAAGAATATCTTAACTCCTGTTTTGTTGCCAGAAGAAAGGGGAAAACCTATTCTCATATAAAGCTCTTGTTCACACATGTCCAGTAGAGACAGATCAGAACGTTACAACAACAATGCAAAAATACGATGGGAGTGTAAAGTATAGGAAAGGTAAAAAATATAACTTAAACAATGTATGCAATCAGAATATTTATTTATACTGGAGGAATCCGATGAGGTTTAAAGCGCTTAAATTTGAGTGCTCACATTGTAAATGTTGTGGGTTTACTCTCCAACACACCTATGTGAAGTCAGGGGCGGAGCCAGGGGGGGTGACAGGGGTGACATTCTGCGTGTAAGTGCACGACACTCGGTCTGGAGGACTCCGTGCAACTGCATTGTCAGAGTGTGTCGCCAACCGATGGCGTCTAGTTCAACAGCCTGACTCTCTAATCATTCTTGATATTAAAATTTGTTGAATGTCACCCCGGCCTGAAATCCTGGCTCCGCCCCTGTGTGAAGTAGTAACTAATTGGCACATTTTGTTCACGTGACAAACTTTACTAATTGGCTGTGTCGGGTGGTGTTCGGGTTTAACGACATTTACGCGCTCTAACCCAAAAACGTCTTTATTATTAATAATATTGGTCACGAAAGCCTACGTGTTATGAAGCTCTTGTCACAGATGTCCAGTATGGGCAGGTAAAAACGATACAACAACAAAGAATACAAAAACATGAGAGGAGTGCAGAGTACAGGAAAGTTAAACAAATAACTTCGAAAAATATATAAGCAAATAAAACGAAACTCTTTTGCTATCTCACCAGTTAAAGCCCACTGAGGTATTATCTTCTTTTTCAGAAGCGATCTGGACAAAGCGGCTTATCGTCACGTGGAAATTAATGGCAGCAAAATAATCTAAATGCGAGTCTAGGGCAAATATCTCAGTGCTGAAAATGTACCTGCACAAACTACTCAGTCGGGATCACACGTTACACACAGCAGCTGCAGCAGCATCGACACCTACTGCTCAAACTTGGCAAGACCCTTCTCAAAAGAAGATTACGTATTGAGACTCGGTGAGGTTTTTTTTTTATACCAGATCAGGCCCACTGAGCTGTTATAGCTCTTTCTCAGAAGCGACCTCACAAAAAATGATAGCTCAACGAAGTTGATTATCACGTGGAAATTTACAGCAGCCGCAGCAGCATCGCCACCTGCTGTGAAAACTTGGCAAGACCCTTCTCAAAAGAATATTACGTATTCAGACTCAGTGAGGTTTATACCAGATCAGGCCCACTGAGCTATATAGCTCTTTTTCAGAAGCGACCTGGCCACAAAATGATCGCTCAACTAAGTGGATTATCACGTGGGAATGTATAGCCGCCAAATACATATATAGGCGAAGACGAATTTCGCAGAAATACTGCGAAATGTGTACGCATTGTGTCGTTTTATAATTACACAACTGACAGACACGTGGACTTTTGGTGTCCTGGGAAGGACTTAAAAGATTTCCTAGCACAAGCCACCTCGCTCACAGGAGAGTGCTGGGAAATCCAGCATAGATGGCAACCCTGGCACTCACACACACACACACATATGTGTTTGTGTGTGAGAGCGGTAGCACTTCCCCCCACAGTCTGTTAAGGCTATACGGGGGATCTTTGTAGTTGTAGCTGTTCTACAAACCCGGCAAACCGAGTTCGATTCTGGCTCCCGGACAACACCAGTGGCGATTATCCGAATCGGTCCTGGGCCCCCCCCCCTCACCTCGGTCAACTCAGCCTCAGATCTTCTACATTCATAGAATAACGACTGAGTTTAGCAAGCCATGTTCAGAGACAATGATGTCACGCAATACGACGATGTCGTGCTGTAATGCAATGAAGTAATACGCACGTCATGTGACTTCCTTAACAATGAGTACTTGGTGCAAATGTGCAAAAACCAGGGAGACAAAAGCACGCAGGCTTTCTGGTGGTGCCCGCCTTCACAGGTGCTCCCGCTGAACAGCCCTCGCCTCAGCAATCCCTTAATGGCTACACGGGGTGGTGGTGGTGGGGGGGTCTTTGTGTTTGCAGAGGGCCGTTTCAAGGTGTGGGTGAGCACGGGGGAGCTGGCCGCCGCCGGCACGGACGCGCGCGTCTCCGTGACGTTGTACGGGGAGCGCGGGCACGCGGGGCCCATCCTGCTCGGCGCTGGCAGCGGCGGCACCGGTGGCACCTTCAGCAAGGGCAGTGAGGAGGAGTTCACGGTGAGCGAAGCGCGCGTGCGAGGAGCGCTGGCGCGCCGGTTTGAGCACGCCGCTTATGGCCACCAACACCCAGTGGTGGTTCAGATATGAGTATGGTGTGCAAACATGGGAAGACAAAGGTGGCCGCGCCTCGTGCTGGCAACCCACCCCGCCCCCCCCCCCCTCGTATGCCATGGCTGGCTTTCATGGGTTCTCGCTATAACAATTGCCCCGACAGTCTGTTAAGGCTTCACGGTGGATCTTTGTCTTTTCGAGCCCATAGTGGATGGATGCACGCTAGAAAGTGTATCCAGCGCACTGGCATTAGGGTTGGTGCATCTCTGCAGTGCAACTGCTGTGCGTCGTGCGCCTACACCGTGTCTCAGTGCGTGCGTGCGTGCCTTTGTGCTGTCGTTTCACACCACATGCTGTAGGTCTCTGCCGGGAACGTAGGGGAACTCTACAAGATCCGCATCAGCCACGACAACTCCGGCGAGTCCCCGGGATGGCTCTGCCAAGCGGTACGAGTGAGGCACCGAGGGTCTCCGCGGGGCCGGCAATGCGTGTTATTGTCCTTCCCCCGCACCTCCGATTAGCACGGTTGGCGACGCACGGTGCGGAAGAAGTTCAATATATGTACAATACATACAACCCGGTTTGATTTCACACAACCGGTCAGAATTCGCGGTGGTGAGCCGGCCAGTTCTCGAGATTATCCTGGAGGCCAACAGGATAATCTGGGCGAAGTAGACAAGAGGGGTGGAGATCAGCGGAGATACTTGAGCTGGTGAAGAAGCCGAGGTGAACAACACGAGATGGACAGTAAAACTAAAAATTATAATCATAAAAAGTAATCAATCGATTTCAAAGGCAATGCAAATATTACAAGAGCATGTTTTTCGTTTGCATGTTCACCGCACTTATGTGTGGTTAATGCGGACATGATTCCTTGCAAAATGTTTATGTTTGATGTTTGAACATCTTAACACCTGTTTTATTGCCATAAAGGGTAAAACCTATTCTATACAATAATACTCATACCATGAACAAACTCCTCTTCAATTTAATCGTGACTCTGACTTTTTGACAATTCATTGCAATGGGTTCGAGAAATGATGCATTATGAGAATCGTCACGTGACTGACGGATAGCCTCAGTCACGTGATGATTGGCTACGGCGCTGCATTTTACAGCAGCGCTGTTTTGCACTGCGGCCGCCTCCTCTGCCCAGGGCCACCAAAAACGTTTTTGGGCGACCGGGGGCTAAGGTCCGGGACGAGGCCTGGGGGTCACCTCAGCCCTTTCCTGAGCCCCCCCCCCCTCTCCGGATCTGTGCTCCCGGAGCAAACTCCACCGGCCCGTTAATTTTGTTTGCCGTCACCGCCGTTGTCCCCGCGAGCCCAGGTGCGGCTGCTGGACCTGCACACGAAGGAGGAGTTCGAGATGCGCGTGAACCGCTGGCTCTCGCGAGACGAGGACGACGGAGAGATCTGCCGGGAGGTGGCGGTGCCACGGCGCACAGGGCCCGTCCTGCCCGGTACGGTGGTTGGTGTCCGCCGTCGTGGGTGGTTGGGGTGGGTGGGGGGAGGTTTGGCAAAGATAAATCTGATGCATGCACAGCTCTCTCTCTCTCTCTCACCAAGTCTGTATCATTCTAGATTTGAAGTTTTCGTGACTGCAAGGATCCATACTCTTTGGTTCTTTCGGTAAAGTCACGTAGGTGAAAATAATAATAATAAAATAATCATCAAAATGAGTTCATTTATTTTAATTTTTTCACCTACGTGACTTTACCGAAATAACCAAAGAGCAAGTCTGTATTGCACAGGTGCCACTGTATGTATGTACGTATGTTGAACTCCTTTCCCACCGTACTTCGCCAACCGCGCAATAATCCGAGGTGCGAGGAAAGGGCAACAAATGAAACACGTAAAAAAAAACACTCGGAAGGTTGCGAGTTTTAAATGCCACGCGCACTCAACCACCAGCTCCACCCGCACAGGGAGCAGCCTCTTCGCTCCGTCTGATGTTGGCCCCGCCCACTGCCCGTTGGCCCCGCCCACTGCCCGTTGGCCCCACCCACCGCTCGGGAAGCTTCACCTTTTGCCCGCATCATCAGTCGAGTGTGAGGCCATGACATTTTCAAACCCGAGACAAAATCCCGATATCCGCAGATGCTTCAGGTGGAGAGAGAGAGACAACGGGAGCAGCCTTTCTTGAAAACTGGGACTTCACAGCAAACGACACACGGACACGCACAGCACAGCACGTGCCACGTGGTCATGCACTTTTTTAAATTAATGCCCCTCATTGAAAGTGAGACCAAACAATTTCTCGTGCACATCGATGTATAATTATTCACCCCACCCCCGTGGACGATCGGGAGCATCAGGCTTTTTTTTTTTGCAAAACTTTATTTCCAGCTCGAGGCGTCTCACCGCACCTCTGCCTTGCGTCCGTGCGTGCTATAAGCCGGACATTATTACCTTCATCACCACGCACGGATCGCCTTCTCCCCCGCCCGAGCCGGCGGGAGTCGCGGCTGTATCCACGAGCTATGCTGCCCCCTGCCCCCGTTGTGCCGGGCTGTGTGCGCAGCGGTGCGCTATGAGGTGCGCGTCACGACGGGCGAGCTGTGGAACGCCGGCACGGAGGGGCGCGTCCACGTGGCGGTGCATGGCGATCGCGGCGACACGGGGCCGCGCCTGCTGCAGCGCTCGCGGCACCCCACCTCCTTCCAGCGTGGCCAGGTGGGGGCGGGCAGTGCCCCTCGTGGGCAGCGTCGGCGTCAGTCCGGGGGACTTTGGTTTCTCGACGCGACATCGGCTGTTGATTACCAGGCCGCTCGTCGTCGTCGTCATCATCATCATTGTCATCATCGCGATCCGTGGGCAAATAGCCCCATAGGTGTCCACTGCACATTTCGTCATTTGTTTCCACTTTCCTCTCTGTCTTGTAGTGCCAATATGCTCAGGTCGTGCAATGTCTTCTTCCTGGCAATCTCTTCTAACGTCGTCGTCGTCATCGTCAAGCCATGCTCTGTGAGCTCTTCCTCTCTTTCCGGTTCCTTCCATTTTTCCCGACAACACACTGAACATTTTCCTGCTGTTGTTCATCTTGCTACGTGTCCAGATAGTGCCAGTTTCCTTCTCGTCACTGCCTGCATCAGGTGTTATTCTACGTGCAACCTTTTTATTTGCTTCATTACTTCTACGTTGAACACTCTTTGGATCCAGCGTATGAGGCGCTAAGTTGCCTAAATCACGAAACCGAACGTCCGCAGCCGGTAGACTGGAGCAAGTGGTACGCGGCTACTGGAGATATTGACGAGGGATTCTGAATGTGGTGTACCGGGTGCACAGTTATTTAGCTGCCCACTGGCCCAGACAGACCCTGGCTGAATGTATGCACCAGTGTCGGCGCTCTTTGCGTGATCGTCAATGCTGTTTGCGTGCCGGGCGTGTGACAACCCACCCCGCTTACGTGTGTCCGTGTGTCTCTGTGTATGTGTGCTCACCTCGTGTGGGGAGTGGTAGTGTCGCGGTTATCGCGCTTGCGCCAACGAACCCGGCGACCCGAGTTCGATTACCGCTCACGGCCAACACCAGTGACGAATATCTGAATCGGTCCTGGGCCTCGCCTAGGTCGACTCAGACTAAAATGAGTACCCGGTGCAGTGTGTAAACATCGCCACTGGGGAGACAAATGCATGGTGCTGGTCACCCACCCCCTCGTGTACCGTGCCGGCCTTAATAGGTGTTCGCTAAAAGCACTTGCCCCAACGGTCTGTTAAGGTTATACGGGGGATCTTTGTCTTTGCTCACCTCGTGTCCACACGTCCGTGTGCAGACGGACGTGTTCCGCCTGGAGGCCGTGCACCTGGGCCGCCTGCAGCGCGTGCTCGTGAGCCACGACTCCGAGGAGCCGGGTGGGTCCCGCATATCAATCCCGCTACTCCCTCCATCCCGCGTCTCCCTCCATCCCGCGTCTCCCTCCGCCCCGCTATTCCCTCCATCCCGCGTCTCCCTCCATCCCGTGTCTCCCTCCGCCCCGCGTCTCCCTCCGCCCCGCTATTCCCTCCATCCCGCGTCTCCCTCCATCCCGTGTCTCCCTCCGCCCCGAATCTCCCTCCGCCCCGCTACTCCCTCCATCCCACGTCTCTCTCCACCCCGTGTCTCCCCCCATCTTGTGTCTCCCTCCATTCCGCTTCTCGCTCCTTTCTGCGTCTTCCTTCTATTCCGCGTCTCACTCCGCCGTCCCGCGTCTCCCTCTGCCCTGCATCTCGCTCCGCCCCACTTCTACCTCCGTCCCCACACAGCACTAGCTGCCTGCTGCCCTCGCCTGGTTATGCGTGAAGCCCGTGAATGAATTCATCAATGAGAGAGATGGGGAGTCCCAGTAGAGGACAGCCGGGGAGGAGATCTGTGGAGGAAAACCGTAGGGGAGAGATGTAGAGGAGAGCTTTGGAGGAGAGCTGTCGAAGGGAGCTATAGAGGAGAGCTGTGGTCATTCTTGCCAGGAATTTGCTGCAGCGACCCGTGCGCTGACTGTGATTCCAGGCAAAGGCTGGTACCTGGAGAAGGTGGTGATCCAGGACCCGCTGGCCGACACGGAGAGCGTGTTCCTCTGCCACCGGTGAGGCCCCCGGTCGCACCCTCGAACTGTGGTCATCCTCGCAGCAGCAGCGGCTTTTGGCTGGCCATCGAACAAAGATGGTCACTGCATCGCTTTCAGATGCGCATCTGCGGTTATCTGGAACGCTCTTCCTTCCGATATTATGAAAACCACCGGAGCTATGCACTTTTAAATCATCTAGATTGAAAACTTATGTTTGGTGTTTAGTCGTTGTCCTTCGCCCGCACCTCCGATTAGCACGGTTGGCTACATACGGTGCGAAAAAAGTTCAACGTACATACATACAGACGGGGTCAGACGTGGTCAGACTGGGGATTGCGGTCGGGCTCTAGCGAAAAAAAATCGATTCTCACGCCCACCAAAAGTTGCATGGTTTGCGATTTGCGTGACTTTTATCCAAACTTAAGAGTGATGTGATATTTAGGATGATGGAGCAAACAAAATATGTACAATGAGACAAAACATTGGTACCCACACGAACGAGACAGCAAAAACGAGATGATACATTGCTTTTGTATTGAACCCAGTGTAAGTCCGATGGCAACAAGAGAGAGAACATTTAGCGGACGTGCGGCCTGCGGATTGTGCCCTCTGGGCTCGTGACTCTCCCTGTAGGGAATGTATTCATATGGGGCGGTTAAAATTTCTGATTAAGTAGGGGGAAGGGGGGGAACGGGGGGGGGGGGGGGGGGGGGGGGAGGGAACAATCATTTTTAACAATTGGAATCGCAACCGCCAATCGTGACATTTCATCAGATTGCTGGGAACTGCATCGTTGCATGCCTGCTTTACATAGGGGATGCTATATAATATACCTGGTCAGGGGGGTGTGGGGGAGGGGAGCACATGCAGTGTCTACAGACTGACTCCAGCGGTGATGCTCGGCAATGTTGTTATCCTGCGAAGGTGGAACAGCGAACCCGGCGACCTGATTTGCACTCTTGGCCACCTTTAACATCTGTGACGAGCGATATCCAAACCAATTTCTGGGGCCTCCCCTGCTCCAACCTGTGCTGATCCACGTAGTGAATTATGGATAAAGGATCCGGGTTGCCCATCGCTCTTGTCACCGCCTCAACGGTGCCCACTAATGGCATGCATGCGCGCGCAGTTGGCTGGACACGGGCGAAGACGACGGGAAGACGTCGCGGGAACTCAACATCGTGGATCGAACGCTGAGCGCGGCACGTACGTGTTCTTATCTTAATCATTATCATCACGATCCATGGGCAGATAGCCCTGTAGGTGTCCACTGCACATTTCCACTTTCCTCTGTCTTGTGCCAATATGGCTCAAGTAGTGCCACGTCTTTCTGGCACCAACCCCTTATGTCGTCAAGCCATTCTCTTGAGTTAGCTATTCATACAGCAGAAGTGTGATGAGATGAGTCGATGAGAAGGATGGTACTGCATGATGAATATGACGATGCGTGAAATAAACGGTGATGAGAGTGACAGTGAGTGGTTAACGATGAGTAAATGTGATGGATGGGTAGGGAAGTTGGGAAAAGGGATGATGGTGGTAATGATGGGGAAAGCAGGGAGAAGAGTTTGTCTAAGCAAGGGAAAATAAATTAGTTTTAATATATACTGGACAATGAAGCTGATTGTGTGTGTGACACGTAGGGGCAGTTTGTCTGTCCTGTTCAGTCCACTCTCTTTGAGTGAGACCTTTAACTCCGCAGTGGTCAGCAAAAGTGGTTATGCATTTCATCACAATCACCCATGATCAGTCCACTGCTGGATGAAAGCCAACCCAAGCCGTTGCAATGTCTCTAGGTCCTGCGATGTAGCGCTGCGTCTAGCACCTGCACCCGAGCCGATTTCATCGCTCCATGTCCACGGTGGACGTACTCTCTAGGGCGCGTTCCCTTCGTTGGCTGCCGCTACGTCGCGAAATCTCGACCACCGGCCATCACAATAATCCTTCTAGTGACGTATCAGGCCCAAGCTCACCGACCTTTCTGAACGAATCGTTGTTGCGTGTAATTCACGCACGCCATGCGCACACATACATGCACTGTGGTCCTATGGAGACAGGCAATGTGTAAAAACCTCCGCCACAGACACCACTGGAAGCGCTCACGACCGCACGCGGTGTTTGAGCAGGGAGACGCGTCGACGTTTTTGTAAATCCATCGGGGACGAGGATCTCTGGCCCCTTCCGTTCGTCGTATTTGTTCCATGTCATGCCTGCGTGCTGCGGGCTCTCGTGGGAAGGCTCTGACCGCGTGCGCTCTCCGTGTGCGACTCCACAGAGCAAGAGCAGGAGCTGCTTGAGAAGGAGCTGGTGAGTGCTGCGCTCGCCGCGAGGGATTCATTCACTTGCTGGGTTGGCTTCAGAAGGGCGGGCCTTAATTGTTGTTGAGTAGCGATTTGCTGTCAGTGATGTTGTCGTCAATGAGTTGCGTTGTGCTCGTTAAGTGGGGTTGTTGCGGATTTTATCGCTGTCGATAATTGCATGCACAAAAATTGCTGGAATGTCGATTGCAGTGTCGCTGAGTGTCGCGAGTTGATGGCCGAGTTTTGCAAGTTGAGAGATGAATGTCGCGAGTTGATGGTTAGAGGTCGAGCGCGTTGTCGCGAGTTGGGAGGCGGGCGGTGAGAGTTGACGGGTCGCGCTGCTCGTGCGCTGCTCGTGCGAGCAGTGGGCAGCCGAGGGCTGGAAGTTCCAGCGTGGCAGCGTCCTGCAGCTCACGAACAAGCTCACCGGGCGCCTGCTGCGGATCAAGCCTGATGCCTCGGTTGACGCGCTCGGGGAGAAGGGCGACAAATACAGTGAGGGCCTCACAGCGCTCTCCCCCACCTCCTGCACCTCCTCCACCTCCTCAGCCACCTCCCCCACATCCTCATCCACCTCCTCAGCCACCTCCTCCACATCCTCATCCACCTCCACCTCCTCATCCACCTCCTCATCCACCTCCTCCACCACCTCCACCTCCTCCCCCATCTCTTCCTCCACGTCCTCATCCACCTCCTCTACGAACACACGCGTGGATCATTGTGGGGAAGTTTAGGGAGGGAGCAGAGAGCGCCCCTCCCTCCCTTCTCACGGAGAAGAACCGTGGTGCTGGCTTGAGGTTTCACGGGGTGAGAATTTCATGGGAAGTTCTGGTCACGATGAATCATAATCGTGATCATAGGATCTGGAGGTGAAACCTCTGATCTGGCTTGCCTGGGTGGTGTGTGTCTGTGTGTCTGTGTGTTCAGGTTACTTTGAGGTGGCACGGCGGCGTGGCAACGTGCGGGCATTCAACAGCCTGGCGCTGCCCGCGTACTATCTAGCAGTGGAGCAGAACCACGTCGTGGGCATGGTGAGGGCCACGACGACTACAAGGCGACCCAGAGCACAGTCCAATGGTGTCATGAACCAGTGATCAAACGAACTCAGTCATGAACCGTTACATTTTTTAATGGGCACCTTCCGTTGTGTAGTGGTTAGCGCACCACTGGACTTGCAATCCAGAGGGCGCTGGTTCTATTCAATCTGCTGGCACGGCAGTTGAATGAATGAGTCCGTTTTTTGTCTGTGAACCCAGCAGTGCAAATGGGCACTCGACAATTTGTCGAGTGGCAAATCGCATGTGGTGGGGTAAAGTGTGGGTACCGCCACCTCTTCCAGGACGTCTGACCAGCGTGGCCAAACACCCTCTAAAGGGGCTCTCAAGAGCTCCCCCTTAGTGGAGGCCCTTTCGGAAGCATTGGCGATTGTAGGGCCTGCGCCTTTTATCCCTCTTCGCTGTTTTAACAAGCCAATGCCCTAACCTCTCACCTCTTCAAACAAACTAATAATGCAAATTCACCACCCACGGTGGAACTTTTCGCAGCGGCTCGACGAGCGAACCGGTTAGACGCGCTAACAAGACGACAACGGAGGTTGACGACGATCGCGCGGCGTGTCGTCCCGCAGAGCGAGAACGGGCCGGCGTGCGACTTCAGCGTGTGCGTGCAGCGCGACCGCAGCGTGCAGCTCGCGTCCGTGCGCCTGCCCGGCCACGCCGTGCTCTTCACGCCGCACGGCCGGCCCGGCGACACCAAGGCGGCCGCGCAGGGCCCCGCGTGCCTCTTCTACGTGCACGTCAAGGTGACCTTCCCGCGGCCCCCCCACCCCCACCCCCCGCTGATCAGTGTCTGGAGACCGGCGTCGGGGGTCAGTAGGCCGGCGTCTTGAGACCGTTGGTCAAACTGATTACGGCCTACTGGCCGGTGTCCTTCTTTGGCTGGGATAGTCCCAGTCTCGCAAACGGCTGTCCCGGTGTTTTCAAAGCTTTAAAAAAAAAAATGGGAATCTATCACCGGTTTAATGCTTTTTGGCCTCACGCTCAACTCGTGTTAATGTCCAAAGGGCGAAGCTGCCTGCGTAGTGGGCGGGGCTGTCAGGAGAGTGGGCGGGGCCACGGGTCGCAGGTGAGGCCAGTGGAAGAAAGAGGGAGCTGTGTGGGGCAGTGCCAGCGGATGAGGCAGGGGCTGCCGGGTGAATCTCACCGTGTCTCGGTTGAGCCTCCCAGAATTCGCGGTCGCTTTATCTTGCTGGTCGCGTGCCGTGCGTGCCGCGCGCAGGGCGTGTTCCGTGACGGGGCGGTGCTGCTGCTCAACTCGAGCACCACGCAGGCGCTGTCGGTGTCGGCGGACGGGCGGTGCAGCGGCGCGGGCCGGCGCTTGGAGGCGTCGCACCTGCGCGTGCACGCGGTGGCGCCGCGCACCTGCATGTTCGAGAGTGTCGCGTTCCCGCGCAGGTTCCTCCGCGTCAAGGACGGCCACTGCGACGGGCTGGTAGGTGTAGCGGCGCAGTTTCAGCGGCCCCTGAAAACTGCACCACGGTGGCAGATATGTTAACAACCTCGCCTGGTATGCAGGAGGTCGTGGGTTCGATCCCGACCCTGACGCCTGCTTTATACTATATTTACAGTTTGCCTGTCTCTCTCTCTGTGGTTGCGTGGATTTTTCTCCGGGTCCTCCAGTTTTCCCCTCCACATTTAGAATCAACATCACACGTTTAGGGTATTTGGCTGATATAAATTTCCACGTGATAATCCACTTCGTTGAGCTATCATTTGTGGCCAGGTCACTTTTGAAAAAGAGCTACATAGCTCAGTGGGCCATGCCCAATAAAATGTAAATATTTTCATTGTTTATCTGTGGGCCTAGCTTTAAAATAAAATGTTAGGTTTTTGGATGAATTAAATTAATAACAAAGACGCATTTCTGATTTATAGCCCCCCTAGAATCTATAACACCATCAACATCATCATCAGTCACGGTCAATCCACTGCTGGATTAACTCTTCCCCAAGCTTCCGCCGCGACCTCTCGTGATTCTGCGACGTAATAATCCACTTAGCGCAATAACATCGACTTTGACATTATTAGCACTGGCGTCAGTCACTCACGAGCGGCGAACATATCAGCTCTGTGCCGTGCAGGGCATTGGAGACCCAAAGCAAACATTTTTCGCCGCTCGGGCGTTTTCTGTTCTTGGCCCTCTGCCTGAAGAACTGCGCCTGACCGCTGAGAATTCTCCCATTTATGAAGAAACTGAACATTTAATTTTTTCCTAGGATATGTTAGATAGATTACAAAGTATTTTGTTTGTCAGCACGGCGCTCTGAAGCCCTTTGTTGGATCTGCTGCGTCATATAAAAACATAAATAATTAAAAAGTCTGTTCTCTCATAACGCTGCGTGCTGTATTTCATGACGCGAATTAGATATATAACGCGACGAATGTATTTGGGAACACATTTTTTTATAACGCTGGATGCAAATTGGATATAACGCGATCGAGTGAACGGAACTACGTCGCGCGAGTAGGAATAAGCGGTCGTGCGGCTGCCTCGGCGTGGCATCGCACAAGGCATTGGGGATGCTGCTGGATGCTTCTAGATGCTACCCACGCGCCTCAGTCTGTGTTTGGCCTGCGTACGCATCTCACGCGTTATCGCAGACTGAACTTTACCCCTATATCATTGATTATTTATCATAACGAGATTTTTCCAGAAGGTGGTGTCCTTCAGGAACCCAACTACTCCCGCCACGTTATAGGAGAACAGACTGTAATGACTGTCGCTTCACCATGCTCATCTACTGGTGTGTGTATGTGCATGCACGCGTGTGCGTGTTCGCAGGGCATTGGCGACAAGCACTGCCACTTCATCGTGCACAAGCAGCGCGACTGGAGCTCGGTGGGGCTGGAGTCGGCGCGCCACAAGGGAATCTTCGTGGGGCTGCAGGCCGACGGGCAGGCGCGGCCCCTTGTCAACGCCGGCGAGGCCAACACCACCTTCTACCCACAAGTCATCTCCTGTGAGACACCAGCCGCCTCTCCGCACTACCAACCAACGCCGTGGCTACACCGTCGCCACCGTCATCACCGTCGCCACCGTCATCACCGTCGCCACCGTCATCACCGTCGCCACCGTCATCACCGTCACCACCGTCATCACCGTCGCCACCGTCATCACCATCACCAACGTCACTACCACCACCGGTCCTAGACCTCCGACTCAGCCTCAAATGAGTACCCGGTGCGATGTGTAAACATCGCGACTCGAGAGACAAAGACGGACGGCCGTGGTGCCGGCCACCCACCACCTCGTGTGCCGTGCCGGCCTTCGCAGGCGCTGCGCGCTGACAGCACTTGCCCCAACGGTCTATGAAGGTTACACGGGGGAATCTTTGTATTTGTGCGTGCGTGTGTGCGCGCGCGTAGTCGGCAGAGAAAAGGCTTCGCGTCACCTCGACCTGTCGATGGAGGAGACGCCGCGACTCTTGTCGGCCCTCTCCCCCATGCCGCTCGACACCCCCAAAGGTGGGTGTCGCGCGTGGCGGGCCGACCCGCCGCTGCCGGCGAGTGGTCACACGCTGCTCCGCCACGCGACTCAAGATAAACTAAACGGCTAAACTGTTTTTTATTTGACTGGGTAAGGCCCACTGAGCTGAATAGATGATAGCTGGACGAAAGCGGCTTTAATCATCACGTGGAAATGTAGAGCAGCCAAACACTCCAAACGCGTGACGTTGGTTCTAAATGCGGAGGGTAAAACCGGAGGACCCGGAGAAAAAAGCACGCGACCACAGAGAGAGAGACACGCAGACTCCAAATATGCTGCAGGTGTCAAGGTCGGGATCGAACCCACGACCTCCTGTATACCAGGCAAGGTAGTTAACATCTTGCCACCTTGCCGAGATGCTGAAATTCCGCCATTCCCGTTACGGTGGCCAGTCTCGCCGTCGGACGTTTTCTTCTGCTTCCATCTCCCAATTAATCTTCCGCTCGTAATGTTCTGTGCCGGCAAAGAGGGTGCACCACCACTAGTCGGGAAACATCACTGGGATGATGATGTCTGGAACTGCTTTCCAACATACAGTGAGGGAAAAAAGTATTTGATCCCCTGCTGATTTTGTACGTTTGCCCACTGACAAAGAAATTATCAGTCTATAATTTTAATGGTAGGTTTATTTGAACAGTGAGAAACAGAATAACAACAACAAAATCCAGAAAAACGCATGTAATTTTTTTAATAAATTGATTTGCATTTTGATGAGGGAAATAAGTTTTTGACCACTCTGCAAAACATGACTTAGTACTTGGTGGCAAATCCTTTGTTGGCAATCACAGAGGTCAGACGTTTCTTGTAGTTGGCCACCAGGTTTGCACACATCTCAGGAGGGATTTTGTCTCACTCCTCTTTGCAGATCTTCTCCAAGTCATTAAGGTTTCGAGGCTGACGTTTGGCAACTCGAACCTTCAGCTCACTCCACAGATTTTCTATGGGATTAAGGTCTGGAGACTGGCTGGGCCACTCCAGGACCTTAATGTGCTTCTTCTTGAGCCACTCCTTTGTTGCCTTGTCCGTGTGTTTTGGGTCATTGTCATGCTGGAATACCCATCCACGACCCATTTTCAATGCCCTGGCTGAGGGAAGGAGGTTCTCACCCAAGATTTGACGGTACATGGCCCCTTCCATCGTCCCTTCGATGCGGTGAAGTTGTCCTGTCCCCTTAGCAGAAAAACACCCCCAAAGCATAATGTTTCCACCTCCATGTTTGACTGTGGGGATGGTGTTCTTGGGGTCATAGGCAGCATTCCTCCTCCTCCAAACACGGCGAGTTGAGTTGATGCCAAATAGCTCCATTTTGATCTCATCTGACCACAACACCTTCACCCAGTTGTCCTCTGAATCATTCAGATGTTCATTGGCAAACTTCAGACGGGCATGTATATGTGCTTTCTTGAGCAGGGGGACCTTGCGGGCGCTGCAGGATTTCAGTCCTTCACGGCGTAGTGTGTTACCAATTGTTTTCTTGGTCACTATGGTCCCAGCTGCCTTGAGATCATTGACAAAATCCTCCCGTGTAGTTCTGGGGTGATTCCTCACCGTTCTCATGATCATTGCAACTCCACGAGGTGAGATCTTGCATGGAGCCCCAGGCCGAGGGAGATTGACAGTTCTTTTGTGTTTCTTCCATTTGCGAATAATCCCATCAACTGTTGTCACCTTCTCACCAAGCTGCTTGGCAATGGTCTTGTAGCCCATTCCAGCCTTGTGTAGGTCTACAATCTTGTCCCTGACATCCTTGGAGAGTCCTTTGGTCTTGGCCATGGTGGAGAGTTTGGAATCTGATTGTTTGCTTCTGTGGAAAGGTGTCTTTTATACAGGTAACAAGCTGAGATTAGGAGCACTCCCTTTAAGAGTGTGCTCCTAATCTCAGCTCGTTACCTGTATAAAAGACACCTGGGAGCCAGAAATATTTCTGATTGAGAGGGGGTCAAATACTTATTTCCCTCATTAAAATGCAAATCAATTTATAACATTTTGACATGCGTTTTTCTGGATTTTCTTGTTGTTATTCTGTCTCTCACTGTTCAATTAAACCTACCATTAAAATTGCAGACTGATCATTTCTTTGTCAGTGGGCAAACGTACAAAATCAGCAGGGGATCAAATACTTTTTTCCCTCACTGTAATTGCCTTGGGCATCTTTCACGCTAGGGCACACATTTGATCGACTTTGCAAACAGAGATTGACACCAATGAATCAATCCAACCTGTATTTTCATATACATTACCCATACATTTTACTCAGAGCTAGAAGAAGCAGAATATAGTGAAATGTGATTATTGTTTTTTTTACTTTTTACTGAGACCATCAACTCACGAGTTCAATCGCAAGTAACTGATAACCCCCACCCCCCCCCGGGGTTCGACCTGGGATCTCAAACGTGCCGGCTCAGTGGCCGTTGGCTCAGTCTTAAGTTACCTGAGCTGCCTGGGACAATCGACGTTCGCTTTCACCAAGGTGTCGCTCTTTTTAGCGACCGCATCGTTTGAATCACGAGTCGGGATGACGCCCACCCCCCCCGCCCTCTTCCCCCCCGACTGGGATGTTAATCCCTTGACCTTCCATCGGTCGAATCGAGCGCCCTTGCCGCTGGCACCACCGGGCCGGCTGTTCGGCCCACACGCCCGGACGTAGGAGAGCGACGGAACGCCGATGCAGCAGAGCTGGGATCGCCGATGCGTCGGGAGTGATGAGCGTCGAGCGTCGGACGCCCAACGTGGAGCGGAGTGACGATAGGGCGATGACCGTGCGACTGACCATCGTCGCAGGGTGGGAGTGGCGCGTGCTGGTCACCACGGGCAGCGAGGGCACGGGCGCGCGCGTGCAGCTCTGGGTGTACGGGGATCGCGGCTCCGCGGGCCCCATTTTCCTGGGCAAGGGCGAGCGCGACGGCATCTTCAGCGCCAAGCAGGAGGACGAGTTCCAGGTGATACCCCCCCCCCAGGACCCCCCACTCCCAACCCACCCCCAGTCACAGTGCCCATCAACCAGTGCCTATGACCCATGTCCATCGTCCAGATGTCCTTGTCTATCGTCTGTTGTCTATTAAACCGTTCCCGTTCCGAGATGTCTGCAAGTTGCAGGGTGGGTCCCGTTCATTGATGAATCTCGGAACACTCAAGCGGTTCAGCGTTTTATTTTTATTTAGAGAGGCGTAGCGCCGCTGTTTTTAAAGAGGTTGTACTGTACTCACCGCAGAGAACCGTAGCGACACGACCGCACTCTACGGAACTCGCGCCAAACTCTGCCACACACCCTCCTGCATGGCCTTTTACTTCCAATTCCATTTGTAATCGATTTCGTTCCGATGACGTAGACATAAGGAATTGTAACGAAATTGGAAAAAAAGCTGAAGACGTATACATACGATTAATTGTCAAACTTCCAGTGTCCATTGTCCAGTGTCCATTGTCTAGTTTTCATTGTTCTATGTCGAGTCTCTGTTGTCCAGTGTCCATTATTTATTGTCTGGTATTTTAGCTTTCATTATTCATTTGTCAGTCATCCAGTGTCCACTTTCCATATCAGCTCTTGCTGTCCATTGTCCAACAACCAGTGTCCATTGCACAGTTTTGAGTTGACCACTTACCTGGATGTTGCATTAACACCGTGTCGAGATGTTAACTCCCTCACCTGCTATACAGGATGTCGCAGGTTCGATTCCGACACCTGTTGTATATTTGGAGTTTGCATGTTCTCCCCCGTGGATGCGTGGATTTTTCTCCGAGTATTCCAGTTTTTCCCTCCATATATAGAATCAACATGCGCTTAGAGTATTTGGCTGCTATAAATTTCAACGTGATGATCAGCCACCTCGTTGAGCTGTTATTTGTGGCCAGGTTGCTTCTGAAAAAAGCTACATGCTCAGTGGGCCTTACCTGGTAAAAATAAAAAATAAATAGTTAATCGTAAATAGTAACGCAACTTTGAACACGGCATAGAATTAGCATCCTCGCCTACGAGGCCACCTCTGGGCATCTGCCCCGTCCACAGGCCAGCGCGCGTGGCCAGAGGAGGTGACGACTTGGTGAACGAGGGTCCGACCAACGTACGGCCGGTGCGTTTGTGCGAGAGAGGCCCGAGACGCAGAACAGCAACAAAAAACACGCGGCCAGCCGAAGGAGGCTCAAGGATCGGTCGGGAAGGAGAGAGTTTTTGGTCAAAACACTTGCCGTTGGGCGGAAGACTAAAGGCTTGCATGGGCCGTGCGATTGTTGTCTTTTATCGTCCTTGAACGATCACCGCTTCTCCCCACGCAGTTGCTTTGGCGCAGATTTCTATTCCCTTGCATTGCATTATCTTATATTTTTTTAATTTTGTCACTTTGGTGACCGAAGTCACCTCTTGCAAATTGAAAATCATTCCTCGGGTCTCTTGAGGTCTCTCTCACCGTGTTAAATGAAATCAACTTGACATGCCCGGGCAGATAACGCTCCCGGACCTGGGCAAGATCTACAAGATCCGCATGGCTCACGACGGCTCCAGCGAAAACCCGGACTGGAAGCTACAGCAGGTGACACATCACAAACACACAGCAGGTGACACACACAAGCACACAGCAGGTGACACACACAAACACACAGCAGGTGACACACACACACAGCAGGTGACACACACAAACACACAGCAGGTGACACACACACACACAGCAGGTGACACACACACACAACAGGTGACACACACACACAACAGGTGACACACACACACACACACAGCAGGTGACACTCACGTACACACAGCAGGTGACACACACGCACACACCGCAGGTGACACACACACACAGCAGGTGACACACATGCACACACAGCAGGTGACACACACACACACACACAGCAGGTGACACTCACGTACACACAGCAGGTGACACACACGCACACACAGCAGGGGACACACACACACAGCAGGTGACACACGCACGCACATACAGCAGGTGACACGCACACACAGCAGGTGACACACATACACAGCAGGTGACACACACACAGCAGGTGACACACATGCACACACAGCAGGTGACACACACGCACACACAGCAGGTGACACACATACACAGCAGGTGACACACACAGCAGGTGACACACATACACAGCAGGTGACACGCACACACAGCAGGTGACACACATACACAGCAGGTGACACACACACAGCAGGTGACACACACACGCACACACAGCAGGTGACACACACACAGCAGCTGACACAGTAGGGGGGCTAGCGCTAGTGGCTGGTTGGTTAGGGTTAGGGCAGCGCGAGTGGCTGGTGAGTGCTCTGGGTACAGCTCGCAGGAGTTTTCCAGTCCGCTCCACTCCAACACCACTTGCCCATTCTTCCCATCGCTGCCTTTCCCCCCCCCCCCTCTGACTTCTCGTTTCTGGAGCTCTCGTCCCGGTACCAGCGGGGTGTGACGTGAAGGCCCCCCCCCCTCCCCACCTTCTTTCCCGTCCCCTGCCCCACCGTGACCTAGGTGGTGCTGCGGGGACTCCGTGGGGGCGACACGTTGCGCTTCCCGGCCAACCGCTGGCTGTCGCGGCGCCACGGCGACGGGCAGACGGTGCGCGAGCTGCCGGCGGTGCGCGACGCCACGGGGAAGCCTCTCCACCCAGGTGGGGGAGGAGGTGCAGGGCGGTGGGGGAATCGTTCACGCGGAGAGACGGCGCGGGGGCCCGTGGGTGACGCGCGCCCGCACGCGTGTTTGTGCGTGCGCGCGTTTGTGTATGCTGGGCGAGCGTGTACGTGTCGTGCGTAAGTCGCGCATGAACACGCGTGTGTGCAGTCAGGTGGGCAGTCGGGCGTATGCGTGTGTGCACGTGGGGAGCGGTGGCGCAGCGGTTAGCGCCATGCTCAACAAACATGGAGACCCGAGTTCGATACCCGCTCACGTGTCGAAACTCGGGCCTCCGCCAGGTCGACTTAGCCTCAAATGAGTACCTACTGAGACAAAGGCGACTAGGTGTGGTGCTGGCCACCCACCCCCCTCATGTGCCTTGCCGGCCTTCATAGGTGCTCACTAACAGCACTTGTCCCAACAGTTTGTCAATGCTATATACAGGGAATCTTTATCTTTATGCAGATGCTAGTTTCCTGTGTGGCATATATGTGCATATTGTGTGTATACCTGACGTGTATGTGTGTGTGTGCGAGTGCATGTGAATGTGTACACCAGGCTTGTGTGTGTGCGGCAGGTAGCTCGGTCTAAAGCGAGTACCTCGTTTCCAGAAAATCATGGGTTCAATCCTGACCCTGACGCCTGCTGCTGTATATTTGGAGTTAGCATGTTCTCCCCGTGGTCGCGTGGATTTTTATCTGGGTCCTCCGGTTTCTCCCTCCACATTTCAAAATCAACGTGCGTTTAGATTATTTGAGCTGCTATAAATTTACCCTTGAGAAGCCACCTTGTTGAGCTGTCGTTTGTGGCCAGGTCACTTCTGGAAAAGAGTTTAGTTTCTAATCGTTTAGTTTTAATAGTTTAGTTTGCGCGCGTCAGGACGCTGTACCGGTGCATTGACACGTTATGCACGTGCGACCGCGGTGCAGTGCTGCGGTACCGCGTGTTCGTGAGCACGGGAGATGAGCCGGGCGCGGAGACGCAGGCACCCCTCTTCCTGTGCCTGCATGGCGAGCGTGGAGACAGCGGCGAGCGCGAGCTGCTCACCTCCGACCACGCCGTGCCTTTCCGCCGGGGACAGGTGAGCCGCTGTCTCCCCCCCCCCACCGCCCTGGCCCCCCATTCTCGGCCCCAGCCGCACGCGTTGTGGTTACCACCCCCCTCCCCCAAAAGCGGTGGCACCGCACTCGCCTGTGTTTGTCACGTGACGATCCACAGCATCCCGCTGTCTGACAGATTGATTCACAGTGCAATGGCCTGGCGATGGTGGCCAGGCCCGTGGCCTGTAGCCAGCACTGTGAGGAAGCTGCGAGGGTTGGTGAATCACCGCACGAACATTGTCAAACTCCCTTCTCACGGGCGTCGAGGACGAGCCTGTAGCCTGGCTCACTACGAGAATGTGATACGGGAAAACATGTGGGCTCCATCTGTTCTGTCTGTATGGGATAGAGTGTTTCGCCCTCGCACGCGTTGATTTTTCCCTGTATGCTCTGGATTCCTCCCACGTGTAAACAATGAATGACTGGCCGATAACAGCTTCATATATCGAGGACCACAGAGCTTGTGCGATTGTTGGCGCCAATTCAACACTTGGCTGCCTTCCAGCTCTTGTCTGTTCTATCTCGCACCTCTGAGTTGTTTTCTCTCTTCGAGAGTGAGTCAATACCGTGCAGCAGCATGTTACAGATTAAAATTATTATTCAAGAACCACGTATTTTTTGTCTCGCATGCACGCAAACACACGTTGGCACGCACGACACACACACACACACACGTGTACGAACGCACGCCTGCGTGTGCGCGTGCCCAGACGGACGTGTTTGAGCTGGAGGCCGTGAGCCTGGGGGAGCTGCGCCGCGTTTCCCTGCGCTGCGATGCGCGCGCCGCTCACGACCGCTGGTTCTGCCACGCGGTGTCCGTGCGGGAGTCGCCGCACTCCGACCTCGAGTACGGATTCCCCTGCAACAGGTGAGGATGGCGCACAGAGGGTGGCAGCGGCTGTGGTGGTGGTGATGATGGCGGTGGATGTGGTGGTGGTAGCAGTGGTGATGGTGCTGGGAGCGGTGGCGTAGCGGTTAGCGCGCTGCGCTACGAACCTGGCGACCTGAGTTCGATTCTCGCTCACGGCCAACATCGGTGAACCGGTCCTGGGCCTCCCCTAGGTCGACTCAGCCTCAAGTGAGTACCTAGGGAGACAAAGGCGGTCGGGCATGGTGCTGGCCACTAACCCACCCCCTCGTGTGCCTTTCTGGCTTTCATAGGTGCTCGCAAACAGCACTTGCCCCAACAGTCTGTTAAGGCTATACGGGGGATTTTTTTTTGGGGGGGGTGGATAGTGGTGATGGGGTGATGGTTGTGCTAGCGGAGGTGATGGTGGTGGTGACGGCACTGCGGGGCTCGCTGGGGCCGGTGTGAGATTGCATTTTTACCTGAACCTCGGGTGAGAATCATCGTTATCATCATCATCATCATCAGCCACAGTCAATCCATCTCTCATCTGCACACAAACTGATTTCACTACACCATTCCCTCAGTGGAAATCCTCCCGAATGTGTTCCATATCATGGCTGCCACTCGCACTGTTATTCTTGATTATCAGCCATCTTCCCTTCTAGCGATGTGTGCTGGGGTGAAGATACTGTATCCTATGACCTGATTCAGGGGTCCACAGTTCGAATCCAGCAACCGCCCTGATTACCACCGAGGGTGTATTTAACTACAACAACACGCGACTTCGGTTTCACAGTGGACGTTAAAGGTCCCCCGACATCATTGGTGAAAAATAAAGAGTAGGCCGGCGTTTGCCGGCGTCAGGGTCCAAAATTTACACAAATCCGAAAATCACGCCGGAAATGGCTCAATTGGGTTTACACTGCAGCGATTGTGCTCCCCCCTACTGGCAGGCTAACGCCCCAGGTCGCTCTTGCCAACGAGTCTCATCCTGCTATATTCGAGTTATTCGCCGGTTAAATAACACATTCCTGCGGAGGGAGCTGGTAGGAACGTTGGGTTGCTCGGTCAATGGCCAGGGTCAATGGCGGCGTGGTATGCCCGACTGTGAGGGCAGGCATAAGCCGGCGTGAGTAGGTTAAACGTTGAGTTTTATAAGGGCACCACGGGGTGACCAGCCCCTCCTCACCCAGCCCCACCCAGCCCCACACCTCCCACTCCCCACCCTCCCCACCCAGCCCCTCCCCACCCTCCCCTCCCCACCCAGCCCCTCCCTACCCTCCCCTCTCCACCCAGCCCCACCCCTCCCACGTGGACAGACATCCACAGACATACACAATTAATCCCCTGCCTCCTGTGAATTAATCCCGGTTGGGCTTCCAGTCCACTTCGTTTCCTACCAGTAAAATAGACCTTAAACTCGGAGCTCCACCAGCAGTCGAGCGGTGTCCAGACACCAGGGGTTGTGTTGCGCCACGGCTGATTGAGGGGGGCTTGTTGGGGTTCATCCCACGACTGGTCGCTTCTTATCGACCGATTTGTTCTCAGATGGATCCCCGAGGAGTTCTCTGCCGAGGACGCCCAGAGAGAGAAGCTGCTGCTTCTGGAAGGTGCGTGCTGTGTTCCCGCACGGACGGAGGCAGCCTGGCGAGCCGTCGTGCCACGATCACGGAAACTTTGCGACCTTCATCAGTAACGCGGCCCTAACGAGGAACGCTGCAACGGCACGCGTGACAGCCGAAGTCTCTGGCAACGGCCCAGCCTCAGATCTCTGCTGTGACAGGGGGCCGTTGCCACGAACGTCGTCTATTCTAGAATGATTTCCTCTGCAGGGCCGTGTTATTGGGGAACGTGTTGAGGCATCGTCGTTTGTGCCTGTGCACCGCTGCCAATGCAGTACGTGTGTACTGTAAGTACTGTATGTTGAACTTATTTCGCACTGTACGTAGCCAACCGTGCTAATTGGAGGGAAGGACAACAAGCTAAAGACAAAAAGCAGTTCTGCAGAAATGAGTTTTCAATGTAGATTTAAAAGTGCATAGCTCCAGCGGCTTCCTAATATCGGAAGAAAGCGTTCCAACTATATATAATAGTTGAACAAACACTGCCTTGTTACTCTTTGATTATTTCGGTAAAGTCATGTAGAAGGGAAACAATAAAATAATAAAAATATAAAACAATAAAATTCTCACGACATTTCGACTGCAATCATCATCGATGATGATTGTTTGTGTTGCAGTCGAAACGTCGTGAGAATTTTATTGTTTTATATTTTAATTATTTTATTGTTTCCCTTCTACGTGACTTTACCGAAAGAACCAAAGAGTGTGGATTCCTGCAGTCACGAAAGCTTTACATCAAGACTGCATCGTTAATTCGCTGCAACGATCTTCGAACAAAACAATGTCAGACCCTCCTAAGAAAGAGAGTCCTATGACTCAGTGTGGTGCTCCTGAGAATAAAAAAAAACATTTCGATTGAAAGCTTTCGTGACTGCAGGGATTCATATTCTTGGTTCTTTCGGTAAAGTCACATTGAAGGGAAAAAAAAACAAATATTTTTTTTTATTTCCCTACTACGTGACTCCACCCCAACTAGCGATGTAGGTGCTACTTCAAGTAGAGGTACCGACAATCTGCCCATCGAAATGCAAACTATGCTTGTTCGCGAAAGCCTACATGTTACTATACTTGTTAATGCTTTCCAACTCGGGTTGAAAACAAAAATATTATTTTATTATTTCCCTTCTACGTGACTTTACCGAAAGAACCAAGAAAAATAAAAATAGTTCTGATCTCATTGCTCTATCTTCTCGGTGGGCATGTTCTTGGCCACGTGTTCTTGGCCACGTGTTATTGGCCTGCCATTCGCCAGTCTCGTTCGCTGGACTGGGAGAGATATGTCCAACGTTTCATGAGGATTCATGGCGGGGGACAGTGTCAAATGCCCTGCATGCAGAGTGTGCTGCAGACGCACATCGTGTGAGCCGTGTGCTGATGGTTGCTCGTCTTTCTGTCCTGCGATCGTCTGCAGAAATCCGGAAAGTGACGCCCCTGGAAGCGAAGTCGGAGGTGAACGGTAAATAGCCTCGCCTTGGCCGCTTCGCTCTGCCTCGCCCGGTCCGCTCATTCGTTACCGTGCCCCCAGTGGGAAAGGACATTTGTATCAAAACACCCCCCCCCCCATGCCATAAATAGAACGCTCCTTCATTCACTTTGTCACACCTTTGGAGCATACCATTTCGTGGCGATGGTGGTTGCATTGTTGGGCATGTTTCTCCATCTACTGTTGCCTCTGTTTATCGGCGAGTAAAAGGATAGCGCTTTAACTCGGTGAGTGCAGGGTGTATCGGCAACTCAAGGTGGGATAATATGTGGGCACCTCCACCCCAACTCGCTATGTAGGTGCTACTTCTAGTAGAGGTACCGACATTCTGCCCATCGAAATGCAAACTATGCTTGTTCGCGAAAGCCTACATGTTAAACTATACTTGTTAATGCTTTCCAACTCGGGTTGAAAGCGTTATTGCATTAGCTCTTTCCATTCTGTCCGCCTTGAAGAAGGGGTGACGACAACTCTTGTAAGGGGCCATCCATTTAGTGAGTACGCAAAAATCTGTCAAAACTTGACCCCTCCCCCCTCCCTGTATGCACGCGTACTTTTTCCACCTCCCCCCCCCACCTGCGTACGTACGCTTGACGCACCCCCCCCCCCCACCGAATCCTATAGGACGGCCGATATTTAATCCACGCAGAAACGATCAAGGATTAATAATATTCATGTGTTTAAGCAAACAGATAGTCCTCCGCCGGCTGCATTATTATCGAGGCTTCACCCACCCCCATTTCCTATGCTACGTACATTGTCAGTAGACCCCCCCATACTCAAACGTACGCATTTGGGTTAACCCCCCCTCCCCCCTCCATGCGTACGTACTAAAGGGATGACCCCTAAAGGATGTTGCTACACAAAGCCGTGTTGCTATTCAGAACTTTGCCCTTGAGAACACCGACCACATTGTTCAAAGGGCTATTACCCTAAACGTGGAGACAAACCACCCCCCCCCCCCCAGTGCTCAAAGAAATTCTTAAAACCAGCGCAAAAATGAAGCGTGTGTCTCCCCTCCCACCACCTCTCGACGACGTCATCGCGCGTGACGTCATTGCTCATTGCCACACGTTTATGACTTCGTCCCGTCGTGCGGCTTGAAACTGAGCCTCACTGTCGCACGTTGGAACGCGTTGCAGATCCCGTGCGTGCGCACAAGTGTTTTTTTCTCTTCCTTATTTTTACACCGATGAGTTTGCGTCAATCACCCTCCCCCATAATCCGTGATTGTCAGGTGCCACCGTCGACTGCAAATGATCGCGATTGCCATCGTGTCTGCACGTGTCCGTCGCGTTCTGACATTCGATTACGTCCTCGCTTTTTGTAAATTTGACTTTAAAAAATGTCTATCTCTGCGAGTCTCTCGGCGTAATTTTTTTGCTGAAATCATCGGCATCTTTAATCGTCGAACGTGAGACCTTTACATTTGGATCTTTCGATTTAATTTAACTTTCTTATGATTCGCAAGCCCTGAGATCAAAGATGCTCATAAAGTAATGCCAATTGGCATGAAGACACAACAAAATAAAAAACGAAAGAACGTGCCAGCCCATCCTTGCTGTGGTAATGTTCACCATTTGTACATCTCATCTCAAATAAATTGCATGAAGAATATATGAAACTCTCCGGTGTGATTTCTTTTTTTTTAATCTCTCCGTACAATCAAGCCTGCCCTCTCAAGCATGACAGCCGTTTTCCGAATTGAAACATTCGTGAGCAGGTTGATGTAATCAGATTTTGATCTCAAACAATGGACCATGATTGATGATGGTTTATAAAGATGATGATGATTGTGATGATGACCTCACGCATATGGACAAGAGGTGAAATTTATAACCAAGTCTCATGACTCCCTTTCAGTAGGGTCCTGCCAAATGTTTGCAGTCGGAGGCGATGATTGCTTCAGTGAGGGGAAAAAAGTATTTGATCCCCTGCTGATTTTGTACGTTTACCCACTGACAAAGAAATTATCAGTCTGTAATTTTAATGGTAGGTTTATTTGAAAAGCGAGAGACAGAATAACAACAACAAAATCCAGAAAAACGCAGGTCAAAATGTATAAATTGATTTACATTTTAATGAGGGAAATAAGTATTTGACCCCCTCTCAATCAGAAAGATTTCTGTCTCCCAGGTGTCTTTTATACAGGTAATGAGCTGAGAATAGGAGCACACTCTTAAAGGGAGTGCTCGTAATCTCAGCTTGTTACCTGTATAAAAGACACCTGTCCACAGAAGCAATCAATCAATCAAATTCCAAACTCTCCACCATGGCCAAGACCAAAGAGCTCTCCAAGGATGTCAGGGACAAGATTGTAGACCTACACAAGGCTAGAATGGGCTACAAGACCATTGCCAAGCAGCTTGGTGAGAAGGTGACAACAGTTGGTGCGATTATTCGCAAATGGAAGAAACACAAAATAACTGTCTATCTCCCTTGGCCTGGGGCTCCATGCAAAATCTCACCTCGTGGAGTTGCAATGATCATGAGAACGGTGAGGAATCAGCCCAGAACTACACGGGAGGATCTTGTCAATGATCTCAAGGCAGCTGAGGCCATAGTCACCAATAAAACAAATGGTAACACACTACGCCGTGAAGGACTGAAATCCTGCAGTGCCCGCAAGGTCCCTCTGCTCAAGAAACCACATATACATGCCCGTCTGAAGTTTGCCAATGAACATCTGAATGATTCAGAGGACAACTGGGTGAAAGTGTTGTGGTCAGATGAGACCAAAGTGGAGCTCTTTGGCATCAACTCAACTCGCCGTGTGGGAGCTGAAGGTTCGAGTTGCCAAACATCAGCCTCGAAACTTTAATGACTTGGAGAAGATCTGCATAGAGGAGTGGGACAAATCCCTCCTGAGATGTGTGCAAACCTGGTGGCCAACTACAAGAAACGTCTGACCTCTGTGATTGCCAACAAGGGTTTTGCCACCAAGTACTAAGTCATGTTTTGCAGAGGGGTCAAATACTTATTTCCTTCATTAAAATGCAAATCAATTTATATTTTTGACATGCGTTTTTCTGGATTTTGTTGTTGTTATTCTGTCTCTCACTGTTCAAATAAACCTACCATTAAAATGATAGCCTGATAATTTCTTTGTCAGTGGGCAAACGTACAAAATCAGCAGGGGATCAAATACTTTTTTTCCCTCACTGTGTGTTCATGTGTCTGCTCCTTTCTTGCGAATTACGTCATGGGATCTTTAACGTCGACCCTGAAGCAGACGGCGTGCGTTATAGTATGGTTACCACGCAGACCGCAGTGTTAACCAGGGTGGCCGCTGGAGTTCCGACCGTGAACGTCCGCCAAGAGTGGCGGACGCACCACCGTGAGGCCGTGTGAACGCCTTGCCGGGTTTTGTTCACGGGGCAGTTCGGGGTGTTCATTGAGCTCACCACGTCATCGGTCGCTGAAAAGCAAAGGGGGAATCTTGCAGGCGGCTGCTAGCATGCAGAGACAGAACGTGAGGGGTCCACTGTGAGAGGTTGTGACTGCAGCCACGTCTGATGTAAAAGTTAAATGATGATGCGAGAGAAATCCGCTGAGGGCACGGGCTAGAAGCAGCAACAGCAGTGGTGGCAATTCAGCTGTAGCATCCTCATTGTCGTTATCATCATTTTCCTGCCTCGAAAAGTCAACAACTTCTGTTTACATTTCTTGAAGAGCTACCGATTCAGCACCATAGAAAAATTATCACTTCAACCACCGGCTGAGGAACACAAATGGCTACGGATGGAAATGGATCTGTTTCATTGTCTTCACGTTCAAACGTTGACCATGGCCCAGCAACTGTGGCGACGTCTGAGCGTGGTTACGTAGCCCTAGCGTGCGTGGGAATGTCCCCTGTTGCCCGTGACACCTCTGTCGTGTATCAGTCCAGCGGGACGATGGGTGTGAGACAAATGTAAACCTCTTCGAGCCGTGAAATTATAATTGTTTTGTTCGTCGCGTTTTCAGCGCAACAGCTCACCGATCACCTCCCGTTTTGAGAAATGGAAGTAAATCTGGAATTCGGGACAATGCATTGGAACCTGGCAGCATCGTGGCGGAGTTGAGGCATTACCGTGTTAAAGCAAGCCAAGGGCGCAAGCGGAAGGCCAGAAGGATGCCTTTGTAGCGCCCTCCCTGTCGTAGTTGCGTTCGTGCCTTGTCTTGTGTTTGCACCCAATTGCTGAGCGGTTGATATTTTACCATCACGGGAAGGCCTCAATGATTGGACTTGGTAAATGCTGGAGCAGAGGGCCTCCCCCGGTCTCCTGGATCCTGCGTCACGTTGGCTGAAATGTGGTCATTTGAGGTGGCGCGTTGGTTCAGTGGGCACGTAATGTCTGTCAGAAGCACTGAGCCAGCACTGCCGTGGTGGCGAGATGTTAACTCCCTCGCCTGGTATATCGGCGGTCCGTGGATTCGATCCCGACCCTGACGCCTGTATATTTGGAGTTTGCATGTCTCTCTCCGTGGTTTTTCCCTCAACATTTGGAATCAATGCGCGTTTTAAAGTATATTTGGCTGCTCTAAATTTCCCCATCTTAAAGCCAACTTCGTTGAGCTTACAATTCGTGAGAGCCAAGTCGCTTCTGAAGAAGAGCTACACAGCTCAGTGAGACTTACCCGGTAAAATTTAAATAGCCACGTTTGGTTCTTGCTCAGTGCCTCGGGGTCTCGAGCAATGCCACAGAGTTATCTCGGCCTGCGTCTCCATTCAGACTTTTCGTTGCGTCGGCGCAGCCGGCGCTCGCGCTGCGCCCTCTGCGCTGCGTGGCAGCCGCAGTCACCGTTGCGCTTATTGGCGCTTTCCGTCTTCGTTTGCCCCATTATTCTCTTCACTTTGGTAACGGCTGGCACTGCGCGTGTCCTCCCTCCCACCAACCCCCCCCACCCCCGCCACTGATAGAGAGTGAGTGGAAGATTTTGCTGGTGACGGGCGACGGGCCGGACTCGGGCACGGAGGCGACCGTGAGCCTCGTGGTGTACGGGGAGCGCGGCGTGTCGCGGACGCTGCTGCTCGGCTCCGGGGAGAGCCACCTCTTCAAGCCGCGCAGCGTCGACAGCTTCCGGGTGAGCAGGCCGAGCCATCGCGACGACGGGCCGAGGTTTGCGGTGCCGAGCGGTCGTGCGTTCGCCGCTCTTTGCTGGGGAATCGCGGTGCGTGCTGTGGTCGCTATATTCAGATGTTAACTGCCTCGCCTGGTGCACAGGATGTCGTGGGTTCGAGCCCGACCCTGACGCCTGCTGTATATTTGGAGTTTGCATGTATCTCTCCCCGTGGTGGCGTGAATTTTTTTTTGCGGTTTCTACTGGTTTTTCTCTCGACGTTTAGAGTCAACGTGCGTTTTGAGAATTTGGCTGCTATACGTTTTCACGTGATAAGCCACTTCGTTGAGCTATCATTTTTGGTCAGTGGGCCTTACCTGGTAAAATAAAAAAAGTGTATCATTTAGTTTTAGTCTCCACAATGGACGCTAGAGATTCCACGATGTTATTTGAAATAGCCTGGGCCTTGTGTGCCGGCGTCATTTTGCCAAATTCCGTAAATTCCTCGCAAATTTATTTTTATTGGGAAGCCGCACGGCATCATTGCCGCCACTGGCAGACTGATGCCCTCTTGCAGACTCGCTGGGGCTTTCACATACCAGGTAATCATGATGACGCCTCAAAGGAGCACGAAGCCTTGCATAGTTGGCAGCCACTCAACAACAGCGACAATGGGAGGTGGAGGGAGCAACACTCACATTGAACAGTCGGCGCAGTGGGGGGGGGGGGCACAGATAGTCCATGAGCACCAACCAGATATCCAGGTAACTCACTGGTCAGTACAACCTGAGGTATCATCACTTGAAGTTTCCAATTGTCTCTGTGTGGTCCTTAACAGTGAATTACATAATAACCACTTGAGATGAGTGGTTTATCAAATAAACCACTTTTTAGCCATGTACTGTATATAAATTGTTAAGACTGTTTTAAGAGGACCGGTGTATTATTCTGCACCGGTGTACCGCCAGTACGTCCATATACTGTATAGTGGGAAGTGGTGGTGCAGTGTTTAGTGCACTGCGCTATGAACCCCATGGCCCGAGTTCGATTCCCGCTAAAAACCAACACGTACATATACACCCGTGCGTTCCGCGGCTGCTAGATCTCTCTGCCGGAGCTGGGGGAGCTGTACAAGCTGCGCGTGGGCCACTCGGGCGTGGGCGAGGCCTCCGCCTGGCTCCTGGAGCGCGTGCGCCTCAAGCCGGCGGGCGGCCGCCCCCTGGAGCTGCCCGTGACCCGCTGGCTCGCCGACGACCGAGACGACGGCGACACCTGGAGGGAGGTGCCCGTTCCCCGGCCCGGCAAACGCCTCCTGCCCGGTGAAATGCCGCGCCCCGCGGTTGCCCTTTGTCTCCTCCTTGGCGACGTTGTTTTGCACACATCGCACCAGGTGCTCATTCAGACCTTGGTGATGCCCCAGGACCGGTTCGGATATTGGTCACTGTTGTTGGCTGCGACATGGAAATCAAACTCGGGCCACGGGATTCATAGCGAAGTGTGCTAACCACTGTGCCACCGCTTCCCACTGTGTTGTGTATATATACAGCAAACCCTTTTCTCCAGTGCCAAATGTATTGGAGTACAGTTCGCCGATTGCCCGCCCCTGTGGCTCAACCACTCGCGGTTTGGCCGCGAGATTCCTGTACGCGTCGTAACTGCACGGTGACGCCTGTGACCTCGCTTTGGGCCTAGGGTCACGGTCAAAGGGGCGTCTTCATCGTCGCTTTATCTCTTCAGCTGTCGTGAGAGTCGACGCATAACCTCCGCGGTTTACGCTTACGGGTACCCCATCCTCCGTTTGGCTCAAGAGTTGAGTTTTGCTTCACGGCGACGCATCTCACTGCTGTCCCTCTGGCTTTGGGTCTTCCCTTTTATGCGCCACCGGTTTCGTGCTACACCGGTACCGGTCTCTGTAACCTGCCCTCCTGCACGGTTCGTCCCACCCATCGCAACCTCCTCTCCATCCAGATCGCATCTCTCCAACGCTTTCTTGCCTACACTCTAATCCAAAGCTCAAAGTTTCATACCCTGTCATGCCGTGCCATTCCTAGCAACCTCTTAGCAGTATTTCTGCATGCGCAGTCAAACCAACGCTGCTGTCTAATCAAGCTGATGAACAGACCCAGGAGCTTTGTCGCTGCCATGGTTGAGATGTCACTGTCGTTGTTATTGAGACGCCAATGGTTGTTGTTGCTCACAAGTCGATGGTTGTTCGTGTCCCGCAGTGGTGGTGTACCAGTTGAGCGTGCTGACGGGCGGACGCGCGGGAGCCGACACGGACGCGCGCGTGCACGCGTCACTCTGGGGCGAGCGGGGCGACTCGGGGGCCCGACTTCTCCACCGCTCCCTCAACAACCCCATCCCCTTCCAGGAGGGGCAGGTGTGGAGGCCGGCACTGGGCGTGGGGGGGCGGCACGGGGTGGGGGACGGATAATGTGGGAGTGCGAGGAGCGGGTGGTTTGCGATCGCGCTTGAATTCACATTCCGGTTGGCGTGTGGACCAATAATATTAACGCCACTTTGTGCGAAGTCAAAAGTTGTTGTCCTTATGGATAGATAGTCCCTCTCCATAGACACTTCCTTACTTTCTTCCTTCCAAAGAAGCCACTGGAGCTATGCACTTTTAAATCTAGATTGCAAACTAATTTCTTTAGAACTGATTGTTGTGGTTAGTGTGTTGTCCTTCCCCCACACCTCCGATTAGCACGGTTGGCTTCGTATGTTGCGAAAGAAGTTCAACATATATACATGCACGTAGATACATATACGTGGAATGCCCTTAACGCTGACTCAGAACTACAAATAGGAGATCCCCGCTATCTGACTTGAACGCATGATGTCCGACATCTCGCTTCGCACGCTGGGACCTTCAGGAATTTTATTCTAAGCTCCCCACGCGTGCAGCAAAACGTCGGACATCGTTGCCGAACAACACGCGGTACAACCCTACACTGATGAAGACCCCCTGTATAGCCTTGACAAACTCTTGGGGCAAGTGCTGTTGGTGAGCATCTATGAAGGCCCGTATGGCACACGAGGGGGTGGGTGGCCGGCACCACGCACGGCCGCCTTTATCTACCTAGTGGCGATGTTTACACTCCGCACAAGGTACTCCTTTTAGGCTGAGTCGATCTAGGGGAGGCCCAGGACCGGTTCAGATAATCGTCACTGTTATTGGCCCTGAGCAAGAATCGATCCCGGGTCACCGCTACACCACCGCTCCCCTACACGCACACGCACGCGACCGCTCCCCTACACGCACACACACGTGTCTGAGAGCTTCACAGCCCCACAGCAACAACAAACGTAGCGGGAGAGCGCCTGCAGAATGTCACTCCCATCGAGATGGAAGCAGCGGACAGTTCTCACTTGTGGGATGTGGGCCATGGTCGCGTGCATCCGGCCTGGTTCTGGTGGCGGCTCACGGTGCTGGCGCCACAGGCCGCCAATCCCCCTCCCTCTCTGCCTCCTTTTTGCTCGCTCTCTCTCAGATGGACGTGTTCCGGCTGGAGGCCGTTTCCCTGGGCGAGCTCCGCAAGGTGGTGATCGGTCACGACGGCACGAGCCCAGGTGACGTTCCAAAAGCATGGCCGACCGTGGCTCGACCGGCTTCGAAAATTTCACCCCCCCCGCTTTCGTTCGAACGAGCGCCGCTATCGTCGTTAGAGCACGCCGCGTGGTAAACTGGCGAGACGGATCGAGATTTTTTGCGTGAGCCGGCCCCCCGACTCCTCACGCAGCTGCGAAACCTTTCACTCTGCTGCAGGGCAGGGCTGGTTCCTGGACAGGGTCGTCGTGAAAGTGACGGGCAGCGAATTGGACAGGGAATACGTCTTCCCGTGCGAGAGGTGGGTGCGTGTGCGTGAGAGGGCACCGTGGTGGCGAGATGTTCACTACCTCGCCTGGTATATCGAAGGTCGTGGGCTCGATTCCGACCCTGACGCCTGTATCTTTGAAGTTTGCGTGTCTCTCTCTCAACGTGGTTGCGTGGATTTTTCTCCGGTCAACACACGTTTAGAGTACTTGACACGTGATAAGCCACTTCGTTGAGCTATCATTTGTGGCCAGGTCGCTTCTGAAAGAGAGCTATATGGCTTCGTGGGCCTTACCTGGTAAAATAAAAAATAGTTTAGTTTCATAGAAAAAGTTTTTATTTAGCGTATACCTGTCCCGTCGTGCCTGTGTATGTAAACGTGTGCTGGAAGTGGCAACGCAGCCGTTAGCATACCGCGCTTCGAACCTGCTGACCTGAGTTCAATTCCTGGCCACTGTTTAGACAACCTTCGCAATCTGCACGGTGTGGGGAGGCCCTTATTCAGCAATGGATTAACAAAGGGGCTGTACGCATACATTATCATTATTATAAACTAGCCTTTTGCCCGTCCTAGGATGGAAGTTGTAATATTTACGTAAAGAAACGTCTGCGTAGAGTTTTATTTTAGACGGGGGGGGGGGGGGGGGGGGTGCGGCATATGGAGTGATTTCACGCGCGTTACAGACATTTCTGGGCTATTATAGTAGTAATCAAGGCATCGTTTCACACTTATGCGCTTCTCCGGCCGTCTGGAACACTCTTCCTTCCGATATTAGGAAGCCTCTGGAGCTATGGCACTTTTAAATCTAGATTCGAAAACTCATTTCTTTTCAACTGCTTTTGATGTTTAGTTTGTTATCCTTCCCCCGCACCTCCGATTAGCATGGTTGGCTACGTACAGTGCAAAAAAAGTTAAACATACATACGTACATAGCAAGCGTGGCAATGAGAGGAAGGCCATCACGTTCGCGGGCCATAACACATTTCGTGCGACATGTGGCGTGAAGGTGGCTGGACCAGGGCAGGGATGACGGAAAGGTGGAGCGGGAGCTGGAGGCTCAAGGTAAGTCCTGGTGGAACCACGCGTGGCCATGTGCGGCTAGGGTGGCCGCGGGGTTGAGGGCTTACGCGGTGTCTGTGTCACAAACCGTGAGCCCGCATGGCCGAGGGCCTTATCTGATATCATCTAGATTTTAAATAAGGCGCCTTATTCCGAGGCGCTTTACAGCATTTATTAAAAAAAAAATACTGGTATGTACGAGGTAAGTGGTTGAGGTGAAGGGTGGGGTTATTAAAAGTGGTGGTGTGGTGATGGTGACAGTTGGGAGAACAGGCGAGAGAGGTTAATGGAGGGGTTGGAATTCAGCAATCATGGTTTACACAGGTTTTACATGGAAACATTTTTACCACAAGTATGTGTGGTGAATGCAAGAGTTGAAGTCTCGTAAAAGGTGTCACCTCCAATGAGCACGGTTGTCTACGTATGGTGCAAAAGAAGTTCAACATACAGTACATACATTTGGTGTGTGACATCTTAACGTCTCCAGAAAGGGCGAAGCCATTTCTTTATTTTTTTCGTCTCTGATTCTGGCAATAAAAAGGGTCACAAAGAGAGATCTCGGTTTTAAATGGGACCGGCCTCCGACGTGAGACTGTACGGTCATGGCGGCGAATCTGATCTGCGCTCATGACACTTTATTTTTCAGCTCCCATACAGATTGGCAAGACTCCGAAAAAAGGTGAGTTTACAATCAAGGCCGTTACATAATAAAGGGTTTTTTTTGGGGGTTATATCACGTAAATATAAATGTGTCATTAACACACCACCACCCGACACAGCCAATTAGTAAGGTTTGTAACGTACCAATCAGTTACTACTTCAGCACACCGGTGTGTTGGAGAGTAAACCCACAACATTTACAATTTGAGTACGATGTTTCGCTGGTAATTACATCCAGCTTCATCGGGCGGTTTTGTAAATGTTGTGGGCAAGTGCTGTTCGCGAGTACCCATGAAGGCCAGCACGGCTCATGATGGAGTGGGTGGCCAGCACCAGTCCTGACAGCTGTCTCTTCAGTGACAATGTTCTCATTTGAGTCTGAGTCGACCTAGGGGTGGCCCATGACCTGTTCAGATAATCGTCACTGGTTTTGGCCACGAGGGAGAATCGAACTCGGGTCGCCGGGTTCATAGCGCAGCCTGCTAACCGCTGCCCCACCGCTACCCGCCCCCCTACGCACACAGACACGCGCTACCGCGTGACGGTGATCACGGCGTCCGACTCGCTGCCCCCGCTGGGCGCCTCGGCCTCCCTGGTGGCGTACGGCGCGCAGGGCCGCTCCGACGAGATGACGCTGCCGTCCGTGCGGCCGGGCCACCTGGGCTTCCAGCCCGGCTCCTCCGACACCTTCCTGGTCCGACTGACGCAGCCCCCTGGACAAAGCATTCACACAACAACAACGACAACAACCGCCATTCGCCACTAAGTGGCGGTGACGTCACCACGGCGCTTGTGCCAGGCTATGTGCACGTTAAGGCCACGTGAAGTGTCAAACGCCCGTTGGCTGGAGGTCACGGGGCAGACCCAGGTGCCATGGGTCGACTGACTGAGATGATTGGCCGCTGCATTCACACACAGCCTGGCATCGCGTTGAATTCCACCTGTCCCTTCTTGTATGGGATGGAGCAGGGATCGGCAAACCTGTGGCACTGGAGGCGCGTGCGGCTCTTTAAGGGACCGCTTCGTGACGTCATTTATTAAGGACCACCGTCTCGTATTCACCACGTGCAATGCGGCTCCTGAAATATTGAGGTTTTTTTTACATAATTCGAAAATAAATGGCTCTTCTTGTTATTTTTCTTGCCGACCCCAGGGATAAGAGTGTCACCCCCTTTGCACGCATATGGCTTTCCCCGGGTGCTCCGATTTCCTCCCTTATTAACCGGCCAATAACACCTTTATAAATATATATAGAGGACTGCAGAGCTTGCAGGGGAATTTGGTGCTGGCTCACCGCACGGCCGCTTCCTTTCCCGCTCGTCTGTGGTTCCTCCTCACGCCTCCGAGTCGGTATCTGTCTTAGAGAGTGAGCAGCAAATGTTGCAGCGACGTCGCATTACAAGTGGGAAATGTTACATTATTACGTGACGTATGGATCAGAAACGTGGACAATTGACTTGGAATAAAATATGAGAGGTATATATGTATGTTGAACTTCTTTTGCACTGTACGTAGCCAACCGTTGTGGGGAGCGGTGGTGTAGCGGTTAGCGCTCTGCGTTAGGTCGACTCAGCCTCAGATGAGTACCTGGTGCGGTGCGTAATCATCACCACGGGGAAGACAAAGGCGACCGGGCGTGGTATTGGCCACCCACCCCCTCGTGTGCCGTGCCGGCCTTCATAGATGCTCGCTAACAGCTTTAATGGAGAGGCTGTAGAGGGGATGTTGAACTTCTTTCGCACCCTTACGTCGCGTAACCGTCGAGCTCTCGCCTGTGGGCTCATCCTGGAACTCCCCCCCCCCCCTTCAGGTGGACCCGGGCGACGTTGGGGAGCTCTACAAGGTGCGGCTGAGCGTGGAGGACCCCTCCGAGTGGCAGGGCTGGCACCTGGATGCACTGCGGCTCGAGGAGGTGGCCACGGGCCACGTGCTGGCGCCCGCCGACGCCCGCGGGTGGCTTTCGCGCACGCGGGGCAAGCGCGGCACCGCGCGGGAGTTTGCCGTGGCCCCCGAGGGACGGTCGCCCCTGCCCGGTGAGCGGGCGGTTCCCTGGCAAGGGCAGCGGGAGGGGCAGTGGTGATGGTGAACGTGTGCGTTTAGTTTCGTGTTCAGGTTGTCTCCCCCCACTCCCTACCGCACCTTCAAGTAGCACGATTGGCTATGTACGTTGCGTAAGAAGTTCGACATACATACGTACGTGTACACGCACAGTCCGGCAGCCTGGGAGCATTCTGGTTCAATGTGTGTTTCCAGCAGTTTGTTTAAATGGGTAAAGGATGAAGCGCTCTTTACTTTACCGGATTCTATCCCAGGATCTCGACTGAGCCTTCTGACCTCTGAGCCACCTGGCCATCTATTTGAGCCACGGGGGATGGCGAATCCTTGTTCGCTAGCTACGTGCAGTTCGTGGGCAGTTCAAGTGCGGCTCCATAGAGATGCACGTCGTTTTAAACTTTTCAAGATGAATTTATTTGAAATGGGAAAAAAAAATATCCGTGGATATGGGCATAGCTTGGGGCACTGGCCGCTGGCAGCTGGCAGCTGAGTGCTTGCAGATGTATAAGTTCAAACCTTTAAAACAGCCTGCCTTAGCAGATTCCCCCCCCCTCCTTTTTTCATCCTGATGACGATTGCTTGTGTTGCGATCGAAACGTCGTGATATTTGTATTCACTTTATTTTTATTTTTATCATTTTATTGTTATAATTTTTTCTATCTACGTGACTTTACCGAAAGACCCAAAGAACATGAATTCCTGCAGTCACGGAGGCTTTAAGTCAGGATTAAAAAAATGTCAAAAAGAAATGGGGAAATAATTTATTAAAGATATTCTGAACGTTGACGGTGAACAACTTTCCTCCCCCCCCCCGCCTCACGATGCCAGTCCATCGTTACGTGGTGTCCGTGCACGTGGGCGAGCGGTGGGGAGCCGAGACGTTTGCCGGCGTGTACATGACGCTGTATGGGGAGTCGGGCGACACCGGCTGTCGCAAGCTGCTGCGCTCGCTGCAACCGGGTCTCAAGTTCCAGCGGGGCCGGGTGAGTGATCCCGCTGGGCCGGTGGTGGAGGTGCGGCAAGTTCCAGGTTCCTGGCCCACCTGTGCGGACCTCTGCGTGTTATTTCCTCCGTCTCCACGGCGGACGTGCCCTCGATCGCATTCTCTCATTCGTTGATACTTTGTTGTTGTAATTTTCTGGCCCGCCCCTTCTGGACATCTGTGAAGAAGATCTTCATAGCTCATCGGATTTCTCCAGGATAAGTAAAGATTCTGATTCTGGCGAAACGATCCTCGCCCGGCATCCCGCCCCGGGACCCGCTCACGTTTATTAACGTTCAACTCGACGTTTCCGCGCCGCGCACAGACGGACTCTTTCCTGGTGGAGGCGGTGTCGCTGGGGCAGGTGCGCAAGGTGGTGATCGGGCACGACGGGGAGGGATATGGCTCGGGGCTCTTCGTGAAGATGGTAACGGTGCGCGAGTCCAACTCGGCGGCGCGCGAGTCGCTCTTCCCGTGCTGGGCTTGGCTCGACGACCACATGGGCGAGCGCCGCACCGTGCGCAAGCTCCATCTCCTGGGTGAGACGACGCGGCGCACTGGCACGGCACACTGGCACGGCACACTGGCACGGCACACTGGCACGGTACACTGGCATGGTACACTGGCACGGTACATTGGCACGGTACACTGGCACGGTACACTGGCATGGGATGGCACACTGGCACAATACACTGGCATGGGATGGCACACTGGCATGATACACTGGCATGGTACACTGGCACGGCAGGGCAGGGCACACTGGCACGGCATGGTGTACTGCATTAGGTGAACAGACTGTATTTGCTTAAACGTTCATCTCACTCAGCTGGTTCCAGCTCTCAGAATTCCCATTCGGGTTTTGTTGATATTCAACAATTGCTGCTTTGCGTGACATGTCAAAAGTGTGCTTGACCTCATGGACAATCACAGAATGCTGGTTCCAAGGTTCTGTGCTTCATCGTGTTGTGCCCACGTGCCTTGGCAGGCGAGAGGGCCGTGGCGGAGACGCCGAACCATCTCACGGAGTCTCGCCAGGCAGAGCGGAAGGAGGAGGAGGAGGAGAAGAAGGAGAAGAAGGATGACCTCTCGTCCACCTCGCAGTGGAAGATCACTGTGCTGGGAGCTCCCCGCTCGGACGGGGAGGAGGAGGAGGAAAAATGGAAGGAGGAGGGGAGGGAGAAGGGGGAAGGAAAGGGTGGGGCGCACAGGGAGGCCCGGGCACCCCCACACCTCCGGTTGGCGCTGTACGGCACGCGGGGCAGCACCGTCCTGCACACCCATGTCCTGTCCTCCTGCCACGAGCTCACGGTGCCCGTCCACCCCCCCCCCCCACCCTCCCGATCCCCAACAGCACCCCGGCACTTTAGTGAATCTTTATTTAACGTGGCAATATCGTCCTCAATGAAGTCGGCATTGGTTGCACATTACAATAGAATGGGAACGTTACAGCCTACAGGAGTGTGGAACAAAAATAAAAAAATCCCATCACAACTTCAGCGGCTAACACCGAATGAGCAAAATAAAGTGCAACCGTGCGCAATGAAGACATCGCATTTATATTCGTTAGCACGGTTGGCTTCTTACGGTGTGAAAGACGTTCATCATACATAGATACATGCAAAATATACGTGACGGAAGAATAAACAATGGAAAAACCGTTTTTTTTAATTTAGTGGGAAGGCAAATCTGAACAGGTGTGTCTTGTGTAGGCCACGACATTGAGTGACGTACGACGAATTCCGGACGGACGGTGGCAGGGTGGTAGTGGCATGTTTATTTTGTTGCTCGCCTGTGCAGGATGGGGCCGTTCTGCTCTCTCTCCGAGATTTGCCAATCGGTTCATCGTCGTGCGACACAACGCCGATATCATCATTTGTTTTATTTCGATTTAAAGCTTTCGTGACTGCAAGGATTCATCTTCTTTGGTTCTTTAGGTAAAGTCACGTAGAATGAGAATAAAATAATAAAATAAAACAATGAAATTCTCACGACGTTTCGGCCACAACGGCTACTTGTGTTGTGGCCGAAACGTCGTGAGAATTTCATTGTATTATTTTATTCTCATTCTACGTGACTTTACCGAAAGAACCAAAGAAGATCATCATTTGTGTTTTGTCACAGAGGCAATATTTTCCTTCAGTTAGCGCCGAAGGCTTTGGCACGGAAAAGAAGCCCAAGTTTCTAACGATGGCTTGTGAGTCAGACGCGCAATGGAGTCATGTTCCTAGGGCGGTGAGTTGATCTTCTCGGCCTCATGGCCAATCGCTGTACAAACAAAAAATCACTACGTCTGGGGTCTTCACGCAACTCCGTTCATTCCAGCCACGAGCATTAAACTCCTCACGATGACCGCTCCTCGCAGGGAATATCATAAACGTTCTGCGCGATTCCTCTTGCGACCTTACGCTGGCATCACCATGGAAACGCATTGTCTGCCGCCTCCCCCCCCCCCCCCCCCCGTGCAGTGGGACGTGCCGCGCGTGGGGGAGCTGCTGAAGCTGCGAGCGTCCGTGGACCCCGAGGACGACGTGACCTCCGTGCCGCAGGAGGGGGGGGGCGGCGGCGGGGCCGGAGCGGGGAGTGGTGGGGGCTGGGGGGCGCCCCTGCCGGCGTGGCTCCTGCGGAGCGTTCGTCTCACGCCCCCCGCTGGGGGGCCCCCCGAGACGAGTTTCCTCGTCGAGGCGTGGCTGGGCGGGGGTCCCGGCGGGCGCTACGACGCCGAGGTACCGGCGCTGCGGCCGGGGGTCGACCCGCTCCCCGGTGAGTATGTGCGTGCGTTGCTCGTGCGTGTGTGCGTGTGCGTGTTCTTGCGTGTGTGTGCGTGTGTGTGTGTGTGCGTGTGCGTGTTCTTGCGTGTGTGTGTGCGTGTGTGTGCGTGTTCTTGCGTGTGTGTGCCCGTGTGTGCTTGCGTGCGCGTGCGCATGCGTCGATGGAGGAGCTTCGTCAAGGACGCTACTGGGCGTTCGGTTGCAGTCGGCCTCCAGCAGCAACGGAGGGCAGAGCAACGACGAGCGAAGCGTCAGGCGGCTAAAACGCAGCGAGTTGGCACAGTAGGGAGCATAGGCGGCGCATCTGTCGGCCATCTCAGTCAGTGGACCAATGGCACCTGGGTCTGTCCCGTGAGCTCCTGTCAGCGGCGAGCCTTCGATGCTTCACGTGCAATTAAAGTGCACCTCTCTTCGCGCGAGCGCTCTGGCGACGTCACCGGCACTTTGTGGCGAATTGTGGCCGTTTTTGTCCGTTCATTTGTGTGCACGCATGTATATTTTTGCAGTATTGTAGTGGTTAGTGCACTGCACTAGGAAGCTTGTGAACCTGGCGAACCTGGCGACGCGAGTTGGATTCCCGCTCACGGTCAACATCAGTGCCGAATATCTGAACCCTCGGTCGGCTCGGCTGTCGCCGCGCGTGACCCCCCCTGCCTGTCGCTGTCGTAGCGTGACCCCCCTGCCTGTCTGTCTCTGTTGTAGCGTGACCCCCCTGTCTGTCGTAGCATGACCCCCCTGCCTGTCGTAGCGTGACCCCCCTGCCTGTCGTAGCATGACCCCCCTGCCTGTTGTAGCGTAACCCCCCTGCCTGTTGTAGCATGACCCCCCTGCCTGTCGTAGCGTGACCCCCCTGCCTGTTGTAGCGTGACCCCCCTGCCTGTTGTAGCGTAACCCCCCTGCCTGTTGTAGCATGACCCCCCTGCCTGTTGTAGCGTGACCCCCCTGCCTGTTGTAGCGTGACCCCCCTGTCTGTCGTAGCGTGACCCCCCTGCCTGTTGTAGCGTGACCCCCCTGCCTGTTGTAGCGTGACCCCCCTGCCTGTTGTAGCGTGACCCCCCTGTCTGTCGTAGCATGACCCCCCTGCCTGTCGTAGCGTGACCCCCCTGCCTGTTGTAGCGTGACCCCCCTGTCTGTCGTAGCGTGACCCCCCTGCCTGTCGTAGCGTGACCCCCCTGCCTGTTGTAGCATGACCCCCCTGTCTGTCGTAGCGTGACCCCCCTGCCTGTCGTAGCGTGACCCCCCTGTCTGTCGTAGCGTGACCCCCCTGTCTGTCGTAGCGTGACCCCCCTGTCTGTCGTAGCGTGACCCCCCTGCCTGTCTCTGTCGTAGTGTGACCCCCTGCCTGCCTCTGTCGTAGCGTGACCCCCCCCTGTCTGTTGTAGCGTGACCCCCCTGTCTGTCTCTGTTGTAGCGTGACCCCCCTGCCTGTCGTAGCGTGACCCCCCTGTCTGTCGCTGTCGCCCCGTGACCCCCCTGCCTGTCGTAGCGTGACCCCCCTGCCTGTCTCTGTCGTAGTGTGACCCCCCTGTCTGTCGCTGTCGCCCCGTGACCCCCCCCCCGCCTGCCGCTGTCGCCCCGCCAGCGCTGCTGTACGTGGTGGAGGTGCACACCGGGGAGGCGCGCGGCGGCGGGGCGGACGGCCGCGTGTGCGTTCACCTGCACGGGGAGCGCGGCGACTCGGGCCGCCGCTGGCTCGATGGCCGCCCCCGCGCATTCCGCAGGGGACAGGTGAGTGTAAGGGGTGGGGCGGGCGGCACCTGGTTCTTCGCTAGTGCCGTCGGGTATGGGGGCACGCCTGTCAAGCTGTAGAAGCCTTGTCAGTGGGTCACCAAAGCCGTGGGATCCTTCTAGTCCAGGGGTCGGCAACCATAATAAGAAGAGGGTAAGTGGACGAATTCGGCAATGCATGTGAATACGAGACGGTGGTTCTTTATAAATAGCGTCAGGAACCAATCTTTAAAGAGCCGCAGGTTGCTGACCCCCTGCCCTAGTCTAAGAGATTGCCAGCAGGTGACCTCTTCACCTTTACTGTAAATTGTATTTTATTCTGTTATTATTATTTTATCTCCATTCTACGTGACTTTACCGAAAGAACCCAGAAGATGAATCCCTGCAGTCACGAAAGCTTTAAATCGAAATTTAATGATACTCTTTGGGTCTTTTGGTAAAGTCACGTAGGTAGAAAAATAATAGATCACGACGTTTCAGACGCAACACAAGCAATCGTCATCAGGCGAAAAATGGTGAGAAAGCTGCGACAAGCAAGGGGTTATATAAGGAAATGTAAGGCTAGCAAACAGAAGGCTAGTAAGCGACAGATAATCCGAGGGGAGAGGGATGGAACGGGCTGCCATAATGAGCGAGCGGGTGGGGATGCAATTTACAGAGGGATCGGCGACAGGAGGAGAGAGAGGGGGTGGGGCAGGGGGAGAGAAAAGCTGTGTTAGTGAATGTGACTTAGAGAGCCGAGAGACGCTGCTAACATAGGCGGGCAGGAAGGGGACATCACAGCCAGTTATGACCTAAATGGTTAATAACGTCCTTCCAATGATTGATCAGTTTGTACCCATCTTCTCGGTTGAAATTGTGTCTGTGTTTATATATCTGGATGGCTTCATGGACAAATCTTTGATGGTAGCCCGAAGGTTTGCAAAGTACCTTGGTCTCTGAAAAAACAATATCATGTGAGCCCACCGCGTTAAAACAGTGATCAGCCACGCCAGAGGTGTTGCTTCTGCTGTGTTTCAAATCTTAGTCTGTAGACACCAGGGTATTGCATGTCAAGCCACCCACACGGATTCCTATCTCTCCTGCCGTGATATACCACCACTGACACTTCCCACTGTACCGTCCCCCCGTGCGCCCCCCCCCCCCCCCGCCGTGCCCCTGCATGTCCGCCCATACCCTCCCGCCCCCCCCCCCCCCGTGTGCAGGTGGACGTGTTCAAGGTGGAGGCCGTGCACCTGGGAGAGCTGCGGTCGGTCACCGTGGGCTACAGTGGGCACAGGGAAGGTGCGGTGGCGATGGCTCGGCCTGGGAGTGGGAGAGAATGTTTATAAGCCGTCCTTCCCTGCGTGCTATCTTTACGTCGCAATTTTGCTGTGGTACAGTCATGCATGGTGTAAATATTAAACCGGTGTCGCCGTGTGCGGTTTTACCACGTTAGTGGGGTTGTCCCCCATCATATCGCCATGGTGGTGAGATGTTAACTACCTCGCCTGATATACAGGAGGTCGTTGGTTCGATACCAACCCTGATATTTAGAGTTTGAATGTTCTCCCCCATGGTCGCGTGGATTTTTATCCGGGCCCTCCGGTTTTTCCCTCCACATTTAGAAACATGCGTTTAGAGTGTTTGGCTGATACAAATGTCCACGTAATAAGCCACTTCGTTGAGCTATCATTTGATAGCCAGGTCGCTTCTGAAAAAATAGCCACATAGCTCAGTGGGCCTTACCTGGTAAAATAAAAAAATGAAATAGATGTATATTTGGCTGCGATAAATCTCCACATGATAAGCCACTTTATTGAGCTATCATTTGTGGCCAGGTTGCTTCTGAAAAAATAGCCACATAGCTCTGAGCCTTACCTCGTAAAATTAAAATAGTTTAGTTTACATCAATGTGGAATTACCAGCGCATGTCTGTGACTCTCGTTGTGGTAACGTAACTCACGCTGTTGTTTTTGTGGGTCACTGTGTGTGCGTCCGCTTTTGCGTGTGCATGCAGTTGTGCGCACACAGCGCGTGCGCATGCTGCCGTGTGTGTGCTGTTACGCGTGCTGTTATGTACACGATGCCAGTGCGTATGCTGCGCATGCTGCATGTGATGCGCATGATGTGTGTGCTGCGGTTGCTGTGCGCGCTCTGCAGGGGGCTGGCTGCTGGAGCGCGTGGTGGTGACCGAGGGGGAGGCCGCAATGCATCGCTGCGTCTTCTCCCACGGCGGCTGGATCATGGCGGCGCCAGGCGGAGGTCCCGGGACCGTGGAGGTGTCACTCTCGCTCACGGGTGCGACCTCGCGACCTTGCGACCTCGCGACCCGGCGACCTCACGACCTTGTGACCTCACGCGTCAGCAAGCGACGCGGAGAGGAAACTCGCGACTGCCTCGCCCGATGCGTCCCCGCGTTCTGCGATCTCATTGCTGCGTCCATGTCGCCCCGCACCCCCCCCCCCCGTCCCCCGCCATTGCTCTCCAACCGCTTCCCGCGCCCCGCAGAAAAACTGAAGGTGCTGCCGCCCGACCCGGCGAAGGGGGCGGCCGCACCGAGCAGGGGATTGTGGGACGCGTGGGTCATGTCGGCCGAGGCGGAGGGCCCGGGCATCTGGCCGCCGGCGGTGCACGCCGTGGCGTACGGAACGCTGGGGAAGTCGCCGCCGCTGCCCGTCGGCAACGTGAACGACCGGCCCTTCCTGGTGAGATGGCCACTACGAGCTCTGAGAGGAGAGCGGTCCAACGTCCCCGGTGTGGCTGGGACAGGGCCCGTGGTTTTCGATAAGCCTGTCCTGGTTTTTTTTTCCGAAGGGTTCGTAAAAATGATGACCTTGTCCCGCTTTGAAGTGTTCCGGCTTCTCGCTCAAATTGTGATACGGGCAAAAGAATGGGGGTTATACCCGAGCAGTGGGCGGTGTTGGAAATAGCATAGGCACCTGGGAGCCGTATGGGTGGCTTTGCGAGACTCCTCCGAGTGGTGAATCGTTCACGCGGCTTGTGATCGGGAGGCTAAAACTAAACTATACAAAATTTTATTTTACCAAGTAAGGCTCACTGAGCTGTATAGCTCTTTTTCAGATGCGACCTGGCCACAAATGATAGCTCAACAAAGTGGCTCATCACGTGGAGATTTATCACAGCCACATACTCTGAATGCACATTTACTAAATGTGGAGGGAAAAGCCGGAGCACCCGGAGAAAAATCCACGCGACCACGGGGAAAACATGCAAACTCAAAATATACAGCAGGCGTCAGGATCGGGAAATCGAGCCTACGACTTCCTTCCTGCATGCCAGCCGAGGGAGTTAACGTCTGGCCACCGTGGTACCTCACAAGACCGCGCGTTAGATACCGGCGGACGTCGACGGTCGCGCAGCGTGACGCGATGGCGCGTGAACTCTTGTCGCCCGTGCCGCCCGTGTCTCGGTGGCAGCTGCACATCGGCGATGTCGGGGACCTCAGGAAGCTTTCCTTCGTCTGCACCGAGGGTCTGCATGGGAAGGGCATCCTCCTGAGCAAGGTGCACCCCCCCCACCTCCTCCCTCAAGTGCTCGCTGGTCACAGAATGAATTTGTTCCGCACACTTACAGCCTCGCCTGCCAGTGGGAATCGGGATAATTAGTTGGCTATGCGGTGCTGTGGCCAGAAAGGCTGACTCACCAATCGTAAGGACCCAGGTCCAAAGTCCAGTCAAGGGGTCGACTCAACCAATGATCAACAGCTTCGTCTTTATCTGTCACCATCGTGAGAATGATTTGTCGTTGATTGAGCCGCCGCCTTTCACGCCAGGGCATCTCAGAGCACTCCACGTGCGATAGGGAACTTACGCCACATCTCACCTCGACACATTCGAAAGGCACCCCCAGTGTCAGCTGTCTCTGTGTGGCACATGGTGACCCAGCACCTGGCCTGCAAGTGCCAGGTGCTGGGTCACCGGTAGAGGGCGATGATTATCACGTGTAATGCCAAATGAGTAATATGCGGTCATTTTTGAATTTGGCAAAATTAGCACCACGACGCCGGCACACAGTGGCCGATTTTGTGATGACTACAGGAGATCTTTAACGTGCGCTGTGAAGGTAACGGCGCGTAGCGTTTTCATGATTATCGCACCTCCGATTTGCACGGTTGGCTACGTACAGTGCGAAAGAAGTTCAACATGCACCCGCAGTATTAACCATGGCGGCCTGCGTCTTTCGAACTGCGAAACCTCTGCAACAGGCGGCGAACGCGCCACCGATAGGCCGCGTCACTGCCCCACCATCATCATCATCATCATTCCTCTAGGGTCCCTGACATTATTTCCGCTTTGTAGGTAGTTATTGACCTTGAGAATTACCACCGAACCCCCTTGGGTCACCAGGCGCCGTCTGCCCGTGTTTCCAGGTGCGCCTGAAGGACCGTGACACGCGCGAGGAGCTCGGCTTCGAGGCCGCCGACGTGTGGCTGTTTGGCAAAGACGGCACGGAGCCCGTGACAGAGCTGGCGGTGATCCGGCCGGACTGCCCGCCCCTCCCTGGTGAGGCGCGGTCTCCCTCCCCGTGCGACGATCCATTCGTCATCGTCGTCGTCGTCACCGTCATTTAATTAGAACCTTGTGATCGTCATCATTATATGAAATCATCATCGTCATCAGCGTAGTCACCTTGAACTTGAAATCACCTTCATCACCGGTCATCATTATCATCAGTCATCCGCATCACCACCATCATTCTTGTAAAATGTTGTGGTCATCTTAATTCACTTGAAACCACCGTCGTCATCACCACCACCACCACCACCACCACGATGTTCACACCCCTGGGCCTGTACGATAACAAATAACCGATGTGCCCTACACCGCACGCCCTCCTCCTCTCCCCCCCGCCCACGCGTGCCGCTTGGCACGCGCGCAGACGTGGAGTACGAGGTTCGCGTGCGCACCGGGGACGTGCCGGCCGCGGGCACCCACGCGCCCGTCCACCTCACGCTCGTCGGGGAGTTCGGTGACTCAGGCCCCCGGCCGCTGCGTCGCGGCGATCACCGCGACGCCTTCCTCCGCGGCCAGGTCCGGGTCTCGCCCCCCGCCCCCCCCCCCCCCCCGCCCCGCCCCTCTCTTCCCCCGTCCCATCGTGCGCCGCCAACCCTGCGCAGCAACCCTGACATGCCTTCGCCGCTCGTTAACCGCACGCGCGTCCCCGCTCACAAGCCCGACGGCACCTGCGGTGACGTCACCGCAGCACTTGTGCCAGGCTAGGTGCACCTTGAGGCCACGCGAAGTGTCGGAAGGCTCGCTGGCAGGAGGTCACGGGACAGACCCAGGTGCCGTGGGTTGAGTGACTTGAGATGACTGCTGCCAGATGCACCAGCTGGGCCGCCTGCTGTGCCAACTTGCTGCGTTTTAGCCGCCCGGAGCGCCGCTCGTTGTTGTGAGCGTCGCTCCTCTGCCCTCCGTTGTTGCTGGAGAGCGATTGCCTCCAACTGCCCAGTACCGTCCTTCACGAGCCTCCTCCTCCACAAGGTCCTCATTTCAGGCTAAGTCGACCTAGGGGAGGCCCAGGACCGGTTCAGATCATCGTCACCGGCGTTGGCCGTGAACGGTAATCGAACTCGGGTCGCAGGGTTCGGAGGGCAGAGCGCTAACCACTACACCACCGCTGCCCACAACGGTTGGCTACATTCGGTTGCGAAAGAAGTTCAACATACATATATACGTATGCCTTTACATATTTTGTTCCTCGTCAGTGTCCACATTTCTGATAACATACATCACGTAATAATGTAATAACATCACCAGGATCTTAGCGCACCACCGCTCCCTGCACACGTGCGCGCTCACAGACGCTCACGCACGCACGACCTCTGCATTAATCCACCGACCCCACGTCTGAAACGCCGCGTCGGCACCGCGCGTGCTCTACAGACGTCGATGTTCGCGGTACGCGCCGTGGATCTGGGGCCGCTGACGTCTGTGCGGGTCGGCGTGCGCGCCGCCGGGCTCGGCTCGGGCTGGTTCCTCGACACCGTGGCGGTGCGGTGCTCCCCCCCGGGGTCGCTGGGGTCACGGGGGGCAGCCGGCCACGCAGAGCTCCTCTTCCCGTGCCGCCAGTGGCTCGACGACGGAGTCGGCGACCGCAGCACCGAGCGGACGCTGCGGCTGCTCGGGGAGACGCGGGACGGGCTCGGGGAGACGCCGGCGTCGCACGGTGAGAGGAGCTGGGGCCCTGCGGGGGGAGCTGTGCCCACTGTGAGGGTCCCCCCTTGGCCGCGTGCGGCTCTTTAAGGGCCGCTTCGTGACGTTTTTATTAAGGACCCAACGTCTTGTATTCGCGTGCATTTGCTGCTCTTGAAATATTGAGGTTTTTGTTTCACCGAATTGGAAAAAAAAAATGTCTCTTCTTGTAAGTTTGGTTGCCTACCCCCTGCCCTCGGCAGAGCTGCTTCCTGTTAGGTGAGCTACGTGTAGGGTGAGCTGTGAGTAGGGTGAGCTACGTGGAGGGTGAGCTGACTGGAGGGTGAGCTACGTGGAGGGTGAGCTACGTGGAGGGTGAGCTACGTGTAGGGTGAGCTGTGAGTAGGGTGAGCTACGTGGAGGGTGAACTGACTGGAGGGTGAGCTGTGGGTAGGGTGAGCTGAGTGGAGGGTGAGATACGTGTAGGGTGAGCTGAGCGTAGGGTGAGCTGAGTGGAGGGTGAGATACGTGTAGGGTGAGCTGAGCGTAGGGTGAGCTGAGTGGAGGGTGAGATACGTGTAGGGAGAGCTACGTGTAGGGTGAGCTACGTGGAGGGTGAGCTGTGGGTAGGGTGAGCTGTTCGTATGGTGAGCTACGTGGAGGGTGAGCTACGTGGAGGGTGAGCTGTGGGTAGGGTGAGCTGAGTGGAGGGTGAGCTGTTCGTAGGGTGAGCTGTGGGTAGGGTGAGCTGTGGGTAGGGTGAGCTGTTCGTAGGGTGAGCTGTGGGTAGGGTGAGCTGTGCGTAGGGTGAGCTGAGTAGAGGGTGAGCTGAGTGGAGGGTGAGCTGAGTGGAGGGTGAGCTGAGTGGAGGGTGAGCTGAGTGAGGGTGAGCTGAGTGGAGGGTGAGCTGTTCGTAGGGTGAGCTGTGGGTAGGGTGAGCTGTGCGTAGGGTGAGCTCCGTGAAGGGTGAGCTGTGCGTAGGGTGAGCTGAGTGGAGGGTGAGCTGTGGGTAGGGTGGGCTGTGGGTAGGGTGAGCTGTGGGTAGGGTGAGCTGTGGGTAGGGTGAGCTGAGTGGATGGTGAGCTGTGCGTAGGGTGAGCTGTGCGCAGGGTGAGCTGTGCGGAGGGTGAGTGACCAACTTGCATATTGTTGAAAATGAGATGATCTTTCTCAAGCGATTATACAGGTGAAATGTGAGTATAATATCATAGATATAATTAAAATCCACACAACAGGTGCTCTAGGGTGCTGCGGGGCTCCATTGCTAGCTGAGGGCCATGCAGGGAATTCCAATCTGCACTGATCGGTGCGGTGATGTACGGTCAGATGACCCCCACAGCCCACACGGTTTTTGATAAGGCCCTCATCCAAGGCCCCGCTTGGGGTGCAGAGAGTGAGATGAAGTGGACATTTGTTTTATTCCTTGCAAGTGGAGTATATTCTCTCCCTCTCTCCATGACTCTTTCTCCTTTTCCCTCTCCCTCCCTTCCTCTAACTCTTTGCCTCTCTTTTATTCTCCTTTCCTGCCTCTCCCTATCTCGCTGCACACATCTTTCTCTCCCTGCCTCTCGCTCCCTCTCCCTGCCACTCTGTCTGTGGAGCTCTCCCTCTCTGTCTCTTTCCCTCCCTCCCCTACCCCCCTCTCTCCCTGCCCCTGTTCTGTCGCCGCAGGGGGCTCGTGGACCCTTCGCCTTCACACCGGTGACTTCCCGGACGCCGGCACGGAGCTGGGCATCTCGGTGACGGTGTGCTGCCGGGCCGGCGCGGCGCCGCCCATCGGCGTGCCACGGGGGGCCCTGCGGGCCAGGGGCCGCCACTACGAGGCCTCGCTGGTGCTGCCCGAGGAGCTGGGCCCCGTCGTCAAGGTCCGCGTCGAGATGGAGGAGGGCGAGGCCAGAGACAGCTGGTACTGCCGCAAGGTGCGTGAAGAGTGCGGTGGCAGCTGTAGCAGATGGCGTCAGCAACGGCCGGCCAGCCGGCCGGCCTTGTGTTGAATGCTGTACAGCTCAGTTTGACAGTGCGTACCCCGTTATCTCCCTCCGTACATTAGCGTCCTCCCCATCGAGTTTGTTGCAGTCTGTGGATGGTGCAGGGCTCACTATTCTTTTACACGGGGGCTGATGTAGATGCAGAGCAACAGCTACAATTTCACATTCGGGTGGTCCGAGCCAGACAACCGCTTTAGAAGCAGCGGAGTGTATCGCTGTGACGTGTCCTTTTTGTGGATCGAGCTCACTGATGAAACCTTACGAGTTAATGACTCCTACTTAGTACCGGGCTTTCCTTGGCAGTCAGCTGCTGGCCATGGCTCGCTGATTCCTCGGCCGGAGTTGACTTGCGCCCTTTTCTCTCACGCCGCTCGCCACCCGCAATAACAATGTCTCGCCACGAACGCCTGTCGTTCGACAACTTGAGCGGCATTCATCGGTGAGTGAAACCTGGCTCGGTTGGAGTGGTTTCTGCCTTTTGTGCTGCCCCCGACGACTTTTTTCTCCCCCGCGCAGGTGACGCTGCGGCGGCGGCGGCGGCAGGACAGAGATGGCGGAAGAGGCTCAGGAGAAGGGGACGGCAAAGAGATTCTCAAGTTCCCGTTTGTGCGCTGGTTCTCCCCGGAGAATGGCGGACAGGTGTCCGAGCTGCCCCTGCTCTCGTCAGGATCGCCAGAATCGCCGATCCCTGTGGGTGAGTCTCCTCCGACCCCCTTCGCCAGCCACGGCCCCGATGGAGGACTCTTCTGTTACCTACAACATCATTGCCATCGTCACCATCGTCATCATCGTCATCGTTGTTTTTCGTCAGAATGTTAATTGCTGGCACGTAGCTCCGCTGGTTCAGCAGCAGCACGGCTGTCAGTTGTGGTGTCAAAAGTTGAATTCGTGACCAGAGCTGACTCAGCCCCATTGGCACAGTCATCACTGTCGTCTTCACTACACAACAATAATAATAATTATTGGCTTGTAACGCGGACAAAATTTGCTCGCTCACAAAGAGAGAGAACGACTCAGAGGGGTGCGAGGAGGAACCACAGGCGGACGAGAAGGGAGCCACGTGGTCAGCCGGCACCAACAATCTAAAGACTGCTTTGTGGTCCTCTATATATTAAGGAGTTGCCGGCCAATCAATGTGAGGGGGCAACACTCTATCCTATACAGATGGAACAGGTGAGGTCCACAATGTTGCTGTACTGCCTTCTCCTGGCAGAGCCAGGGTATGGCTCCTCCTCGAATCCCATGGGAAGGGAGTTTCACAACTTTTGTGTGAGCCACCAACCCTCACCTCCACAGTGCTGGATTACAGACCTGCACCACCACCGCCATTTGGCAATTCGTCATCGCCATGGCAGCTTGTGTTTGTGCCATTCCTTACCTTGTCCCGACTCAACATCCACAGCGAGTCGTTGAGAGAGCGGTGAGCAGTTAGTCTGCCAGAGCGAGCAGGTGAGTGAGTGGACGAGCGAGCGGGTGATCGAGTGGGTGAGTGGGCGAGCGAGCGGGTGAGCGGGCGAGTGAGTGAGCGGGTGAGTGGGCGAGTGGGCGAGCGGGCGAGCGGGTGAGTGGGCGAGTGGGTAAGTGGGCGGGCGAGCGAGCGAGCGGGGGAGAGTGGGCGAGCGAGCGAGGGGGTGAATGTGCGGGTGAGCGAGCAGGTGAGTAGATGGGCGTGCTAGCGGGTGAGTGGGCAGGCGAGCGAACGGGTGAGTGAGCGGGCGAGCGAGAGGGTGAGCGGGCGAGTGGGCGGGCGAGTGGGCAGGCGGGTGAACGGGCGGGTGAGTGAGTGGGCGGGCGAGCGAGCGGGCGAATGGGCGAGCGAGCGAGAGGGTGAGCGGGCGAGCGAGCAAGAGGGTGAGCGGGAGAGCGAGCGAGAGGGTGAGCGGGCGAGCGAGCGTGCGAATGGGCGGGCGAGCGGGAGGGCGAGTGGGTGAGCGGGCGAGCGGGCAGGTCAATGGGTGAGCGGGCAGGTGAGTGGGTGAGCGGGCGAGCGGGCGGGTGAGTGAGTGGGCGAGCGAGCGAGTGGGCGGGCGAGCGAGCGGGTGAGTGGGCAGGCGAGCGAGCGTGTGAGTGGGAGGGCGAGTGAGCAAGCGGGTGAGTGGGCGAGCGAGCGGGTGAGTGAGCGTGCGAGCGGGTGAGTGAGCGAGCGAGCAGGTGAGCGGGCGAGTGAGTGAACGGGCGGGTGAGTGGGCGAGCGAGCGGGTGGGTGAGTAGGCGAGCGAGCGGGCGGGTGAGAGGGCGAGCGAGCGGGTGAATGGGCGAGCGAGCGAGCGGGTGAGAGGGCGAGCGGGAGGACGAGCGGGCGAGCGGGTGGGCGGGCGAACAGGCGGGCGAGTGGGTGAGCGGGCGAACGAGCGGGTGAGTTGGCAAGCGAGCAAGCGAGTAGGTGAATGAGTGACGCTGATTGACTTCACTTTGAAGGGAAGTGCAGGCAAAGTACCGTGTGCCTGGCTTGCACTGGGAACCGAGCACAATACAAATTTGGATATCGATTTGGGGGTCTACAGCTTTATATTCGGGGGAACGTTAAATAATTTCCAAAAACCGGATGCAACTCACCAAGTCGAGCATGGTGAAAAAAGGTTCCCCACCCCCCTGCCTGGACCCTAACATCATAACCTCCATAACCCTAACGTTGGTACCCTCGCCACGAGAACCCTAACAAAAGGGTTGATGTTATTTACCTCGCCTGTTATGCTGGAAGGAAGTGGTAGGATCGATCCCCACCTTGACGCCTGCATTTTGGAGTTCGTGTGTCTCTCGCCCCGTGGTCACGTGGCTTTTTCTCCGGGCCCTCCGGTTTTCCCCACTACATTTAGAATTGACGTCACACTTACAGAGTATTTGCCTGCTGCTATAAATTTCCATGTCATAAGCCGCTTCATTGAACTATCATTTGTGATAGCCAGGTCGCCTCTGAAAAACAGAGTTGTATAGCTCAGTGGGCCTTACCTGGTAACAATAAAAATAGTTTATCCGCCGGCTTCGCTTAAAAATAAAATGTTAGTTTTTTGGATGAATTAAATTAATAACGGAGACACATTTCTGATTTATAGTCCTCCTAGAATCTATAACATCAACAAGATCATCATCGGCCAGGGTCATTCCACTGCTGGATGAATTCCTGCCCAAGCCGCCACGACCTCTCGTGATCCTGCGACGTAATAATCCACCCGGCGTGATAACATCGACTCTGACATCATTAGAACGTACGTCAGTCACTACTCCTAGCCCACTACCCCTGACCGCCCCCCCCCTGATTCCCCCCCGTATCCCCGCAGTGCTGGAGTACGTGGTGAGCGTGCGCACGGGCTCCTCGGAGAGCTCTGCGACGACGGCGCGCGTCTGGCTCACCGTCACCGGCGAGCGCGGCGACACCGGGAGACGCGTGCTCGCCCGGCGCCGCGGAGAGAGGAGCTTCGCCAAGGGGCGCGTACGTCAGCACGAGCGCGTGCAGCGTGCGCGCGTGCGCGTACACCCGCGCATCTCTGCATGCGCGCGTGAGGAGCGGGGGCGTAGCCGGTAGCGCACCGCCACTACGAACGGGCTCAGAGCTGCGTCCTCCCCGCAGGTGACCTCCTGGTCGCTGGAGGCGGTGGAGCTGGGGCCCCTGAGGGAGGTGCTGGTGGAGAAGGGGCCCGGCAGCGACTGGCACGTGGAGGCGGTGAGCGTCCGCGAGGGCCCCTTCGCGCCGCTCGAGGCCGTCTTCCAGGCCCATCGCTGGCTGCGCGACGGCGCGGCGGGCCCCACCGCGTCCGTGCGCGTCCCGCTTACCGGTGGGTGAAGCGAGCGGTGAAGCGAGCGGCGACGCTCCAAACGTGAAGCGCAAAGCTAAGGTCCTCGCTGGCTTCCTCTTCGCGCATGGGCTCGGCAGCCTGCGGCTCCTCATTCAGGACCGTTTCATGACAGTTATTTATGAAGGACCACCGTCTCGTATTCACATGCGTTGCGGCTCTTGAAATATCGAGTTTTACTTTTTTACCGAATTCCAATTAAAATTACACCTGTTGTTGTTGTTTTGGTCGCCGTCCCCTGTCGGTGCGGGAGGTCGCAATCCGGCGGACGCAGCGAAACGCATCCCGTTGTCCGGGGTGATGTCAGAGCTGCTGATGGGCAGTTACGGCAGCGTTTATGGTGTCTCATTCCAATTGTAATACGATTGTAAGTTTAGCGGGCAATGCCGCTGTAATTGTAGTGATAATTGACCTCAGGCCTGCTCGTGACAGAGCCAATTGCTCTTTTGTTTATTTTAATACAACTTGAATGCAGCCCCATCGTTCGACTGTTTTGACAGAGAGCCTTAATGTGAGTAGAAAGTGTCTGTGGGCTGTGTCTCAACGCTGCCTCACAGCTGTAAAATATAAAGTAGGCTGACATTTTGGCAATGGCGACTCTTCAGAGCGGAGAGGACTGAAACAATTCACGTGAATTGCACTGAGAGACATAAATAGAGCACTTGCTTCCAGGAGCAACACAACTCAGACACATGTTGCTTATAAAAGTGGCTTTGGGTCGGACACAACGTGGCTAGAAGCGACGACGACCAAACGGACAAGACTGGCGACGGACTGGCAGTCGAAGGTGGCAAACGAACTGGAGACTACTACCTTGGACACGGAGTAATGGAGATGAGGTCACGTTTAGGAGTGAAATGGATTGCAGCATTGCACGATCACGAGGAATCCCAATTACCCTTCATCCAACAACCATGGTTGCTAGTGATGACGACGATGTTGGTGATGGGATGATGTGTGTTCGTTCGGTGTACGTCTCCGCACAACAGCGTGTGTGCGTTCTCCTCCCCCCCCACCCCCCCACCGGCCGTCTCTGCCATACCCTCGTGCCCCCCGTGAACTCCGCAGAGGTTCGGCCGAGTGCTACGACCGTGGCCCCCCTGCCCAGCGACGCTCCAGCACCCAAGTCCGGTGAGTGCTTCGCTCGCCTCGGGGCGGATGACATTCGAACGTCCATTGTCCTGATGCGCGCGCGCGCACGGTATCGGCGGGTGGCTTCACCTTCGGTGTGCCCGGTGCGTAACGCAGCCGAGCCGGGCCGCTGTGATGCCACCAACGGCCGTACGGACGGGCTTCGGTTTTACGACGACGATTCCGATTTATGACGATGCGCATTCACGTCGTTCGTATAACGCCGCCACGGATCAGTTTACGACTAAGAAACTTGTTTTTTTCGACGCAATCTTCTGACACGACTCCGAATGCGTTTGAACAGAGTTGGTCTGGTTTTCGACGTGACTCAGAGCGTGAAGCTCTTGTTATTCTCAAGGTGTTTTTTTTGTGGACTTTTACCTATGAAACCCTATATTCTTGGTTCTTTCGGTAAAGTCACGTAGAAGAGAATTTATTTTTTGATAATTTTTATTATTTTATTGTTTCCCTTCTACGTGACTTTACCGAAAGAACCAAGAATATGAATCCCTGCAGTCACGAAAGCTTTAAATCAAAATCTATTAAACCCTGTTAAATGCGCCCGATAAAAGGGAAATAATAAGTGACGCGTCTCATGTTTTTACTCCCCATGGGAAAATAGCGGTCCGATTTACCATGATCCCATTTACGAACGCATGGTGTCCCCGTGAAAGCGGGGACCGTACTGTATTGTGCGCATGGATGACGCGCCGGGCGGGGTGTGTTCGTATCCGTGAGTGCCTGCTTTACGCGTGTGGTTCGCGTGCACGGCAACGCGCAGACCCCCACCGTGACCTCTCCACAATCTCTGGCAGTGCTATCGACCCCTCCCGTCGTGCGGTCATTCCTAACCTTGCTCGTCACTGTATTTGCGATGAACGTGATGAGTCAAGCCATCCACAGTTCGATTGACACAGTGAAGGGTTAGGATGCATGGTGGTGTATTCATCTACGGTGGTGTACATTTATAGTGGCATACATATTTCTGAATCAGAAATAATCAGTACCTGCACACATGATTTGAATACATGTATCATGAGCATAATTTGTGGTTTTACATTTCTGAATCATTACATCTCTGATATGCTTACCCTCTGATTACATCTCCATTATCATAATTACTATCCCCATCATCACCCTATGCCTATGTCCACCATATTCTTATCAATGGTCTTTTCCTATTATTACTTTCTTTCTCATCACCACACTCATCATATCACTACCCTCATATTATCACCATCCTCATCATATCACCACCCTCATGATATCACCACCCTCATCATATCACCACCCTCATGATATCACCACCCTCATGATATCACCACCCTCATCTTATCACCACCCTCATCATATCACCACCCTCATCTTATCACCACCCTCATCATATCACCACCCTCATCATATCACCACCCTCATGATATCACCACCCTCATGATATCACCACCCTCATCTTATCACCACCCTCATCATATCACCACGCTCATCTTATCACCACTCTCATCATATAACCACCCTCATGATATCACCACCCTCATCATATCACCACCCTCATCTTATCACCAACCTCATCATATCACCACCCTCATATTCGCTCTCTAAGCCACTCTCCGTCCTCTCCGTGTCCCTCCCCACCAGATGGGCGCTGGCGAGTGGAGCTGACGCTGGGTAACGAAGATGACGACGACGGCGATGGTGGCGGGTCTGCGCGCGGCAGCCCGGGGCGGCAGCAGCAGCAGCAAACGCTGCTGCCACCGGGTCTGTGTCTCGTGGTGTACGGCTCCGAGGGCAAGACGAGCCCCATGCCCCTCGTGGGCCCCCGGCACGGCACGGGCGACGGCGGCGCCAGCAGCACCATCGCGTTCGAGGCAAGTTGGCCGTCGACAACATCATCATTGCCACCGTCGTCGTCATCATCGGAATGATTGCCATCGTCATCATCAACATTATTATCAGTCAAGCTGGATTATCATTGTCATCAGTATTGCCACTATCATCATAAATATCATCCGCATCATCATAAATATCGTAATCTTTGCTGTCATTATTATGAGTGCTGTACATATCACCATCATGATCACGTTATCATCATCTCTAAAGTTTGTTGGATTAAAATTAACCCACTCATTCATTTAATTTTGACTTTAAACTTTCGTGAGTGCAGGAATTCATATTCTTTGGTTCTTTCGATAAAGTCATGTAGATATAAAAAACCCGCGACGTTTCGATCACAACACAAGCGGCGATCGTCTTCAGGAGGAAAGAAGGGGAAGGTCACCGAAGGCAACCGTTCATAAAGGTTTCAAAAATTGGCATGGCACGTTTGTCATATGGCCAAATGGCCGACCGGCTCTGAACCAATTCCTCAACCACATAAATTCCATACACCCAGCCATCAAATTCACCATGGAGGTAGAAAAGGATGGCAAGCTACCATTCTTGGATGTCCTAATCAAAAGAGACTAGATGGCTCAATGAGCCATTCTGTCTACAGAAAACCCACCCATACTGATGCTTACCTAAAACCTGACTCCCACCACCATCCATCCCAGAAGAATTCCCTCATCAAAACTCTACACCATAGAGCTCAATGACCATGAACACCTAACCAGTGAACTCAAACACGTACACCAAGCTCTCAAGGCGAATGGATTTTCTGACTACACAATCCATCAAAGCCATCAACCCACCCGTGAGGAAGGAGCCATCTGAGGATCTAATAAAAATCATCACCTTGCCATACATAGCAGGGGTAAACAAAAAGATTTCCCAAATCATGAACAAACACAAGATCCATCTATGAAGGATGTGATCCCTGACATGCAATACCCCAGCGTCTACAAACTAAGCTGTGTCTGCAGCAGTAATTTCATTGGGGAAACTAAGCGACATGTCTCTGACCGTGTTCGTGAACATAAGGCAGATCTGAAACACGGTAGGACCAATACCTCGGCCGTGGCTGATCGTTGTTTTAATGCGGTGGGCTCACGCAAAATTGATTTCTCTAAGACGAAGATACTTTGCAAGCCCACTGGCTATCAACAAAGATTCGTTGATGAAGCTATCCGTATATACAGACACAGACACAATTTCAACCGAGAAGATGGTTAAAAACTCATTGGAAATATGTCATCAACCACTTTGGGTCATGACTTGATTTGTGTTTTCTTGTAAAGGGAGCACAGGTCAAGTCATGACTTGATTTGTGTTTCCTTGTTATCTTACCACAGGGCACATGTGCCCCGCCCACTTCGTTCTGACACCGAGAAGATTTGTGGCACTGCATGTTCCTTGCTTCACATCAGCCACGGCAGGGCACATATGCCCCGCCCACTTCGTGCTGCCGCCAGGGCTCTTGTGCCATGCCCCTTTTTTAAACTTTTATAAACGATTGCCTTCGGTGACCTTTCCCCTCTTTCCTCCTGAAGATGATTGCTTGTGTTGTGATCGAAACGTCGTGATTTTTCTATCTACATTACTTTACCGAAAAAAACAAATAATATCACTCATTCATTGATCGTTTCGCTCCCTAGCTGTTATCTTGCTGACCGCTCTGATTTGCTTCAAGAGCGCCAGACTGTTTAACTCACCGACCGTCCGACCCTTCGCCTGACCGTCTTATCACCCGGCGGGCTGGCCCACAATGACCGTGCGGACGGTTCCCCCACCCCGTGCCACGCAGGTGTCGTTCCCCGTGAGCGTGGGCGTGCCGTACAAGGTGCGGCTCGGGGCGCGTGACGGCTCAGCGCCCTGGGAGCACGGCCCGGGTGGAGGGAACGAGCGCGCGGGCACCACCGCCGACACCACGGCCGCCCCGCGCCTGCGCCGTTTCCGCATGACGGACGTGCGCACGCGCGCCACCTTCACCCATGCACCCGGCGAGGCGCTGCCTCCCCCGTCCGGCGGGGACGTCTGGATGGAGATCCCCGCTGAGTGGCCCCAGAGACCAGCGCCGACGGGTGCGGGGAGAGCCGGGGCCGATGGTGGCGTTAACCAGATACCGTAGACAACGTGCAGCATGCATGGGGTCTATCTCGACTCTGAACCTCCTGACCCTCATGCTAATCCTCGCAATAACCATAACCCTACCCCTAAAACTTGCTAACCCGAACAAAGACAAGATCCCCCATTTAGCCTCCAGACTGTAGGGGCCAGAGCGGTACATGAGGGGATGGGTGGCCAGCACAATGCCCCCCAACTACCTTTGTCTCCCCAGTAGTGATGCTTACACACCACACCAGGTACTAATTTGAGGCTGAGTTGACCAAGGGGAGGCCCAGGAACAATTTAGATAATCATCACCGGTGTTGGCTGTGAGTGGGAATCGATCTGTGGTCGCCGGGTTTGTAGCCCAGCGTGCTAACCGCTACACCTCCGCACCCCACTAATAATAACCCTGTATCGACACAAGCACTGCTTCCCCCCAATGTTCCGTTTGGAATTGATAAAAGCTACCATACTGCCTCTACTTGACTACTGTGACATCGTGTATAAATCAGCCCCAAGTACTGTACTGAAGAAACTTGATTCCATCTATCACTCGGCCTTAAGATTTACATTGAACTGCCCATATAGGACTCACCACTGTGATCTCTACATTGGGTCAAACTTAACATCTCTTAATGTTAGATGGCTTGTGCACCAGATCTTATTTATTCACGATGTACTTACAAAAAAATCCGCAGACTACCTGCTGGATCTCCTCTCTGTTTCAAAGAACAAATTTGACCTCAGGTCTTCGCTCATTTACCAGCTTCACATTCCCTATTGCGTACAAAAACTGGAGGAAGAGCTTTTGCTATTGATGCCCCCAGAGTCTGGAATGCTATTGCCAATAAACTGCAACTTGAATCTCTACCAATGAGATATTCTCTCAAAACTGCTCTAGAGGAGTTGTACACCCCTAGCTGCCACTGCTATTCATTGGCATAAAATAAAATGTTTCGCTCCGGATGATGCTGCAAAGTATTATCTGTATTTTGATTTAGCGTGCTGATCTTAAAGGTGCATTGAAAATTTTTATACTCCGACCGATGCTTCTGTTGTTGTGGAGTAACTCATGCAGCCAGCTATGGCTCTAGGGTTTGGTGTTACATGTTATTTATGTAGTGTATTGTAAAAATTCGGTCACAGTCCTTGTGATCATTGTTACGTTGCAATTATGGCTATATTTTTTGGTGATTTGGAAAACGTTTTTTGGTTTGGACATGTTTGTTTTGTTGTAGTACGGAGTTAGACTGATGGCCTTAATCTAAGTTGTCTTGTGATTGTTGTTGTTGTTTGACTTGCATCCCACTGGGTTTTTTTTGCACACAGCGTTGGTGTACGGTGCTTTTTTCAGGAATATTTTAGCTGTTTTTTTTTCCATGGATTTTCTGTTTGCACAGTCACATAGTCACTTTAAGATGTTTTTCCTGTTCGTATTTTTTTGTTTGTTGTGGTTGCACCCGATTCAAGAGCCGGATGGCTCACAGGGCTATACCAAAATAAACTGAAACTGAAACACAGCCATAAGCCTAACAATTCCTCTACCTCTAATCCTAACTCTACCTTTAACGCCAATACTACCCATATTCCTACGCCTGACCCTATCTCACCCCCACACAAGGGGTGTGAATCTCGACACCCAATTTGTACGTTGAGGCTCTGGGGCTCACTCCCCACCCACAATGCTGTCCCTCGTATCTTCCCCCTCTGCACATGTCGCTGCTCCTCTCTCTTTCTCTACCCGCCTGTGGCCTGGTGTCTGACCCCGGCGAGATGCACCTTCTCTGGGTAGAAATCTAGGCCAGGTCACACAATCTCCATCTTCGCATAGTCCACCAATCCTTCCCCGCAGATTATTGCTTATCTACGCATCCCTGCAGATGATGTTGTCCAACGTCAGATTCTATCCAATGGCAGTTACAATTGCAATTGCCTTGTGGTTGCAATGCGTTCTGAATTAACGGACCCGGGCCCGGTGTGTGCTGCTGCGTGTTGGTGCTCAGTGCTCCGGTACCAGGTGCTGGTGTTCGGTGAGGACTTCATTGCAGCGCAGGTGGCTCCGCGCGTCACGCTCATGGTGGTCGGCACGCATGGCGACTCGGGCGAGCGCTGGCTGGGCGAGGCGACTCGTGGGGACCAGCAGGGCGCCCACGACCGGCCGGTACGTCTCCCCGTTGCCAGGGCTGGAGTAGCTCATAGGCTAATAAGAACTGAGGCCTCAGGCCCTCATATTTTTAAGACCCTCTTTTAGGCCCTCCATGCCATGTTGAAGTAAAAGCTCAGCAACGGTAGCACGGCCATCACAATGTATTTTCTATTTCAATTACAATGACATAATCGACTTAAATCTTTCGTGACTGCAAGAATTCATACTCTTTGGGTCTTTCGGTAAAGCCACGTAGATATAAAAATAAGGCAGTTCTGCTATATTTTTTCACCTGATGACGATTGCTTGTGTTGCGATCGAAACGTCGTGATATTTTTATTTTTTTATCATTTGTATTTTTCTATCTACGTGGCTTTACCGAAAGACCCAAAGAGAATGACATCATTCATGACTTTGTCACAGTGAAAAAAAATGTGTCGTGAGGGATTTATGATTCATGACTGATTTATGTTTGATGAATTTACCTTGAGTCCAATAAATGTGTTAATTTTACAAAGGCAAATCAACATGTTTTAAAACTTGCAATATGTAATAACTACTGAGGCCCTTCCTTCCTAGGGCTTAGACCCCTTATAACTTAATTCCGGCCGTGCCCATAAACTGCGGTGCTGACTGCAGCTGGTGATGAATGTCGCAATTAACAGAGGCACCAGGGAGTTGTCAGCTTGTAGCTATGCGCATGGTAACGGCAGGCTTGCCTTTCGCTGAAAACGTGGCTTCCTTGGAGCGTGAGGACGTCGATGTTGGTTATCTTCCATATCCTTGCGAAAGTCCGCTTCAACCGGGAAAAGGCCCTCATCGTTGAGTTAACAAATCCGTACACTTGGGCCGGGCTTGACGAATTGTTTTCGGGTATTAAAACATTTCTCGCGGTTGCGTATTGATCGTTGAATGGCTGATGTCTCATCGTTGACCCTCCCCCGGGCAGGTGATGGTCTTTGAAGTGAAGGCCGTGGATCTGGGGGAGCTCCGGCGAGCCATCCTCTCCGCCTCCTGTGAAATCGGTGCGTGGCTTTTCATAATCCCACTCAACCTACTCTTGAGCACGCCACCACGGCACTGTAATGATGTCACTGCAGTGTCACTGTGTCACTACCAGGGCATGATTTCAGTCGGCTCTGTCCGGGTCAGTGACATGGAAACTTACCCCTCCCTGGCATGAGACCGCTGGCTGTTGAACTTCCTGAAGGACATCCATTCGCAGAATACGCTCACTCTAACCACACAACGGAATTGTTTCTTAAATCCACATGATTATTTACAGCCTTCCTAGAACCTTCCCCAATCTTACCATGCTATCCTGCCACAGTACATCTGCACACACAGAACCCGATATATGCATAAGCCACACTGTGATCGTCACTAACACTGAAACTGTTGAACGTGGACAAAAGCAGTTTCTGTGACCTCACGTATGCTTGTTTTTGTAAAAGTACAATTTTGTAATTTCCTTCACAGATTACAACATTCAAGTGGACAAGATTGTGGTTAAGAATTCCGATTCCACAGACAACACTTACGAGTTTGAATTGGAGGAAGGGTAAGCATAAGCTACAGCCACTCCCTTAAATTATGTGGGAATTACTGAATATTGCCATCCAGTGTACATTTGATGTTATAGATATGACATTTATGACCAGGTAAGAGCCGATTGAGACCAGCAGTCGAATTTTCCAAGGAGACCTGGATTTTGATGTAAAAAACCCACATGACGTCATCTGTGAAAAGAGTATCCTTGAGTTGAAAGAGCTGGGTTAATGTTCTAAATGTCCTGTTTTTTATGCTTCCGTCTTAAATGTTAAGCATTAAAATGCATTCGCTCTGCTGTGTCTAACACATAGGGGCACTATAATGTTCGTATAAATTATACAATATAAGCCAAACCTTCGTTTAAAGTTGTCTTGGCGATGAAGACTTTCCACATGAAAAATCCACCAATTTCATCAAAGAGTTAATGGAAAAAACTTGCAGACACAAACCAGCGTGAAAAGGATGATTTGTTCAAATATGCAAACGCACTTTGCTCTGACAGCCACCATTCAGCTTCCAAACTACTGATGCAATACAGTATTTCTGAGCACAGGCGCATGTTGAAAAGCGTTAAATAATGCGTGCATGATTTTTACCAACTCGTGTTTTTTACGATTCTGTTTCAGGAGTTTAAATGTTCTCGGCCGAAAACCGGCTATCTCCAAAGAAATGCGTCTGATTAGAGCCACCAGGAGCCCATCAATAGGCTCAGACCAAGCAACTTTGGCCAATGGTAACTTCGTGGAGGAGTTTGCGCAGGATGCTCCAGCCAATGAGATTGCTGGGGACCACCATCCTGAAGCTTCAGCCAGTGATGGTGCATGGGTAGAGCCTGAACAGGACCCCCTGACCGATGAGATCATGGCAGCGGGACTTCCCGAAGAAGACGAAGCATTCGACGAGGGAAAAAGCGACATATCTTCTGGTGATGATGAGCTGTTTGGACCAGCGAGCGTGGAACCGGAGGAATAGCTTTGACCTAATAATACCTCTTTTCCACTGGGACACCTGAGCTAAGCCATCATGGAGCCCTAACAGCAACGGTAGTTTTCCACTCACTACTTTCCGTGGCAAGACGGTACCAAGCTGTAATACTCTGGGCTCATAATGCATCAGAATCTGGCTCGGGGGGCCAAGAAAGTCCAGGGCTGGACTATAGACGCGTTCACTGGATGTGATGTCAGTCAGTACACCGTGAGGATAGCATCTCCGCGGACATGTGTCTCGTTCATTGCGTGTGAGGCAAGTGGCACAGCTTGGTTTCTGCAGTGGGAATACAACCAGGCGCTTCCTGAGCCACACTGAACTAGCTCAGCATGGACCTCCGATTAGCACGGTGTGAAAGAAGTTTACACACGACCTGGCATGGCTCAATTGTGTAGTGGAAAAGATAAGGCACAGTGATTATCTCAGAGGCTATATTTAAGATTGTAAATGTGGCACTGTGTGCAAAACTTCTACTCTTACAGAAATAACCAGTGACAAATGTGCTCCCATTTTTCTGCATTTACAAATAGGAGCCATTCCATTTATATCAGTAAAACAAATCCTCAAGATAAATACTGTAAATGCACTTTGGAGCTACAGATAGAGACATCTTCCTCAATCGCTGGTGCTGTGCTGTGAACGTTACCAAAAGTCCATATGCACGCACCAGACTGGTTACAAAAACCAAAGCACATTTTGTCATGCACAATTCAATTCAGGTAAAGCTTCTAAATTTAAAGAGATTGATTTTTTCATGAATAGCTTTTTTTTAGGGTTGTTTTCATTTTGATATGTACAAAATAAAGAATTGGTTGTGTTTTGAATGCATCATGCGGTTGTTGTGGACGCTGTTGTGTTTTGGTTTATTATCGCACCACACAAACCACGATTATACCACCACCACTCTCAACTCATCACAACACTGACTTGTCAGCACTGAATGTTACGTGAACCCCGAGTGATCTCTTTAGTCACGACATTTCATCGTTTCATGATCGTATTCCCTTTGGTAATCCACTTCTGGATGAAGACATTGCCAAGGCTTGTGGATGAAGACATTGACATACTTCAAGCTGCTCAGTGTTGCCTGTTGAAGAGGGGGCTTAAGACCAGATGATCTTAATCCTATGATCTTGCATATGGGGGCGGAAAATAGGGTTTGGTTGCCACGTGTCCACGTTTGACGGAAACCAAGACTTGGAATGTGTAAGGGTGGCAGGAAATGATTAGTACCGAGATTTGATGCAGGAAATGAACCTTATGGCGGTACCCCGGCTCTCGCATCATGTCCTTGATGCAGTCATTTTTAGTCTGTTGATGGTCGGCGATGCGGCAATCGACTCATTTCGATGAGCTGTACACGATGCACTATGGTGCGTACGAGCGTTCAGGGTTTCAGCGCAATCGTCCTCGCTGCGTTTCGACATTGCGGAGTAGCACTGATTTCGGATTGGTACCCCAGTCGCGAAGTTAAGTACACCCCTGAAAAAGTGTCCCGGAAATAATATATTTAATTGCCTCGGCCATTTTGTATTATTTGGTGCCCCGGGGTACCGCCATAAGGATCAAATATATATTTACTGTTTCTGACATTGGAGCTGCTCATTACTGTACACATCAAAGGAGGGGGAAACAGGCACATTAATTTGTCTCCTTTATATATCCATCTTCACATTAAACTCAACAAGAATTACTTACAGGACCCATCGGCCACATGGCCTTCTGAGATGCCTTCAGTAGCATTGATTCAACACAAGCAAAACTCTGGGGGAGTTTTAACAGTGTGTCACTCAGTGTGGCAAGGTGTTAACTACCTCGCCTGGTATGCAGGAGGTCGTGGGATCGATCCAACCCTGACGCCTGCTGCATATTTGGAATTTGCATGTCAGAATATGTATTCATACTAGAGGAATCCGATGAGCTATACAGCTCTTTTCCACAGATATCCAGTTTTTCCCGACACATTTAGAGTCAACATGCGTTCAATATTATTTGGCTGCTACACATTTCCACGTGATGATAAACGACTTCTTTGAGCTATCATTTGTGGCCAGGTCGATTCTGAAAGAGCTACATTGCTCAGTGGGCCTTGTCTGGTAACATTAAAAAAATTACAGTTAAATATCGAAGTTTAATACTGTCATTAGCAGTCAGGCTGTGCTTGAAAGCAATGCTGGTGAACTGTCGGATGTTTATAGGGAAGGGCCCTCTCATCTCAGGTATGCGACCAGAGTTCCATGCAAAATGATACACAATAAATATGTAAAGGAGAGCCGACACAAGGTTGTAGGGGGTTCGTCTTTTATTGCTTCCCCCAGTCCACACTCGTTCCCAGCCTTCTCGATCCGGTTCCCGCCACCTGGCCCATGGGTAGTGCCCGGCCCATGACCTGTTCATGGGCTTGTTGGACAGTGAGGTGCGATCCTCCGGCGTCACCACTGGCATTACAACGCCGGCACGGCTAGCGTAGGTGATGAGGTGCTCGACCACGAGGTTCTCGTGCACCTCGTCAGCCAGTTGAGGGAAAGCCCTCCTCGCCAACACGAGAAGCGCACCCCTGTAGGCTAAAGGGGACTCCCTAGCCCCCCGCTGGCGGTCCTGGAACCCTCTAAAAGCGCCCTCAGCTGGGCAGTAAATCTCCCCCAAAGCCTCATAGGCTGCCTGTAGCGTGGTCTTGCTGTGCGTGGGAAGGGAGGTGTAAGAGGCAAGCGCATCGTCGTCTAGAACGGATGGCAACGCTCGCAACGCCTCTTCGACCATTCGGGAGCGTGAAAGGCAGCCTCGAATCGGCGGACGAACGCCTCCCAATCACCTCCCTCGGCCACGAATTTCTCCACGGGCCCCAGCCGGCGCGCCCGTCCTGCCACCTGCTCGCCCCTTTGGGTGTTTAGCCCTGGCCCCTTTGGCGGGAGCGGCGGCTGGCGTGACGAGGCTAGTTGTGGCTCATGCCCAGCTAGCTGGTCGGCCTCCGGCTCCCGTGGCCCCTCCTCCCGTGGTACGAGTGGGAGAGGAGGTCCCGGCGCCGGCAGGCCCCCCATAGGGAGCTGACGCAGTAGCTCCTTGAGTGCTCTCTCCACGCGGGCCATGCAGTCCTCCATGGGGTCAGGGCCCCCTGCTGCTGCCCCTGGTAGCAGGCCCCCTTGTTGCCCGGGACGCGGAGGATCCCCGGCCCCTGCTTCTTCTTCTGTTGGCTCTCTTCCACGGAGGTTCTTCCTTTTAGCCATTGTCGATCCCAGCGCTGCCACCAGATGTAAAGGAGAGCCGACACAAGGTTGCAGGGGGTTCGTCTTTAATTGCTTCCCCCAGTCCACACTAGTCCCCAGCCTTCTCGATCCGGTTCCCGCCAATTCTCCCCCTTTTTCCCGCTCGTTCTCTCTTATATCGCCTTACCTGCTCCTCCCCCTTCCACTGTCACCGTCCCACTCCCCCTTCCTTTTGGTGGGAATCCTTCCCCTGACATCCCTTACAAATACATAACAGTATAATGACGCCGACACACGTTGCACTTTACTATGAGCCTGTATTCATACACAGCACTATCTAGGTCCGGGCTTGGTTCTTGACATTCGTCTTCTCTCCAACCGTCACCAAATACAACGATCCGCCGTATAGCCTTAACAGACTGTTGGGGGAAGCGCTGTTAGCGAGCACTGAGAAAAGCTGGTGACTGTGTGGTGCCACCGCAGTGGAGCAACTCGGCCAGCGCTACCCTCTCCTCGCACTCCCCCACGAACGCACGCACGCCCCACTAACCACTTGCATGCACCCCTGTAGGGTCTCGAGGAGGGATCACCTGGTACGATGGGTTTTCACCTGAGGACCCCGCTAGCAGGGACGTTCCACGGTTTCCCCGGACCAGGAGATTGGCTGAGCCCCCCAGACCGAATTACATGGTGGCCCCCCTAAAAGAGGGCATAGAGCTTTACAGGCCGGCCGCGATGAAGCATACACAACACGGGGGGGTGGGACCTCAAGGCCAGCACCCAGCGGCAGTGTAAACAGTGGGGTGGGAGGGAAAAGCCCCCAGGCATAAAGGAGGATTTAAGAGAAAGGAACCGAGGGGATTTTCGGTGAGTCAGCGGCGGGGAACGCAGGTACAGATACAATGGAAAGGGGGGGATGACGTGACCCCCCCCCCCCACCAACGGCCAGAGCGCTCAAAACGGCCGTAAAAGAGGATTCGATTGGACGCGCAGGATGACATCATATGACCCGGGGATTAAGGGGCTTTGGGAACATAAGGGGGCCAGGAGGGCAAATTGGATCAGAGTTCTTCTGGAGTGGTGGAGAATACCAGCCGCCCTCAGCATCCAGGGTGCAGCTGAAAACGATTGCCCAGGCAAAGTCTCCGAGGCGGGCATCTTCCCCAACCCCCATCGGGCAGCTGGAAAGGTAAGCACGGGGGGGGGGGCAATTCAGCCCAGCTCGCAGTCAGCTCGAGCTTGGAGGATAGACGCACTCTGCGACGGCTAGGTGATAGGAGGTTAGGCGCTGTCCGAAGGGTGCTGGCTGGAGGGGGCCATAAACAGGGGTTCACTATTCGCTCCAGGGATAAAACTTTAGAACAGACTGATGTTTGACGCGTGGTGCATGTGTGTGTGAAGAGCGGTGGGACAGCGATCGGCGCACGATGGTGTGTGGGTGACTTTAATCGGTATATGCACAACGCACGCGCACATACAAATAAAGAATTAAATAGAGGGACGCTTGGCCGCGCCGCGAGCGTAGCGCGCAGAGATTAATTAATTGATTCCGAGCGCCGTCAGTTTGTTGACACAACGGCTTAGTGGAAATAATTAATTAACTCTAAACAGCCGCCAGCGGCGAGTCAAACAATATTATGTAATCCGCGCGGTTAGGACGCGCGAGTGTGGGGGAGGGCGCGCGTGTAATGAACCCCTAGGCGGTGTCTGCCAGCCGCTAGCTGTGTCAGTCAGAGAGGGCGCTGGTGCGGGGGGGGGGGGGCGCCGGTCACCCGGTCGGGGGTGGAGGGGGCAGACGTCGCACCCCACCCGCTCGCGAGGAATGGGGAGTGGGGAGGGGGGCATCAGCCCCCACAACTGCACGCGAGGGGGTGGGTGGCCAGCACCACGCCCGGACGCCTTTGTCTCCCCAGTGGCGATGCTTCCACATCGCACCAGGTACTTATTTGAGGCCGAGTCGACCTAGGGGAGTCTCAGGACTGGTTCAAATAATCGTCACTTGTTGGCCGTGAGCGGAAATCGAACTCGGGGCGTCAGGTTCACAGCGCAGGGCGCTAACCACTGCACCACCGCTCCCTACATGATGGATATTCCCCGAGCGCCCTCTGGAACCTTCTCTCACCCCACTCCCTTCAGCCAGTGCTCGTCCTGCTGCTCATCCAACGGGTTGTCAACCCCACCGCAGTCAGCCCTCGTTTCCCGCCTTTTATGTTTGAATCTCTCCCCCACCCCCCACCAATCAACTCTGAATATCTCATCTCCTGACCAATCCACTTTTGAGGCCCTCCGTGCACCGATTCAGAGGCTTTGATTTACTTCCTGAATCTCCGTTCGCACACGTGCGCTTGTGTACCCCGGTAAGCGGTCTGTTGCCTCGGTCATTTCACTTGCAAAATAATAACACAACACATAACGGTAAAAAAATAATAATTCGTTTTATCGAAAACAAAAGAACGGGACAAGTGTCTCCGGCACTGCATCTGTACGCACAACGATTGTTAGCTGATAAAAAAAAAGTTCAGTTTTATTTGTATATATTTTTGCTAGTGATTAGTTTACCTTTCCTATACTTTGCACTCCTATGCGTGTTTTTTGTATTGCTTGTTGTAACGTTTTGGCATGTCCCCTTACTGGAGATCTGTGTAAAAAAAATAACTTAATAGTTCATCGCATTCTTCCAGTCGCAAATAAATGCTATAGTAATTTACATTGTACCGCACAAGTGGGTTAGGTAGGGCTACGGTACGACACGCTACAGTACACCACCACGCCACAGTAAACACACTACAGAACACATCACCCCACCCCACCGTACACCACCACTCAGCACACCACCACGCCACAGTAAACACTACAGAACACATCACACCACCCCACCGTACACCACCACTCAGCACACCACCACGCCACAGTAAACACACTACAGAACACATCACACCACCCCACCGTACACCACCACTCAGCACACCACCACGCCACAGTAAACACACTACAGAACACATCACCCCACCCCACCGTACACCACCACTCAGCACACCACCACGCCACAGTAAACACACTACAGAACACATCACACCACCCCACCGTACACCACCACACCACCACGCCACAGTAAACACACTACAGAACACATCACACCACCCCACCGTACACCACCACTCAGCACACCACCACGCCACAGTAAACACACTACAGAACACATCACACCACCCCACCGTACACCACCACTCAGCACACCACCACGCCACAGTAAACACACTACAGAACACATTACACAATCCCACCGTACACCACCACTCAGCACACCACCACTCAGCACACCACCACGCCACAGTAAACACACTACAGAACACATCACACCACCGTACACCACCACTCAGCACACCACCACGCCACAGTAAACACACTACAGAACACATCACACCACCCCACCGTACACCACCCCACCGTACACCACCACGCCACCTGCACAGGGCAAGGCCTACGGGTCGCGAGACGTCACCGCAATAAAAAACGCGAATTCGCGCGTTTAAAAAAAAAAAACCCGCGCGGGCACCGTACAGGGGAAGGGGGTGGCAGGAGGCCTCAACGCAGCCGCCAGTGCAACGTCTCGGCGCCCGCGGGCGGTTCGTGGCTGCAAGGTAAAACCCCAACATATAAACCATCAACAACAACAACCACGGCACCTCAGCGGTGTCCGGTCATTGACCCCGTTGGCAATGCTCTCCTCGCCACCTTCCTGTCGTTGTTAGTAGTCGTAGTTATTACGAGCGGTAAAACTACAATTGCGATAATCGTGAGGCGCCGCTCCCCGCCCAGGCTGGGGCTTGCGCGAGCGGCCTTCGCTTTAAAAACAATCGTCAACACGTGCGAGCTTTTTTTTTGTTTGCGCGATGTGCTGCACCACACTCTGCTTGGCTTCCCCGTTACGCCAAGGCGCTTTGTGGTGCTCACTACGAATAGATGGGGCTGGGAGCCATTGCCACTGCAACTTTGCCTGTCCCCTTAACGCCTTAAACGGCTCCTGAATTGGCCTTTTTCAGTTCGGTTTGCGCGCGCTGTAACATTTTTAAAAAGTCACGAATGCATGTTCGTGACGTGAGTTCGTTGTGAACAGCTGCCCACGCAGCAGCATCGCCACAACATCCAACAACGTGTGTGCACTTTGCAGTGTTAATCAATCGGTCTTGTTGAGTGCCTTGGCATTGATCGTTTTGCGAGATGTTTTTGCGACGCAGTCGTTGTTACAGCTGTGGTAGGCTGTCGATATCTGCTATGAAGAAGGGCAATTTCCCGGAACGTCGCCCGTCGTGTTTTCCTTCTCGAGAGGGGCAATTTTTTTGTTTTGTGTTTTTTTGTCCAAAGTGTCGTAGAGTGTTTGTGATGGTTGCTGGCTATATGGGTGCTCGCGTGAGGCAGGTGACTGTGTTCTGAGATGAATGTGTTTCGAAGTGACTCTTCCCCGAGATAACTGCGTTCCGTCTTCAATTCCCTCATCAGGCGGGCCCCGGCTGAATCAATGCACTTCAGAACCACCACCACCACACGATGTTGTACAGCGGTGTGTAGTAGTCACTCACTAGCGCCACGCCGTGGGGCTCGTCACATGGAGGCGGAGTCGCTCCCGAGGATGATGACTTTAATCATAAAAAAATGTGTCCAAGAGGAGTAACATTTTGTAGGCGTTAAATCGCACCAACTCGGGGTGATTTAAAGGAAGACATTTGAGTTTGTGGAAGTCCTGTAGCAATGGCTCTCGCGTGCGAGTCATCGTCGCAGCGTTATTGTCGAACGCTAAATGATGTTGCTTGCTGCCGATAACGACCACCGCTGGTTTTAGTGCGACCAACAACAAGCGCACGCAGGTCTCGCTTATTAACAGTCGCCCTGGGGGCCCGAGTAACCGAACTGCTTAACGCAGTTCTGTGAAATCGCGTCGGGCAATATTCGTGGCCCATGTTAAGATTCTCCGTAACAAGCAAGGATACACCTCGCCGCTCCAAGACGCGCTTAACCCGGCTTTGGCCACCTCAACTCACAAATACACCACAAACATCTCACAAATACACCACAAACATCTCACAAATACACCACAAACATCTCACAAATACATCACAAACATCTCACAAATACACCACAAACATCTCACAAATACACCACAAACAACTCACAAATACACCACAAACAACTCACAAATACACCACAAACATCTCACAAATACACCACAAACATCTCACAAATACACCACAAACAACTCACAAATACACCACAAACATCTCACAAATACACCACAAACAACTAAAAAATACACCACAAACAACTCACAAATACACCACAAACATCTCACAAATACACCACAAACAACTCACAAATACACCACAAACATCTCACAAATACACCACAAACATCTCACAAATACACCACAAACATTTCACAAATACACCACAAACAACTCACAAATACACCACAAACATCTCATAAATACACCACAAACATCTCACAAATACACCACAAACATCTCACAAATACACCACAAACATCTCACAAATACACCACAAACATCTCACAAATACACCACAAACATCTCACAAATACACCACAAACAACTCACAAATACACCACAAACATCTCACAAATACACCACAAACATCTCACAAATACACCACAAACATCTCACAAATACACCACAAACATCTCACAAATACACCACAAACATCTCACAAATACACCACAAACATCTCACAAATACACCACAAACAACTCACAAATACACCACAAACATCTCACAAATACACCACAAACATCTCACAAATACACCACAGACAACTCACAAATACACCACAGACAACTCACAAATACACCACAAACAACCCTCAACAACAGCTGACATTCGCAACTAAGCGGAGGTGACGTCACCACGGCGCTTGTGCCAGGCTAGGTGCACTTTGAGGCGCACACATCACATACGGACGCGGAGAAAAGATTCCATTTTAACAGTTAGCTCCTTCACGCCTCGAACATTTGCGAACTGCTAGCGAGCACCAATGAGTGTGTGTACGGTGCACACACGCCCTTGTTACCCCTCTTTATCAAGTGTATACGTTGCATGTCTTTGAGGCTGTACGCCTTTTGAGACTAGGCTCGAAAGAAAGCTGTCTCTGGTGTGGACCAATCAGTTTCAAAGGCCAGGCATATACTAGCAGAGTATGGTTTTTGTTTGCATTCTGACCACAAGTATTGTGGTTAATGCACACATGATTCCTTGTAAAATGTTTAAGTTTGGTGTTTTAACTTCTTAACACCTGTTTTGTTGCCAGAAAAAAGGGGAAAACCTATTCTAATATTTTGGTACTGGCAAAGGAGGTCCCATGATGGTTTACTTCACTAATTTGTCGTACGATACTGCCATCTCTGGGCAGCCTCGTGTACTTGGCATGTTTGAGAGTTTCACGTGTTTTGTGTGATCCAACGACCTTTGCCTCCACAATGCCCTTGCGATTTAAGAAACGAATGTGAAATGTACATTTAGACTTGCCATTTGGTTGATGAGTTATGGATGGGTCCCTAGACTCTCCATCTCATTCCCTGTGCTCTGTGATAACGTCAATTGTAACTGTATAACGTGGCACGTGTTCGTCGTGTCTGTTTACATCGTGCAACAATCACTATAAATCTGTTTCATATTTCTCTAACGCCATTGTAATAGAAATGTATTTAAAGGTAATTTGGCCAAGCCACCTTTCGAAATGTATATTCGTTGTCGCTTTTATTTTCTGCAATATTTTCGATTTCTCCTCTTACGAGGTTGTGTTTGCACCGATTTCTATTTGCTTCATTGTAATACTTAAATCTATTGCTTTTTGTCATGTTGGTAACCCAAGTCGCTCTTGCAAATGCGACTTCACTGGTCTCTTTGAGTTTTCACCTGGTTCAACAAATTAACCTTTAACTTGCACTATGCTCCACGCAACACAGACATGGAGCAACAGAAGAGCTCGGACATTGAGCAGCCCGTCAATGGCAATAACGCAGAAGACTCTGATGAGGTGGTCTTTGTGTCTGTAGGTACCGCACTCTTCCATGCACTCCAGCCTGTCAGCAAAGTGCTTCTCTTCCAGAGAGTCGAACAGAAAACCAAACCAATATAAAATGTGTTGCTTAGCATTGATAATCCCATAAAATATTGCTTTTTGTAGCTAGGGTGTAAAAGTTAAAATGGATACGGTTCCAAAACCAACTTTGCAGTTTTAACCAATGACGCTGAAGGGCACATTAGCTGTGGTACTTGAGTCACTCGGTGAGACATCTTGTACTCAGAATTACACTACTCAACGGTCAACACAAGACCAGGCAGTTAGACGGTCACACTCACTCAGAATCCAATGGTGACAATATGCATAGTTTCAGCTAACATAAAGATCCCCCGTATAAGACTTAAACAGCACTCTTGGAGCAAGTGCTGTTAGCGAGCACCTTTTAAGGTCAACAAGGCACACGAGAGAATGGGTGGCCAGCACCACGTCTGACCACCGCCTTTGTTCTTTGCAATGCTGATGTTCACACACTGCACCAGGTACTCATTTAAGACTGAGTCGACCATGGGGAGGAGGCCTAGGAACAGTTCAGATATTCGTCGCTAATATTGGTAGTGAGTGTGAATTTAACTCGGGTCGCTGGGTTCTAAAACATTGTCATTAAAGTAGTAATTAAAGCATATTTGATCAATCCTGTACTTTAGCAGTTGCATTCATGCAAAATAAGCAGGAAAACAAAAAAAACACATTGCAGAACATTTATGAAATAACTTTTCATTCCTACTTTCATGACAATGTCGAAAAGGGTACAACTAATCCGTGAAAGTTTTACCGATATATAGAGAAAATATTAAAAATGAACGCTTCATTTTATTTTCCATGTTGACCAATACCACCATTTGCCTCTTTCTACCTCTGTTTCTTTTCGTCTCAGTTTGTCTCTGCCTCTGTCTCTACATCTCTGCCTCTGCATCAAGCTGTCTTTGCATCTACAATTGTTTTTGCTCCATTTGTCTCTGCATCTCCGTTTGCCTCTTGGCATCTGCCTCTTTGCAGAGAGACATGTGACTCAGAACACAACAAAGCATATCAGCTAAAATTATACCAAATTTTGCAAAATGAAGACCTGTGTAGCATATATTGTAGCCTGCAATGCAAGCTACACGGGGGGTCTTTGTTTTATCAATTTTGAGCAAACGTGCACATTTGAACCGATTTAAAAGTTTTTTTTGCAAACGGTTAACTTGGAACCGAACCCTCTATAACTATTCTAAGCCGATTGAACCGCATAACTGGTTCAGTCGGTTTGGGTTAACCGGAACCTTACCTGAACATCCGTAGGTTCAACTTTCTGATCGCTTATATGACATTCTGCTTACCTGCATTCGGTACTAGGGATTGTAACCATGCCCCAACTCAGTGATTTAATGCATTTTTTGTCTTGTTTTTACCTTCTTTGCATTGTTTGTCTTTTTTTGTAGTTTCACTTGATCAGCACAAATTATTACCATATTATGAGTGTAAGATTTTATTTTAATCATAAAAGCGATGCACTTGCTCTGTGTACCATCATAGAGAAACTGCAGTGATCAGCCATCAATGCTTGAGTGCATCTTAATGGCTCACAGGAAACTGCATATACAAGCCGAACTCTGTTCAGTGGCTCCATAAATACATATTTGTATATCCATCGGCCTAATGGCTTTCCTGACCAAAATGTTTGTTTAAGCAAGCAATGAAACTCTGAACCGGTTTTTACCTTGTTGGTCTTGTCAGGCTTGTTAACACATGCTGCTGGATTACCAGATGTTATTGGTAAGAGCACTCCATATAATCTGACACTCCATTCAATGGAAAAAGTATTGCTGTACAAAAACTCATGGCAAGCGGCTGTGCCTCTGCAGGAGGGGCCTCAAAGGCCAGTGGTTGCCTTCATTGAGCTTTCGGACGAAGAGAGCAACTTGAACAATCCCAACGATGAGGCAAGATACACGATGCTTTGCAGTCAACGCCGGTTTTCACGCTGTCCACACTCGTAGACATTATATTCGGCCACTTTCCTGACTTTGTGCGAACCAGTTAATGTGAAAGGATTGCATGTCTCGCTGTTATGGATTGTGTACAATAGCTCGTTTTCTGTTCTTAACGCTTAGCATGTGGCGAACGGTAAAGGAGTGCGTGTTGCAATCATCATTGTCAAGTGACATGTCCGTCGTAATAGTTATCGAGGGAAAAGCCTTTCTGAATCTCAAGAATCTTTCATAAGGGTTTTGCATTGGGATGTTCGATCAAGTGCTATATAAGCAGTGCTTTGCATGTGGTAGGAAACCAGAGTACCCAAACAAAGCCACACACACAAGGGGTAACGCTGGGCACCGCCATCTCATTGACCACCTTGCATCCCCATACCGTATCAAGCCCATGCTGGCCGCACATTCAGAGTAATACCCAGGCTCACTTCTGTTTACTTTCCTCGATCTGACAACTTTCAGTGGCGGCATGGGAGCCATCCCGTCCGCGTGAAGCCGACGACCTTGAGGAGGTCTCGAGACTTCTCTTTTGCGCTGTTGTTCACAGGGGCAGGCGCCCGCCGAGGATCACGTGGACCGTGTCAAAGCGCGCGTGCAGAGCACACTGGAGCGCCTCGCCCGCAACGTGGAGGAGGACAAGGAGAGTCGGCGTGCGCACAACGAGCTGTTGCGCGTAAGTGCCCACGTCACCTCCCCTAGTTTGTTGTCCTTCCCCTGCACCTCCGATTAGCACGGTTGGCTACGTACGGTGCGAAAGACGTTCAGCGTAAATCATTCTATGGACAAGGTGGGGGGGGATGATTCTGGAAAAAGGCGATGCCCGCTGGCTATTACGAGAAAGGAAGAGGCAATGCTAGTGTTTGAGAATCGTTATTTTTTACACGGTTGCTTGAGCACATGCCCAAAGGCCTAAAATGCCAACTGGGCCAGCAACAATACAGCACTATCAGAGTTATATTAGATACGAGTTAACACGTTTTGTTAATTGAGCAAGGTTGTCAGAGCTTGGGAAAAGAGACGATGGGAGGGAATTCCCAAAGTCGAGCAGTGCGAGGGAAGAAGCGGAAAGAGAAATGTTGGGAGCCGCAGTTGAACGCAGCGTGGAGGGGATGGAATAGTAATTTTGTTTGACTGAGTCTGCAATATGGGTAAAGGAATTTATGAGTGAGGTTTAGAGGAACGAACAGCAAATATATTAGCGATAGAAGAGCGATAAGGAGGTGACTGACTGCTGGTGAGTGAGTTACTGGAGTGAATTAGTGAGTGCTGGATCATCAATCAACCTTATTGCTCTAATGTGAACTATATAAATTACAGCGAGATAGGAATTCCATGCTTAATCTCAGATATGACAACTGTATACAGTAAACCCTTAATGTTCACGGGTTTTATAATCGCGGTTTCGCGATTCATTTATTGGAGCATTACTTAAAACTTTGCGGGGTTTTAATAATTCGTGGCTGTAGCTCCCCACTCCCCGACAGGGAGGAGCATGGCTTGTGTGTACGTTTGGTAAACTTCTTTGGCACCGTACGTAGCCAACCGTGCTAGTCGGAGGCGTGGGAGCGGCGTGGATGGTAAGAGCGTGAGCGCTGCCCACGCAGCGCTCCGTCTCGGTCTACCTTTGCTTGCCACACGTATTACACGTGAGTGCTTTCCTTTACAATTGTTTGGAATTACGGTAGACTCGATTATCCGCGAGCTGTTAATTCGATTTGCGGATTAACCGCACACCTGAGATTTTGGCATAATTTAATAACTCATAGATTTTTCCCTTAAGCCTAAATTAATCATCTAAAAACAGTTATACATTGTTATTCTTGGAAGTGTTAATTACAAGTCACGTGCCTCAATCGAACAAATATGTGCTCCGGTTAATCTGAAATTCACGTGGTTGCTTCAACAGTACAGTAGTTGCATATCTTTAAAACAGTGGGTGAAGTTTGATTGGGCGGAGTTTGATAAAACAACTTAAGCATAATTGATACAGTGAGGGAAAAAAAGCATTTGATCCCCTGCTGATTTTGTACGTTTGCCCACTGACAAAGAAATGATCAGTATATACTTTTAATGGTAGGTTTATTTGAACAGTGAGAGACAGAATAACAACAAAAAAATCCAGAAAAACGCATGTCAAAAATGTTATAAATTGATTTGCATTTTAATGAGGGAAATAAGTATTTGACCCCTCTGCAAAACATGACTAGTACTTGGTGGCAAAACCCTTGTTGGCAATCACAGAGGTCAGACGTTTCTTGTAGTTGGCCTCCAGGTTTGCACACATCTCAGGAGGGATTTTGTCCCACTCCTCTTTGCAGATCTTCTCCAAGTCATTAAGGTTTCGAGGCTGACGTTTGGCAACTCGAACCTTCAGCTCCCTCCACAGATTTTCTATGGGATTAAGGTCTGGAGACTGGCTAGGCCACTCCAAGACCTTAATGTGTTTCTTCTTGAGCCACTCCTTTGTTGCCTTGGCTGTGTGTTTTGGGTCATCATGCTGGAATACCCATCCACGACCCATTTTCAATGCTCTGGCTGAGGGAAGAAGGTTCTCACCCAAGATTTGACGGTACATGGCCCCGTCCATCGTCCCATTGATGCGGTGAAGTTGCCCTGTCCCCTTAGCAGAACAACACCCCCAAAGCATAATGTTTCCACCTCCATGTTTGACAGTGGGGATGGTGTTCTTGGGGTCATAGGCAGCATTCCTCCTCCTTCAAACACGGCGAGTTGAGTTGATGCCAAAGAGCTCCATTTTGGTCTCATCTGACCACAACACTTTCACCCAGTTGTCCTCTGAATCATTCAGATGTTTATTGGCAAACTTCAGACGGGCATGTATATGTGCTTTCTTGAGCAGGGGGACCTTGCGGGCGCTGCAGGATTTCAGTCCTTCACGGCGTAGTGTGTTACCAATTGTTTTCTTGGTGACTATGGTCCCAGCTGCCTTGAGATCATTGACAAGATCCTCTTGTGTAGTTCTGGGCTGATTCCTCACCGTTCTCATGATCATTGCAACTCCATGAGGTGAGATCTTGCATGGAGCCCCAGGTCGAGGGAGATTGACAGTTCTTTTGTGTTTCTTCCATTTGCGAATAATCGCACCAACTATTGTCACCTTCTCACCAAGCTGCTTGGCAATGGTCTTGTAGCCCATTCCAGCCTTGTGTAGGTCTACAATCTTGTCCTTGACATCCTTGGAGAGCTCTTTGGTCTTGGCCATGGTGGAGAGTTTGGAATCTGATTAATTGATTGCTTCTGTGGACAAGGTGTCTTTTATACAGGTAACAAGCTGAGATTAGTAGCACTCCCTTTAAGAGTGTGCTCCTAATCTCAGCTCGTTACCTGTATAAAAGACACCTGGGAGCCAGAAATCTTTCTGATTGAGAGGGGGTCAAATACTTATTTCCCTCATTAAAATGCAAAGCAATTATAAAATTTTTGACATGCGTTTTTCTGGATTTTCTTGTTGTTATTCTGTCTCTTACTGTTCAAATAAACCTACCATTAAAATTATAGACTGATCATTTCTTTGTCAGTGGGCAAACGTACAAAATCAGCAGGGGATCAAATACTTTTTTCCCTCAATGTATGTATATTGGTGGTCTTTGGCATAGAGATCTGCGGAAAATGGGAAATTTTGGATTATCCGCGATTTGGAGTTATCAGTGGCTGTCCTCGCCATCATTAGCGTGGATAACCAAGAGTCTACTATACATAGTGTGTAATACTTATTTATTCACTGATATGTGTACTTTAAAAAATGTTAACGTTAATCATTATGAACGGCAAGTTAAATAACCCAATAATTCTCTGTTTTCATTAATACATACAGGTCATATGTGGAAACATAATATTTTTATGCCAACCCTGTTTTCCTCCTAAGCTTTAATTGTTAATTTTCGCGGATTTAATGTTCGTGCCGTTCATGGAGAACGTATCCCCCCCCCCCCCCCCCCCCCCCCCCACGAATATTAAGGGTTTGCTGTATTCCAACATCTGCTGTTCTGCGTCAACATTCACTGCGTGTCACTGTTCAGCCTGGAGAGCTGAGGTCCGTGCTGTTGCACACACGAGTCTCAAAGTGGTCAAAAGGAGGGAGCTGTGCGCGCGAGTTCCCGTGGCTGCCGTGGGAGCTTGCACAAAGATTGCGGGGGGGGGGGGGTACGGACGGCGATGGTGCTACGTTGATTGAGGCACGTGCTGTGCTGCGCTTGCAGATGCAGAGGGACTCGCTGCAGGCGCACGGCACCTACATGCTGGGGCTGTCCGCACAGAACCCCGACATGCAGGCGGCAAAGAAATGCGTCGAGTACTACGCCAAGAAGCCCGGTCAGTGGTCACATGGGCCATTTAATTAGCTGGAGGGCCTGAATAGGCGATAGCATTTTGTCTTACTCCTAGTTATTTTGCAATGGCTTTATGATATCATTTTGCTTGAAGTGAAGGATTTTTCCATTCCAAATACTCGCAGGAAGCCGCCACTCGTATCAGAGAACAACTTCTGAAAGGTTATATCCCAGGACAACCTATGAGGTCCCTTAAATTTTCTCTTATCCACACTGGGTGGTGTACCTTTTATATGTCCTTCTAAAGAGGTATCCATCGCATTGGCAAAAATAAACCCAATTGTCGCTGTAAATTTGATACATTTACTGAAAATCTAACATAACTAGCCTTTTGCCCATCCAAGAACGGGTGAATTGCAGTAAATCTGCATCTTGCAAGCGGAAAGCAGACCGCGACGTGATATATCCACTGCATCAATGCGTGTGCAATTTGTAAGGGCGCGGTGACACAGACCTATTTCATTTTAAGGTTATAATCCCTTGTTCATCACGACATCCTTTTTACTTTGATGTCTCAATAGCGTTACGGAGATCACGTGACGTGAGGGTTCTGCCTTTGTAGTGAGGGTTGTAAGTTGACGCTGAGGAGGGGGGAGGAGGCGCCTCGCCCCCCCATGTGGAGTGACGTCAGCCGCTAATTATTATGAATGGGGGGGGTGTCCATTTGGAGGACGTCACCTGCTCAGGATTTATAATGAGGGGGGCTGTTCGATGTGGAGTGACGTCACCCGCTCATGATTATTAGTGAGGGGGGAGGGGGTGTCCATTTGGAGGACGTTACCTGCTCATGAATATTAATGAGGGGAGCTGGTCGATGTGGAGTGACGTCACGAGCGCTAAGGACAGACATTCCTGGGTAATATAGTAGGTATATGGTATATGTGCATTCACTGGTATTTGCTAAGACTTTAAACTCACTTCACTTTATATTCTTTGGTTCTTTCGGTAAAGTCACGGAGATAGAAAAATAATAATAAAAATAAGGTGAATAAAAATAATAATAAATAAAAACGCTTATGTAGACTAGCCTGGTTCTTAATTTGAGTGAGTGTACTGGAAATCTCTAATGTAGACTGTAGCTGGTTAAATCCCCCTTTGTGTGTGTGACCTTACCCAGCCCTGCGGCAAGGCAACCTGCACGTAAACAGGCGCCAGCAGGCGTCAGGCTGCCCAACTCCTTCCTCGTCCGCCCAGGCCCTACATTGCCCCATCAAAAACTGCCTGCGCACCTTCGATAACCGCGCTCTGCTGCTGGGCCACCTGAAGAGGTGAGTCTGCGCAGGGAGTAAATGAGGAGCCATGCCCGTTCCTTTACTTTACTCATTGTATGAATTAACGTAAGTTATTTTTGCGGGAATTATATTAATATCCCAACATTCTGTTATTCTATCATGGGTGATGTCTAACCTAAACTTTTTGTTTTACCTGGTAAGACCCACTGGGCTCTAAAGCTCTTTTTTAGAAGCAACCTGGCCACAAATAATACCTCGATGATGTGGCTTATCATGTGGAAATGTATAGCAGCCAAACACAATTCTGGCAAATTCGCCCGATGATGACGAATGTAATTTCCAGTGAAACGTCGTACTCAAATTGTAAATGTTGTGGATTTATTCTCCAACACACCGGTGGGCTAAAGTAACTAATTGGCACGTTTTGTTTACGTGACAAACCTTACTAATTGGCTGTGTCGGGTGGTGGCGGGTTAATGACACATACTTATGCGATCTAACCCAAAAAACCTTTATCATGAGCCAAACACCAAACGAAGTATGCACACATACCTGTAGGAATCGCAGTTCTATTCGCGATTCCAAAGTGAAAATCTACACTTGAATGGGATGCTATCCCACTCTTCACTTGAATGGGAAGCTGGAAAGGCAGTCTACCATGGGAGCCTGTATTTTGTTAGTAGGATCGACTGTACATAGAATTGGGTGCATGCAAACTTAATGCACATGCAGCACGTGAATGTATATCCACATCCTTGCATGTGCACTGCTGATTGTGCTAGAAAGCAGCATTACCTTTACTCTTTGGTTCTATTCGGTAAAGTCACGTAGGTAAAAATAAAATAACAAAAAATCACGACGTTTCGGCCACAACACAAGTGGCCTTCATCAGGTGAAGGGACTGGACTGTCCAGAGGACAACGCTGTCCTCTGGACAGTCCAGTCCCTTCACCTGATGAAGGCCACTTGTGTTGTGGCCGAAACGTCGTGATTTTTTGTTATTTTATTTTTACCTACGTGACTTTACTGAATAGAACCAAAGAGTATGGATCCTTGCAGTCACGAAAGCTTCAAATCTAGAAGCATTACCTTTATTAACAACAATAATATTATAACTTTTTTATCAACCTTGCCAAATGTTTTTTACAAGTAACACTATATTTCATAGCAGTCGGCTGAGGAATTTTGTAGTTTAATTGAAACATGCAAAGGCAACCTGGCTGGTAGTATTCCGCGGCCCCTTGTGATTGTCAGCTTTGTAAGGGTACTGACCATTGGCCTTGGACTCGGCTGACATGAATCGGCCGGGTTTCTCTGCAGGTTCGACCACTCACCCTGCGATCCCTGCGTGATGCTGAAGGGAGTACCGATTGTGAAGTACGTGTGTGGCCCGTGCCAACGGGTGTTCTGCTCCATGGTCGACTACGAGGCACACCTGCTGGAGAAGGTGAGAGCGTCGCTTTCGCGCACTGGCACGAGCATTGGGCACGTCTTTGGTGAAGCCAGATCGTTGCCGCTGCAATTGCTGCCAATCGGCTTTTCAGCCAGGCCATTGCCTTTCACCCTTTCAGAGCCATGTATTTTTCAACCTTCCGTCACCCTGCAGCCAGCCAATTTTTGTATCTACTCTAGCGAAAGTTCAGTTGTGTAATGTGCAATTTTATTGGGCGACTGTGTGTTGTCCTGGTGTGGTCTGGGACTTTTTGTTTTGCTGCCTTGCCCAAGATTGAATTTGATGTTGAAAAATCGGCAGGAATTGATGTACTTATGCAATTTGTACTTATATACTTTTTATTTATTTCGTGACTTTCTTAACTTTTCTATACTGTGCACTCCTCTCAGTTTTTGTACTGTTTGTTGTAACTCTCTGACCCGCCCCTTGTGGACATCTGTAAAAAAAAGAGCTTCATAGCTCATCAGATTCTTCCAGTCTAAATCAAGATTCTGATTCTGGAATGGCAATCCCCATGTTATGAGCGTGCAAAGGAGTGCTTTTATAGGAGGTGTTGCCTTATATATACTACTAGCGGGAAGTCACCGGCATTGTCCGGGGGAAAAATATATTTCAAAACTTCTCTTAAAAACATAACATATACATGCACAAATACTAAGCTATTGTGAAAGCCCGGCGTGCCATTTGTCAATTTGTCCGTCAACAAAATTATGAGAGGCTTGCAGAAGTCCAAAAAGTTATAGAAAGTGATGGGTAAATAGTTGATCTAAAATGTTTCTGAAAATTGTTGAACCCACCCCCCCTCAAAAAATATTTTTACCCCCGTTTAGGCATATATGCTTAAACACCCTAAATACAATAGAGTGAATAGTATCTAGTGACTCTATAGTAGTATCTATTTACTCTATAGTAGTATCTACTGACTGTACAGTAGTATCTACTGAGCCCAGTAGTAGCTACTGACTGTATAGTAGTATCTACTGACTGTAGTAGTAACTACTAACCATAGTAGTACCTACTGACTCTATAGTAGTATCTGTTTACTCTATAGTAGTATCTACTGACTATAGTCATTACTACCGACTCTGCAGCAGTATATACTGACTGTAGTTGAACATACTGACTGTAGTTGAATCTACTGACTGTAGTAGTATCTACCCACTATTGTAGTATCTACCAACTCTATAGTAGTATCTGCCGATTCTATAGCAGTAACTACTGACTCTGCAGTAGTATGTAATGACTATGGTAGTACCTGCTGAATCTATAGTAGTATCTATTGACTCAATATTTTGTATCTACTGACTATAGTAACTGCTAACTCCATAGTAGTATCTGCTGACTATAGCAGTATCTACTGACTCTATAGTTGTATCTACCAACTCTGCAGCAGTATACCGACTATAGTGGTATCTGCTGACTAGTATTATCTACTGACTATAGTAGTATCTACCGACCCTACGGTAGTATCTGTATATGTATATATGGATGGCTTCATGAACAAATCTTTGTTGATAGCCAGTGGGTTTGCAAAGTACCTTCGTCTTAGAGAAATCAATTTTGCATGAGCCCACTGCATTAAAACAGTGATCAGCCACGGCCGAGGTATTGGTCCTACCGTGTTTCAGATCTGCCTTATGTTCACGAACACGGTCAGAGACATGTCGCTTAGTTTCCCCAATGAAACTACTGCTGCAGACACAACTTAGTTTGTAGGCACTGGGGTATTGCATGTCAGGGATCACATCCTTCACAGATGGGATCAGATTACGAATTTTATGTACTGTGTTAAATCGAACCTGGATCTTGTCTTTGCTCATGATTTTGGAAATCTTTTTGGTGACCCCTGCTATGTATTGCAAGGTGATGGTTTTGATTAGGTCCTCAGATGGTTCTTTCACAATGGTTGGGGTGATAGCTTTACGGATTGTGTCGTCTGAATATCCATTCATCTTGAGAGCTTGGTGTACGTGTTCCAGTGCACCGGCTAGGTGATGAGCTCGATGTATTTCTGACCCCCTTTTGCTGATGACGACCGCTTGTGTTGCGATCGAAACGTTGTAGTTTTTTGTTATTTTCTTTGAACCTATCTACATGACTTTACCGAAAGACCCAAAGAATATTTATTGACCATAGTATTTAATGACTGTATAGTAGTATCTACTGACTGTAGCAGTATTTACTGACCGTCGTGGTATCTACTGACTGTAGTAGTATCCACTGACTCTATAGTGGTATCCGCTGACTCTATAGTGGTATCAACCAACTCTATAGTAGTAAATACTGACTATACAGTAGTATCTAATGACTATAGTAGTATCTACCGAATGTATAGTATCTATTGACTCTATTGTAGTATCCACTGAATATAGTAGTAACTACTATTCGAGAAGGTGGTCGTGGCCAAGGGCGGGGCAGCCACGACCAGTGAAGGATATAAGCTTGGTCCCCAGAGGGACCGGGGTCCAGCGTTGCTGTTGTCAATTCGAAGGTCTACGTTCGACGTCCGAGAAGAGACACCAACACGTGGACCTGGACCCAGGCTGCGGTCCTGCCCGTTGTAGCTACTCCCAGTGTATTTAGTGTAGTTAGCTTGGTGGTCCACCACCATAGGTTATCTGGTGATGGGGCAGTTACCCCTTTGTTTTGGTGTCATTAAATGTGTTGCCTCCAAAGAGTACGTCTGCTACTCAGTTGAACTCACTACAGTAGTATCGACTGACCCTATAGTAGTAAGTGCACGCATTGGGGTGGGGGGGGGAGAAGAGGACATCACACACTGCCTCTTCATTTTTTTCTTGCTGTGGTTGTCCACCTGAAGACGATTGCTTGTGTGGCGATCGAAACGTTGTGATCTATTATTATTTTCTACCTACGTGACTTTACCGAAATAACCAAAGAGTATGATTTGTTTACCTTTCCTATACTTTGCACTCCTATCTTGTTCTCGTATTAATTGTTGTTCAAACATTCTGATCAGTCACTACTGGACGTCTGTGATAAATCGCGTTTCAGCTCAATGGATTCCTGCAGTATATATAAAAATAGTAAACCCTTGTTAATTCCATACTTATGGGGCTCTTGCCTTGCCGAATTATCCAATATTTCGAATTATGTATTATGCACACTGGTACTCTCCAGTGTCTTCTGCCCCAAACTCTTCACACATACGCATTGACACACCTGCATCAATTTTATCCAAAACTTTGGATTTGTCTCGCAGACTAAGGGATTTACTTATTGACGTAGGTGTAGACATTTCTGAGAGAGTTGGCTTACACAGAGGGCATAAACAAGGTAAAGTCCAAAGCGACAGGTCTGCACTGACGCTCGCCATGCGCGTCGCCACCAGACTAAGTCGGTGTTTTGGTCGTGGCGTGCGACGTCGTTCCTTGTGTATGCCAAAATTGAACCATTCAGTTCGGAAATTCGACTCATAGCTTATTACTAATACCGTATATATGCCGAAAGCACAGCCGTGCTGAATTATCCCCAATTACGAATTATTAAGTACCAAAATAATGTAGTGGCTGCCAGGGAGGGTGCGTTTATAGGCCATTGGTGTTGTGGAAAGTCCATAGTTGCATGTGAGATGGCGAAAACTTGAGATGTACTAACATCTATAAATTGCAATTAAAATGAACGATGCAATTACCTTATTCAATAAGGCATTGTCACATAATCCACTTTTATTATCCACAGTTAAATATTGGTGTCGCTAAATATGTGCCACTACCTGATGTGCCACCACCCCATGGACGAAAACGATGACTGGAGCTTCTTTGTCTCCTCAGCTGAAAGATGACTCAAGCTTGAGCATTTGGCGCCCCCACAAGCCCGGTGCGTCCCCGCTGTCCTCCCGCTACTTCGCCTGCCCCAACTGTTTCCTGCTCTTCACGCTGCACGACCAGTGCCTGCAGCACATGCAGCAGCAGCGCCACTTCCGGAGCACCTACCCCATTGGTAAGCACGGTTGGCTTCGTACGGTGCAAAGGAAGTTCAACGTACATACCTGCCCGCTGTGGTTAAGCCACACTCATCGATACCTCTAACCCCCTCCACCTGCTGAACCCTTTGTCTGTGATTGGCAGAGAAGCAAAAGCAGCCGTGCCCCATCCTGTTCCCGGACTACGCGAAGAACATGCTGGTCTCCCTGTGCCGGGAGGTGGAATTCACCGTGACGTGCGCCTCCTGCGGACAGGGACTGCGCAGCAACAGTCAAGTCACGGAACATTTCAGGTGACCGAGCACGGGGCTCGGGGGTCACTTTCTCTCCATCGATAACGGCGCATTGCGGTAGCCTTGGCTGCACCCGGCAGGCTTGCACCAAGAACACGTCGTCGCCACCGGAACCGTTAACACCGCCGTGTAGCGCAACAATGCTTTTGGCTAGCGATCAAACAAAGACGGTGACTGCATCGCGCGCTTTTTACCTCCATTTGAATAGCTCTTCCTTATGTGGAGGCTATGGGGGGTGGGATCTTTGTCTTTAAAGTCTTTGTTTGCCCGCTGTGGTGGTGGGGGGGGACTTGTGGCAGGTTGCAGTGCCAGGGCGGGTGGCCACTGGCACTTGCCAAGCAACCGGTGAGCGACGTGGCCAAGGTGTTTTGGGCGGCCGGGCGCTGCCTGCAGTGTGCTGGCCGTGCGCTGCTCACGGAGGACGACTGCGCAAAGCACGAGGCGACCACGGGCCACCTGGTGTGGCGCGTCAACAACATGCAGGTCGCCCTCATCGCATTCTGCTACTTCCGCTCGGGCGCAAACAGCGCCGCTGTCAACGACGGCAAAACCAGCAGCAGCATCGGCGAAAACCATGACGGAAAGACGGCTGGTTCACACAGTCCACAGCCCAGCACGTCCTCCACCGACACCGGCAAGTAATGCGCTTTGAGAGGTCGGCCAGCCGGGGCTAAACTAAACAAAAAAAACTATGAACTAATTTTTTTATTTTACCTGGTATGACCCACTGAGCTGTGTAGGTCTTTTTTTCAGAAGTGACCTGACTATCACAAATGATAGCTTAACGAAGTGGCTTATTGTGTGGAAATATATAGCAGCCGAATACTCTAAACGCGTGTTGTTGATTCTAAATGTGGAGGGAAAAACCGGAGGACCTGGAGAAAAATCCACATGAGCACAGGGAGAGCATGGAGATTCCGAATATACAGGTATCAGGGTCAGGATAGAACCCACGACCTGCCTGCATACCAGGCGAGGTAGTTAACATCTCACCACCCGCCAAGCATACGAGGGCTAGGCAGTGCTTTCAGGTTTTGTAACCAGTACTGGGTGATGGTCGTAGAGTTGTGATAAGGGTTGTGGTGACATTCCCTTTAGTCCAGCAATTTAGCCGGTACGGTTGGTCATTTCATTTCGTATCCATCATTCTGACCTGGTGAGGTCATGACGACGATTTGTAATGGTGTTTAAATTAGCAGCTATGCAGGTCTCCTCTCAACAGACGACATTGAAGCAGATACCAATTTGTAATAATTAATCATAATTTATAACATGCCCTTTCACAATTGTTCTCAGGACACTAATTTGTGGGGTTGTTGTACCACATAGAGATAGCTGTGTACAGTATTTCCTCGTTTAACACAGTAGATGTGTTCCTGAAAGGTGTGTTAAGTGAAAGCAACATTTGCACTAAAATCAGCCTGCAGTCATGCCATGGCGGGACAAAGAACTGAGATGAGGGTACATAGCGTACTCTATCGTTCCGCGTACTGTATCGTACCACTCGGCTCTGCAGCTCCAAAAAGTAGTTTGTTGTTCACCGCTCAGAAACCGAGTTATAACAGCCGCGTTGTTCAGAAAGTCTTCCCAAGTAAAAGAACCGTGTTATAGCGAAAACGCGTGAAGCGAGGAGTTACCGTATGAGATATTCACCCCTGCAGTGACCGTGCCAGTGGGTGGCAGTGAATAAAGTTTGTCCAGATAATGGAGTGTGACGCCGTCCTTCGATTTACTGTGCACCTGTTCTGGTCTCCCAATTACAAAAAAACTACTCAAAAGTATTGGCTAGCTTTTCTGAGCAGAACCATCCCGAAATAGTCCCGAAGCTCATTTGTAGTCTTCATGGGTTAAACACATACATTTTTACTGATCTTGACTGAGTATTTTTTTTAGAACAGTTTTCTCTAAATATTATCTTTTAAATGCTGCGTTACGTACTTGTCATTTGCAGCTCTCGAATTCTGTCTCCCTCGCTTGGTGTATGCGCGTGTGTGTATATTGCGCGATCGACAGGTGCATTTCCACATCCCGCTTGCAGCAACAACAACAACGACAATGGCAGCGGTGTCGGAAACATCATCGGTGGCAGCAGCAGCAGCATGGCTGCAGGGGGTGGCAGGGCGACGGAGGACCCGAATTGGGTGTGCGAGTGCGGCACCGTCCTGGCCACGGAGGAGGAGGCCTTCGAGCACCTCGTGGCAATCAACAGCGTGCACTTCCGCTGCCTTGTGTGCCATACGGTCTTCCTATCCGAAAGCATTGTGAGGCTGCACATGAGCCGCACGCACGGCGGTGCGCACTTATCTGACTACGAGCGCTGGTGCTGCACGTGCCACATCAAGGTGCCCGGTGGACGCGATGGCATTGCGGACCACCTGCTGAACTACCACCCAGGCCACTCCTTCTACTTCGAGCGCCGCGGCGGTGACGACGACGAGACTCCGGCGACGGAAGCGGCAGCGGCGCCAGAATGTCCCGCGACAAAGCCGGCGCTCGCTGCAGCCACTGGTGGTGCGCAGGGCTCGGAGGCGGCCGGCACGAGCGGGGCTTTCCCGGCGAAGGATAACATCGTGGTCGCGAGGCCCAAGGACAGCGATGAGCAGCAGAAGACTCTGAAACCGCCCAGGAAGAAGCACAAGATTGCTAACAATAGCGGGCCAATTTACAAGTGCTGCTTTTGCAAGAAGGCAAGCTATCTACTGGAGGCTGTTTATGACCACCTGAAAAGTCACATGCATTCTAATCTATCCAAAAAGGGCCCGCACTACCTGGTTTTGTGTCCAGAGTGTCGAACGCAGCTGTCGCCAGGCAAAAGCACGTGCCAGCGCTGCGGGAACAGGGCCAGCGGCGGTGGGAGTGGGAGCCGCAAGCATGGGGCCAGCGGCAGTGGGAGCAGCAGTAACAATGGGGTTGGGAGTAGTGGTGGAGGTGGTTACCCCTTCTTAGCGGCCAACATGAAAGTTCAGTTGGACTTGGAGCCCAAGCCCATGCCATTTGAGTTCACAGCGTCTCCATCTCCGAAAAGCAGTGAGTGCTGGCATTTTGCTTTAATTGCTTTTGTTCTTTGAGATTCATCTTCTTTGGTTCTTTCGGTAAAGTCACGTAGAATGAGAATAAAATAATAAATTGATAAAATAAATAATACAATAATAATCTCACGACGTTTCGGCCACAACACAAGCGGCCTTCATCAGGTGAAGGGACGAGACTGTCTGGAGGACAGCGCTGGAGTGAAAAAGCCACGCTCAGATCGCGACCTTTAAGCTGTGTGAGAAGAAACAAAGCGCCTTGACAAAGGAATTAGCATAGAATTTAGCATTGAAATGGCTGAGTGATTAGCTTGTGACTGGTCACAGAAATGCCTATATTCTTAGGTCTTTCAGTAAAGTCACGTTGAAGGAAAACAACAAAATTATAAAATATATAATAATAAAATACATATTTATATATATTATTCTTTTGTTGTTTCCCTTCAACGTGACTTTACCGAAAGAGCTAAGAATATGAATTACTGCCGTCACGAAAGCTTTGAATCAAGAAATGGCTATGTTAAAGTTAAAGCATACACATCCGCAGAGGCACCCCTTGACAAAGGAATTAGCATAGAATTTAGCATTGAAATAGCTGAGTGATTAGCTTGTAACTGGTCACAGAAATAGCTATGTTAAAGTCAGAGCATATACATTCACAGAGGCACCTAGTACAAATCAAACAGGAGAATTTAGCATTGAAATAACTAGGCGAATTTAGCATTGAAATAACTGAGTGATTAGCTTGTGACTGGTCACAGAAATGGCTATGTTGAAGTCAAGGCCTACACATATGAGCTATTCACAGTAACTGGGTATACACTACAATATATAATGAATACTATATAGTGAACCAATAAAAAACTAAAATATAAATTACCTCAATGTTATCAATGAACTCTATATATTCTCCAATCAGCTAAGCTACCAACAATAAGTCGTTGAGCTTCTCCGTTACTCTGAACTGAGAGTAACCAAAGACAGTGTATACATTCTGATGATTTGGGAGGTGGCGCGGTGGTTATTAGCTTGTTACACAATGAATCCTGGTGAGCTCTGTTCTTAGCTATTGCTGAGAGACCAGTGGCAATTGAAATGTAATCCTGTCCCGTCGCAACCCTTCATTCACTTCACCAACCAGCTCGCGGTCAAAGAACCGCCGTGATCCACACCATGTGGGGAGGCCTTCCGCCAGGAGTGCATGTTTGCCGAAGAGTCTATTATTTAGGAATTATTATAATGCAAATTACATGTTAAAGTATAGTAAAACCCCAAGTGAGCCAGATTTTGCACTTAGCTAGACCAGGTCAGCTTATATAACTTAAAAAAAAACATCTAATATGTATGTTTATTCAGAATATTTAACACACTACGTTTGGAATAGTTTACATAATGTAATGGATGACGGAACGCGCTCGAGCATGTTTTTGCACTTTTATGTAGTTGCATTGTGTGTGAAGATTATTTGCGGAAATACATTAGCGGAAGTGGGTGATGGGGAGGGAGCGAGAGGGGAGGGCGGCGGTGGGTGATGTACAGTAGGGGGAGTGAGGGGAGCCATGTACCGTCGAAACGACTGCAGTACTATAAAAAAAACACACCACAAGTACTCTCTTATTTTGGTCTGTACACTAACACACGCGCCAGACCTTTCAGATGTGGGAACGAGGGCTACACCCTATTAGTCTGGCAAGTCGTTTTTTTACTAAACTAAAAACTAAACTTTTATTTTACCAGGTAAGGCCCACTAAGCTATGTAGCTCTTAGAAGTGACCTGGCCACAAATGATAGCTCTATGAGATGGCTTATCGTGTGGAAATATAAAGCAGCCAATTACTCTAAACAAGTTATGTCAATTCTAAACGTGGAGGGAAAAACGAGAGAACCCAGAGAAAAATCCACGCAACCACGGGGAATACATGCAAACTCCAAATATATAGGCGTTATATTTGGGATGGAACCCAGGACCTCTATACTAGGCGAGGTTGTTAACATCTCGCCACCTTCAGGCTTCTTGCAAATGTGACTTGATCGCTCAAGCAAGACACGATGATGTACATGCGTGGTGTGTGTTGCGCGCGCGTGTGGAGTGTGCTTTGTGCTTTAAATATCTGCGTGGGTGGGGTGGCGGATTTTTGAACAACCAGGCCCCGACTCAAGCAGGCCGGAGCTCCCGGACGCCGACTACCTGAGCACCATGTCACACGTTCTCCTCATTGACCTGGACAACTGGCCCAACTTCTTTCAGAAACTCCCTGCGCAGCTGCAGACTGGCATCTTCATATGGGGCTTCAAAGGTGAGGAGTAAGCAAAGGGGTGAGTAAGAGTAGTGGCCATGAGCCATGGTTGTCATCCTTACCCCCCCCTACCTATGAGGGAATAAAATGACAACCAATTTAATCGTAAGCTAGCGATGGACGTTGTTGATTGGCGCTCTGCCGAATGTGTTTTTAACGGGACTTTTAACTCTTGTGTAACCTCTATCATCGCTGTTTCAATTAAATAAACACTCCATTGTGAATCGGGCATTCTGGTACTGGTCTAAATTAACTTTTCGGATTCTACTTCACGATGGCGGGTGGATGTGAAGGCAACCCTGCTGGCTTTTGCTGTCAATTCCAGGCTCTGGCTCACTGTTCAGTATGAAGTACCTTCAGTTGCCCTTGTGATCCACATACTGCATGTTTGATCTCCTTGCGTGACGGTTGAAACAATGAAGTATAAACCATCAAGCCAACCATCCTCGCAGCAGCACCTTTTCTGCTGGCCATTGAACAAAGACAGTCACCCCATCGCGCGATTATTAGATGCGCTACTGCGGCCATCTGGAACGCTCTTCCGATATTAGGAAGCCACTGCAGATATGTATTTTTAAATAATCTAGATTGAAAACGAATTTCTTTAGAACTGATTTTTGTGTTTAGTTTTTTGTCCTTTCCCCCACACCTCCCGATTAGCACAGTTGTCTACGTACAGTGCGGTAGAAGTTCAACATACAGAGGTTGCTTAAATCCTTCGGCCTCTGCCACGCAGCACTAAAAATTTGGTGCAGCACAGTTAACCGATCGGCAGGTCGCGTCTGGTGGGGTAAAGTGTGGGTATCTGAACCACTTCCAAGGGGTCTGGCTAGCGTGGAAGTGTGGAAGCCCTTCCACCAGCAGCGGTGTGAACGGACAGTCGCGTGGCTACACCCCTTCACGTTGTACGTTGTGCTTACGTTCATCCCCCGGGTGGCGTTGCCGAACCAAGGCGGACACAACAAGTGGCAGCCACCCAGGGATTGTGCCGCGTACCGTCAGCTGCACCAGCAGGGCTGCTTCTTCCTACACCCGCAGTGCAGTGGGCGCAAAGACGCCGCCGACTTCGCCATCTGCCTGCACGTAAGATGCAAAAGACTTTAAAGACTATGATCACCCCCTCCCTTCGTGTAGACTTAACAGACTCTTGGGGCAAGTGCTGTTAGTGAGCACCTATGAAGGCCAGAACGGCACATGAGGGAGTGGGTGGGCAGCACCACGCCCGGTCGCCTTTGTCTCCCGAGTGGCAAAGTTTTTTCCACATCGCACCAAGTACTCATTTGAGACTGACTCGACCTTGGGGATGCCCAAGACTGTTTCAAATAATTGTCACTGGTGATGGCCGTGAGCGGGAATCGAACTCGGATGGCTGGTTTCGTATCGCAGCACGCTAAACGCTACACCCCCCCACCCCTACACACGCACACAGTTAGCCTGGTGCCTCATTCAGTCATTAACACTACATAGTCTGGTCTGTCATTCAGTTACTTATAAATTGTTGTGTGTTGGTGTATATATGTATATATTATTGGTGTCTGTGCAAAACAACCCCCTACCTCCTCGTGGTGCCGGACGGGCAACGCTGTCGTGGGCAGTGCCATGGGGGGAGGGCCAATTCCGATTGGCCTTTCTCCTCAGGTCGTCTGTGACCACCACAGCGGCTAAATGGGGGCTCTGGATGGGTGCGAGGGGCTGGTAACCCCTCCACCTTCAATAAATTACCACTAAACCACGACTGAAATATCTAACTAATAAGCTTTTGCCGGAGGCTCCGGTGGGACAGGCATCTATGACGTCTCCTGGCCAAACCCCATTTGGCAGAGCCAGGAGATTGAATCTTTACCCTCGGGGCTCCTCCGGAAACAACCAAAAGCCACTACGGATGGCCACGTGGAATGTTTGAACGTTCACTGCGGAGGAGAGACTGCCACTCCTCTGTCAGGAGCTGGACCGGTACCGCCTGGATCTCTGTGGCATTCAGGAGGTCTGGTGGACCGGCTCTGGCTCCTGCCACCATGAGGGATGGATAGTCCTCGACTCGGGGCAGGAGACAGGGTGTGGCTCTTCTTCTGAACATAATAATGAAGGGGGCCTGGGAGTGTGGCGGCGAGGTGTGGGAAGCTGTAAGCCTGAGGCTACTTTGGGCTCGCCTTCCCATCAACCGGATGCGAGGAGTGGTGGTCGTGGTTACTTATGCCCCCACCGAAGACGAACATCCGTGGAGGGATGCAGGCAAGGCCGATGAGTCAGATGCCTTCTATGACCTCCTGTCACAGGTGCTGGCTAAAGTGGCCCCTTGGGATAGAGTCATCTTGTTGGGTGACTTCAATGCCCGAGTTGGTCATGATGCTGGCACCTGGTCTGGAGTGATTGGAAGGCATGGGCCAGATCAGCTCAATAACAACGGTAGGAGGCTGCTAGATTTTTGTGCAGCCCATGGGCTTGTACACTGTTCCTGCATCGGCGCATCCACACAACATGGATGCATGCCGGGTCCAAGCAAGAACATCTGCTGGACTACATAGTGACGGACCAGCGGATGCGAGCCCATGTCCTTGACACCAGGGCCTACCGTAGAGCTGATCTGCCCTCTGACCATCGACTAGACATCTGTAAGATGCGCCTGCCTTCCACTCCGGTGGTGGGTGTACACCCAGGACCCCATTCCAACCTAAGGTGACCTGGTCTCAGCTGATGAAAGTTGCAAGCGAGAATTTCATCATCGCTTGCGGCTCGGGTTGGCATCGTCCCCCACTCCTGATGTCGAGGGTAAATGGGCAAGGTTTGAGACTGACTCATGCAGCTGCAATGGCTGCTTTGGGTACGTGTTCCAGACCTCCCCAGAGACCCTGGCTGACAGAGGAGGTGTTCAGGATGGTTGAGAAAGAGCGACAGGCCCACTTTAATTGTCTACAGCATACCACGCAAGGATGGGTGGTGGTCGCGGGTTGCTGAGGAGATGGAGTCTGCCTCAGTGGCCCGCGATCACAAATCGCTCTTTAATTCCATCAAAAAGGTAACCTGCAGCGCCACACCTTTTACCATCATAAGGGGAAAGAACAGTGATCCAATCTCCGACCCTCAGGAACAGGTTTGCAGGTTTGCTGAGCATTTTTGTGAGGTCCTGGAGGAGGGGAAATCCCTCAGCCAGGAAAACAATGTGGGACAAAGTGGGGATGACCCTGCTGAGGCTGCGGTGCCTCAAATATTGGAGGAGGAAGTCACCCCCTGTGAGTGGCTGGCTGAGGTGCCATCTGTTGAGGAAGTACTGAAGGCGATCCAGAGTCTGAGACCAGGAAAGGCACCGTGCAGAGATGATCTCCCAAGCGAAATGCTGAGGGAGGGTGGCGTTTGTGCACACACTGCCCTACATGACATCATAACAACAGTCTGGACCACTGGACGGGTTCCGCAGGATTGGAAGGATGCCCTGGTGGTCCCCCTCTTTAAGAAGGGGGACCGCACAGACTGTAACCTCTACAGGGGCATCTCACTCCTAAGTGTGCCGGGAAAGGTCCTGGCAAGGATTATTCAACATCGCCTTGCTAGGCACGCTGAGGAGAGGCTTGCGGAGCCCCAATGCGGTTTCAGGAAAGGGCGGTCCTGCACAGATGCCATATTTTCTGTCTGTCTGCTACAGCAGAGGTGTAGGGAATTCCAACAAGACCTACATCTCTGCTTTATTGACCTGGTCAAGGCCTATGATACCATCAGTAGGCATGGGCTCTGGGTTGTTCTTCGTGCTTTCGGAGTCCCTGACCCTCTGCTCACGATCATCAAGGACCTTCATGATGGTGAGCGGGCCCGAGTAAAACTACGTGGCCGGGAGTCGGAGCCATTCCCTGTGCACCTTGGGGTGTGACAGGAATGTACTCTGGATCCCTTATTATTTAACATCTATTTCGACCACGTAGTTCGTGAAGCCTTCAATAGCTGTACCGGAGAAATTTCCATTTGGTACAGATATTATGGGAGGCTGATCGATGCCCGGGTGCGGTCAAGGGATGGCTCCCTATTGGTCAACCACGTTATGTATGCCGATGATTTGGCAATTGATGCTCATTCAGACGAGGAGTTGGAGACGCTGCTGAAACTGGAGCGTGCCACTAAGAGGTGGGGCCTTACCATCAGCCCCACCAAAAAAATTAAGCACCTGCCTGGGTATTTTGTACCATCGGACACTCCACCCCCACAACTCCCAATCGGTGATGGGGCAGTTGTGGAGAGAGTGGAGAGTTTCCCATACCTGGGCAGTGTGCTCATGACCGGCTCCGGTTTAACAGCAGAGGTCTCACTCTGAATCAGTCGAGTGGCAATATCTTTTCATCGGTTGCGTAACGCTGTGTGGAAGCTACCTGGTCTGTCGCTCCACACGAAGCTTCAGGTCTTCTCGGCCACGGTCATTCCCTCCCTTCTCTACGCTTGCGAAACGTGGACCCCTCTAATGGAACATCTTCGCCGGTTAGAAACATTTAGGCTGACCTGCCTACGATCCATCCTGGGTTTAACCAGGCTGGATTGTGTGAGGAGCTCACAAATCCTTAAAAGATCTGGGTAAAGTCCCATCGGTGAGCTCCTCCAGCAGGCAAGGCTTCATTGGCTGGGCCATGTAGCCCACATGCCCAGCCACCGCATGCCTAAACAGCTTTTGTTCGGCCGGATCGAGGGGGCTAAACGGGCGCGGCACGGGCTAGAGAAAAGATGGAGTGATGTGGTACAGGAGGACGTGGAGCTGAGTGGACTTGCTGATTACTGGTACCAGCGGTGTCAAGATCGGCCTTAGTGGAGGAGGCTCGTGAAGGATGCTACTGGGCAGTTAGAGGCAGTTGCCCTCCAACAACAATGGAGGGCAGAGGAGCGACGCTCACAACAACGAGCGGAGCGCCAGGTGGCTAAAGCACAGCAAGTTGGCACAGTAGGGGGCACAGGTGGTGCATCAGCCAGTCGTCTCAGTCAGTCCAGTCAGTGGACCCATGGCACCTGGGTCTGACCCGTAACCTCCTGCCAGCGGGCTTTCGACACTTCATGTGGCCTCAATGTGCACATAGCCTGGCACAAGCGTTGTGGTGACGTCACCGCCACTTAGTGGCGAATGGCGGTTGTTGTTGTGTTGGTTAGTGTTTCTATCATGTGTTGGTTGCGTATGCCTGTATGTGGATAGTGTGCAATGGTGTGGGGAGCAACCCGTGTAGTGACCCGAGTGCCATTGCCTCTCACGGCCAACACCAATGACAACTATCTGAACCAGTCCTAGGCTTCCCCTAGATCAGTGGTTCTTAACCTTGTTGGAGGTACCGAACCCCACCAGTTTCATATGCGCATTCACCGAACCCCTCTTTAGTGAAAAATAAAATGTGATTTTTTTCAAATTCAAGACATAGATATGTTTTTTACTGGTACACAAAATGAGCCGTGCATGAACATTACCTTGTTAAAAGAATAAAACCAACACAATGCATAAACTCACAACAAATTACATACCTGGAAATCAATGTGACTTCTGCTGTTGCCTTTGAGAGATCAGTTCAGATATGCGTGGCTTCACCTTGGCAAGTGCCACTCTCATGTCATTTTCACAGCAAAGTCTGTTCCTTTTCTTCGTTTTTATGTCCAGCATCCTCGAAAAGGATTGCTCACAAAGATATGTTGTAACAAATGGTATAAAAAAATCCAGGGCTTTCTTAGCAATAACTGGATACTTGTTCATTTGTCGACACCAAAACGTTGAGAGCGTTGTTGTTCTGAAGAGTTGCTGTTGAACCTGGCTCTGCTGAATTTCAATGATTTCGTCGAGGAATTCATCATTGACATCTGCTGTTTCAACAGCAAACGTGAACGGCTGTCTCACCCATGCTGGATATGACTCTCTTGTAGGGAAATATCCGTCGAGAGACTTTGCAAGCTCATCTAATTTCGTGGCAATTGTTTGCTTCAGTTCCGTGGATACAGAAATATCTCCGATTCCAGACACATCTTCGATCTTACTTGCACAGTCGTCCAGAAGCGGGAAGTTTGCGAAGTTATTGTTCTCTGTTCGTCGTTTCCATAACGGTAGCTTTTTTTTAAAAGCCTTCAGGTGTTCTTCCGCTTCCATGATATTGACTCCACCACCCTGCATCTGCTGATTGAGATGATTGAGAGCTGCGAATATATCAGCCATGTACGCTAAAATGAGAATGAACTCAGGATTTTTGAAGCAATCTGCATGGCAGTGTTGGTGCTCTTGCAAAAACAGGGCTAATTCCACACGCATGGCAAAAACACGATTCAGCACCTGTCCCCGGGATAACCACCGAATATTAGAATGGAGCAGAAGTACCTCAAATTCAGAGCCCATTTCTTTACACAGCTCACTGAAGATGCGGTGCCTCAGAGCACTTTTTCAGCACATAGTTCACACATTCCACCACAGTTTTTAATACTTCTGCCATTTTTGGAGGTAAGGTTTTTGTTGCCAACGCATGCCTGTGCAGAATACAATGCGTCACAATGATGTGTGGTGCATCGGCCTTTACTAGCGCACCAAAACCAGACTTTCTTCCCAGCATGACTGGAGCTCCGTCCGTACAAACTGCAGAAACCATATCCCATGAAAGATTGTTGTCTCTGAAGAAGTCATCCACAAGCTTCTTCACATCGGCTGCCTTCGTTGTTGTTGTAAGAGGCTTACAAAATAAAAACTCTTCTTTTATCATGTCGTCTTTCACATAGCGTACAAAAACAGCAAGCTGGCTTAGATCAGAAACGTCTGTGGTTTCGTCGAGTTGAAGGCTGAATTTTGCCGGGCTTGAAATCAGATCCGCGACTACTTGAGCCAAGATGTCTTTACTCATGTCTTCTATTCTGTCACTGACGGTGTCATTTGAAAGGGGAATTTGGGATAATTTACCTTCGGCCGCTGTTCCGAGTATCAGATTCGCCATCTTTAATGCAGCTGGTTTCACAAGTGTTTCACCAATGGTGTGTGGCTTGCCCTGCTTTGCGATCAGGTAAGCAACTTCGTACGATGCTGTCAGGATCGGTTTGTTAACAGGTACAAATCCAAGAGCAGGCAGAGTGGCCCTTTCATCGAATCTGGCTCTCTTCACCCTGAATTCAGCAAGTGTTGTGTTCTTGTATTCCCCGTCTCCATGCAGCTTCAAGAAGTGTTCCTTTAGTTTTGCCGGTGCAAGACTAGAGTTGCTCAACTTGGCGTTGCAAATCATGCAGATAGGACGCTCACTCCCATCACGTTCCGTGATACATGAGAATCCATGTTGTACATATTCGTCCGACCACTTTCTTCTTTTGCCCGACATAGTTAGTATGGATAAAATATTAAAGAAATCACACGACGTACGACAACAACAGTCACACGTTGACTACTGAGTACGCACTAAATTCCCCGCAGCGCTGATTGGCCAAGCAGTGTAGCATGATCATCTGCAGCCAGTGATGGCCAAGCGGGCCGTGTGTGTCATCACAAATTTACACAATAATTCAAGTGTGTCCGGACCTCCGTGGCGGGGGCTCTGCCGAACCCCTGAGATCGACTCACCGAACCCCTGGGGTTCGATCGAACCCAGGTTAAGAACCACTGCCCTAGATCGACTCAGTCTGTAATGAGTACCTCGTGTGGTGTGTAAACATCGCCTCTCAGGAGAGTGAAGGCGGCCGGGCGTGGCGCTGGCCATCCACCTCCTTGTGTACCATGCCGGCTTTTATTGGTGCTACTCGCTCACAGTACTTGTCCCAACAGTCTGTTCAAACTATATGGGGATCTTTATCTTTTGTGTGTGTTGATGTTATGTGCTTGCAAATGGTGACGGGAGTTCCGGTGTGCGTATATATTGGTGTAGTGTGTGTGAATGTGTGCGAAGGTCTGCAGCCGCGCATGGTGCTGGCCACCCACCCCTTCGTATGCCGTGCCAGCCTTCACAAGTTCTGCTCACTAACAGCACTTGTCCCAACAGTCTTAAGGCTATATGGGGGATTCTTTGTCTTTATATGTATGTCGAACATCTTTAGCACCGTACGTAGCCAAGCGTGCTAATCGGAGGTACTATGATGTTAATGATGAAGAAGGCGCTGAAGGCAACGATGGCGACGACGACAAGGATGTTGATAAAACAACATTGTCGGTGACGATCACAGAGACGATGAGAGTAGGGACAACGTCGCAGACGATGAATAAGCTACACGACCGTTTCGGCACCGGAACCTGTGTTTTGATGGTCTGCGTTTGCCTCGTGCTACTCGCGCGTAGGCCGGGCGCATGGACGCGCAGCTGCCCAAGCACATCCCCCTGTCCGTGCTGTCAGGGGACAAGGGCTTCATGGAGCTCAAGGAGCAGTTTGCTCGCACGGGACGCCCGTCACACATCCTCGACCCCCACAACACGGACGCCAAGCTGCTCTGCGCCCTCATCAACAGCATCTCAGATTCTGACAATGGTACCTTGTGTGTGCGGCGTCTTTGCGTGCGGTTGCGTGGGTATGCGTGTGTGTGTCTGTCTGTGGGGAGCGGTGGCGCAGCAGTTTGTGTGATGCGCTACGAAACCGGCGCCCCCCAGTTCGATTCCCGCTCACGGTCATTGTAAGTGATGATTTTTTGAAGTGGTCGTGGGCCTCCCCTAGATCGACTCAGCCTCAGGTGTTATGTGTAACCATTGGCACTGGGTAGACAAAGGCGGTCAGGCGTGGTGCCTGCCTTAATAGGTGCTCGCTAACAGCACTTGCCCTAACAGTCTGTAAATGCCTATATGGGGGATCTTTGTCTGTAACGGGATGTATGCAGGTTTGCGTGTGTAGGCATGTGCATGTGTGTCTGTATGTCGGTGCGTGTTGTGTGCCAGTAACCTTACGTACAAACCGTCCTTTTCTGTAAACTGAAAGGCCTGCTCAAAAGAGGAAGTGTAACAACCTTCTAAGGGCTTATGACACAAACTCGGACCATTTGCAGCTTATGAAGACGTCTCTTCATAAGTCCAGGCTAAAGACCCTGGTCCTCTCCTCTGCCAAGGACTGTCTTCACGATGTAGTGTTTTAATGCACACTTTTTTTCCAAACCATCGTCTCCTTTCCCTGCCCTGTAGTTCCCTCAATGGTTAATTAAACCTCTTCGAGGTCCCCTTTGATGTGCGAGTGCCCCCGCTTTTGTACAGTATGTTGAGATGTTAATTATCTGAACACCCGAACATTTCAAAGGGTTCTCACAATTCACTGTTATTGGCCACAAATAAATTGGAGCCACTAAAGCTATGCTGCCTTGTGGTACCGATAAGTAAAATATCTGATCTGGGCTCGTGGACTAAAGGGCAATGTGTTGTGTGTCCACGTGTTTGACTGCTGTGTGTATGCGACTGCCGTTTGTACGCGTTGTCGTGTGTGTACGCATGCCGTGTGAGTGCAGTCCACGCCGAGGAGGAAGCCGAGCTGAAGGAGGCGTTGGCGCGCAGTCTGAAAGACATGGGGTCCACGCAGTCCCCTCTTGCATCCTAACCCCTCTACGTGACCTGTCCCCCAGTTCACCTCAATTTTTTTACGAGCATTGATTTTGATCAACAGACAGTGCTCTGCTTTGAGCTATGACTATTGTATCATCCACATGGAAAGTGACAAATGTTGATTCTGATATTGCCGGTGTGCTACATTTAGGCAAACCAAACGAATAACGACTGAAAAAAAACAGCAAATTTTGACTGGTGTAACTGGCCATGACATGGCAACTCAAAAAAATGTCATTAAATTAACTAGAGAAAACAAATTTCATGAAAGGGTGGATGTTTATCATTTACTGGATCTTGGTCGGCCATTTATTTCTGTCACTTAGTTAACTCACAGTTGGTGTGTTTTGATCAGAAGGTGAAAAAGAGGCATTGGCCCATTTTAAATGCTCAAGTTATTTGTGAGCAGTTTGCCCAAAAAAAATGTTTGCTTTAAAATGTAAAGAAATACGTTTTGCAAGAAAAAATTTTTGATTTCCCAGAGCGTATTCTCAACTTTGTATATATGATTCAAGTTACTCGGGTATGTGAGCCATCACTTATTAACCTTTACACAATGGGTCCATCTCTCTTACAGCTACACAAGTTCTCAGACATCATTGTCTCAACAGAGCCGACTCCAATTTCAACCTTTTTTCTCCAAGTTTAATGTGCTTTATTTGACCTGTGCTCTCCAATATAACACCTGTCAAAACTATTAAGGCTCTGTAAAAATAATAATTGACAATTAAAAGTGAAGGGTGAATTTATGGTGGGGCTTTCGTAATCGATGCTATCATAGACGGTGCAGCCTAAGTGCAATGCATTCCGGTGCTGCTGCTGCTCCACTGTAAGCTTAAGCATACTTTGGGTTTACAGCAAGTCCTTGTTCAGCGCCGTAAGTGCATTCCTTAAAAGTTCCGCGTTAAGCGAAAAACGCGTTAAGCGAAAACAATTTCCCCCAAACTATAACGGGAACAATAAGGTTTGGTGAGATGACGTATGCACACAGTGGGACAATTCACTGAGGGTGCGCCGCCACGTTACTATCATTCCGCGTAGCGTATCGTACCGCTCGGACCGCGCAGCTCAAGAAAGTAGTTCGTCGTCAACCGCTCAGAAACCGCATTACAACGGTGAGCCACGTTATAACGGTTTGCGCAGTCTGCGTTGTGTGAAAAAATCCCAATGGAGGAAACCGCGTTCAAGTGAAAACACGTGACGTGAACACGCGTTAAGCGAGGACTCGCCATAATTGTATTACAACCATACAACAAAAATCGCTTCGGATCAGGTAAGCGTGTATGGCATCGGATTGATAGGGTAAGGATGTTGCCATGATGTAATGGTCACCGGGTTGATCTCCCAGCCGTGGCACTTGAAACCGGTCAAGTTGCGCACCTCCAATTGATCGGCAGTGTGTGTGTGGTGGGGTTACACTTCCAAGACCTATGGTCAGGGTGGAAGAGTAGGCCAAATACCCTCTAGAGGGACTCGAGAGAGCTCTCCCCCCCCCTACTGGAGGCCCTTTTGCCAGCAGTGGCCTGACAAAGCAATTGCAGTGCTGCTGCATCTTTATGGCCTCGGGTTGAGTATTTTATAGATATATTCCCTATGGAACTTGGTTACATGCAACAAAAGTGATTGTCTATGCCTTAATCCACAGCTCCAGATTAAAGGGTGATAATGGCGTAACATTTGTAAGTGACCATCGGTTGTGATAATAAAACTTTTGAGCGTTATTTTGTCCCATTGGTTCTGACCGTATCACTCAGGTGGGGTTAAAATGCACAGTCATCATCCCACAAGGGATATCTGGGAATCCAGTCGCCAAAGCAATGTTGATAATGGGCTGTTTTACAGGGCGTTCGGTGGGTCCCTACCATATGATTGTGGAATTTTCACCACTGCCCTTTTTCCTTTGGAGGGAAATTCTTGTGTCCAACCCTGAAAACTATCTTCTTTAGAACCGCTTCTATGTTTACTTTGTAGTCCCCCTCCCCGTACCTCCGATTATTAGCACGGTTGGGTACATACGGTGCAAAAGAAGTTCTATATCGTCTAACAGCGTTAAATCTGTGCAACATCGCAACCCAGACTAAAACGCTCGTTTTCACAATGTTTAATTGGTATACCTCGTGGGGTTTTTTTCCCCTCAAAATCACAGTACAGAAAACAACGTAACTGTTGGCGTGGTCCCTCTTCATGTGTCACATGTACAGCGTCGACGATTAAATCCCTGACTGCACGCGTACACGCACAGAACACTACTATTCCAACTCGGGGGCGAATGGCAAGCGTACAGCTGTTTTCAAACGCAAGCCTCAATCGTCTGAATAAGCCAGATTGTTAACGCAAGTTTTTTTTGTAATATATTTGTGTGTATCGACTGTTTAGGGCAAATGTTGCTGACGCGTTCGCAAGGCCGGCACACGAGCATGGTCTATTTCACCTTCGTCAACAACACAGCACCAAGTACTTTCGGCTGAATTGGCTCAGGGGAAGGTACCCCCCCCTGCCCCCATTCCAGATTTCCAAGCAAATTATAACTGCGTCGTCGAGACTGCAAGGGAACCCCCATGCGGCACAAAGAGCGCACACACTGACATTTAAATAGTCTGTGCTGCTTTAACCTGCCTCCGTTACTTTGCCAAGGAAACACAAGTCGGTTACGTTATTTAACTCAAAATTGTAATAATGTGATTTAACGTTTTATAACAGGAAACCATGTGTCGGCGAGCTTACGTAAGATGCGACACAGTTGTGCTTATGCCTTTGAAATGTATTTTGCAGATACGGAATTATAAACAAAAATATTTCCGTAACCGCTTAATTCAATTCAATGTAGACGTATTACAAACTCTAATTGAAGAGCGATGGAGGTGACGTGGCCTTGTGGGAGCGCGCTCACCTCTTACGGAGGTTCATGGTTCAAATCCCAACGCGGCCGCCCTGGTTATTACTGTAGGTATAATAACCCCAATACGACACACGCCAGTGGACGTTAAAGATTCTGTGAAGTCATTCGCAAGAGTAGGCCGTTGTATGCCGACAGCATGGTCCACATGTACAAGATTTGAATATTACACCGTAAATTACTTGCGATTACACGGCATTCATTGCTCGTGAGTGGCAGGCTCTAGGTCACTCTTGTCCAGGGGCTCCTCTACTTACGAACATTCGACTTAGGAATTTTCAGAGATACGAAGAAACATGTCCACATGTCCAGTTGCCTCTTCGGACTGATAGTCATAAGTTTAACAGTGCAATAGATGGCGATGGTGGCATCCACGTCTGCAGAACATGAAGATCCAGTGGCATCTACAGAGATTATACAACTTTTTAAGCCATTCCCCGCGTTTAGTGTACATGCCTTACAACATGTTTGGAATCAACAGTAGTAAAGTTGGACTTGTGAACAAAACGAACAGAAATTTTGATTTAAAGCTTTCGTGACCCGCAGTAATTCATATTCTTAGCTCTTTCGGTAAAGCACGTTGAAGGGAAACAATAAAATAATAATATATATAAAACAATGAAAATTCTCACGACGTTTTGACCATAACACAAACGGTCATCATCAGGTGTGAAAACCAACGGCAAGAAACATTTGAAAGAAGTGGCGGTTTGTATTTATTTATAAACGGTGTTTGTATTTATTAAAAAAAAAAACGTTAGTGCCACGGGCAGCGATTTGGCAGTTTAGAAGGACGAATCCATCTATGTTCTGAAAAGAGGAGGGGGGACACGAAAAATTAACAACAAAATTAAATAATTACTCGACGATTTGTAGCTATACAAAAATAAAAAGATCCCACCAACAGCCTCGTCACACAAACCAACAAAATAATTTGATTCAACCGCATTAATTGATCAATCTAAACAGTTTTCGTTGAAACCTGCTGCCAGGCCACCAAGATTATACGGCTTACCAAAAATACATAAAGTAGATACACCCCTTCGTCCCATCGTCTCTACTATCAACTCCCCCACCTACAAACTGGCTCGTTTTTTGTCTGAAATCCTGCATCCTTTCACTGGAAAAACGACCTCTGCGGTACAAAATTCTACTCACCTGGTATTGACAATCAAGGGTATTTCCCTGTCCCCAGACAACCTGCTTGTCAGTTTTGATGTAGTTTCCTTATTCACCAAAGTTCCTGTACCTGACACCATCGCAATCATTGAAGACTTGGTTCATCAAGGACTAAACACTGAGGTACCCCCCCTGGTGAGACACTGCTTAACCAATACATACTTCACTTGGAATGGAACTTTCTACAAACAAACTGAGGGCACCCCAATGGGCTCCCCCCTATCTCCAGTTATAGCTAACATTTTCATGGGGAAATTTGAGACTGGCGCCATCCAGACTGCCACTCTTTGCCCAACCTTATGGAAGAGGTACGTGGATGACACTTTTGTCATCTGGCCACATGGCCGGCCTGCTCTAGACCAATTCTTCGACCACATCAATTCCATACACCCAGCCATCAGATTTACCATGGAAGTCGAAAAAGATGGCAAGCTACCTTTTTTGGATGTCCTAATAAAAAAGAGACCTGATGGTTCAATGAGCCACTCTGTCTACAGGAAAACTACCCATACGGATGCTTATCTGAAACAGGATTCCCACCACCATCCATCACAGAAGAATTCTCTCATCAAGACTCTGTACCATAGCGCCCAATGCATATCCGACCAGGAACACATAGGCAGTGAACTCAAGCACGTACACCAAGCTCTTAAGGCTAATGGTTACTCCGACTATACAATCCGCAAAGTTATCACTCAAACCATGAAGAAGGACCCTCTTGAGCATTTCAAAACCATCACTTTACCCTACATTGTGGGGATCACAAAAAAGATCTCCAAAATCTTGAATAAACACAAGATCCAGGTCCGTTTCAACACATTACATAAAATCCGTGATCTGGTTCCGTCTGTAAAAGATTTGATTCCGGACATACAGTACCCTGGTGTCTACAAACTAAGTTGCCTCTGTGGTAGTAGTTACATTGGAGAAACCAAACGCCATGTCTCGGACCGCATTCGTGGACACAGCAGACCTTAAACACGGTAGGACCAACACCTCGGCCGTGGCAGATCATTGTTATAATTCAGTAGGCTCACATGACATTGACTTCTCCAAGACAGAGGTTCTTTGTAAGCCATCTGGCTACCATGAGAGATTCGTTCATGAGGCTATCCACATATACAAGCACAGAGACAATTTCAACCGAGAAGATGGATTCTGGCTTAGCAATCATTGGAAGGATTTGATAAACCATTTCAGGTCTTAATTGATTGTTCACGCTTACGGTGGCTTTCAGACAGCATTAATTTTTCGTCTCCCCCCTCCTCTTTTCAGAACATAGATGGACTCGTCCTTCTAAACAAACTGCCAAATCGCTGCCCATGGCGCTAACGGGTTTTTAAAATAAATACGAACATCGTTTGTAAATAAATAAATGCAAACCGCCACTTCTTTCAAATGTTTCTTGCCGTTGATTTTCACACCTGATGATGACCGTTTGTGTTATGGTCGAAACGTGAGAATTTTCATTGTTTTATATATATTTTATTATTTTATTGTTTCCCTTCAACGTGACTTTACTGAAATAGCTAAGAATATGAATAAAAACGAACAGACTTCTGGAACCTAACGTGTTCGTAAATAGAGGAGCTCCTGTAAATGACACTATCCTGGCCCATTCAGTTCTCACCTGGATTAAACAAGCAATTTCACGTTTGGCGGTGCACGTGGATGTTGGATGTCAAATTAACTTGGGCCGATCAAGCCACTTTCATACCTGGTCTCAGCATTGATTAATTTCCTATACATATGTTATGAATAAGATCAACATGAATATGCAGTGGATCCCGACTTGATATTCTTAAAGGCAATATAACCTCGGGCATTGCTCATTCAGATACATTTCTGACCAGAAACAGTTATTACAGCACTGCCCTTAAAATCAGGTCATCTTGTAATATATTCGTGTGCATCATGAAAAAAAAGCATCCCAACCCATTGGCAATGTCCCCTCAATTTCCGATAAGTGACAAAGCTGATCGTTAAAATGTCTTGGCAGTGCCACATGTTCTGTACAGCGGTGATAGTGTGCCAAACCTAATTTGACAATATAGGCTTCAGTACCCTACTTAAAATATTTCCAATACATTTAGACATTTCCTAAGCAATTCTGCTTCAGTAATTTCTCAAGTTGAAGAAACTGTCCTGGAACCTGCTACGGTCAGCAGAACTGGAGCTACTTCACGATAGACCAGTCTCATCCAACACTCGATGGTGTTCTCAATATGCCCTCTAAAGAGTGACTCCCTCATGTTAAGTCAACCGATATATTCATAAAACTGAGTCCGTAAAGCTATGTTATGATACGTTAAGCAAAAAAAAACTACATTCGTATGGCAATTGTGCTACCCGTTTGGTGACCAGGCCAAGACCATAGACTCGCGACACTTACGCAGTTAGTTTAAGTTCCTTGTGACTAAAAAACAGATTTAGACTCAAGGCCAGTGGCCTCTGCGTTGCTGGCTCAGTGTCCTTGACACAGCCATCGAGCCACCCGGACACATTTCACAAACTTGGCAAAACACGCGTAGCCCCGTTGGCCAATTACGGTTCGAATTATTTCACACCGAGCCCCAGCGAGTAATGAGCTCGACTGGTGTGTGTTTTTTTTTTTCCTTCGCGTGAGACGTCACGTTACAAACGTTCGAGAAGCGAGGCGCGTCCCGGCGCGACGCGTTTCAATGTTGCCGCCGTGCCTCGCCGCACGATGGTTGCCGATCCACGTGCACGCCGATCCACGTGCACGCCGCTGCAGCAATCCGATCACGCGTCAATACTTTATTCAAATATAACGACGCTGCTCGGCTCGGGCACTGTCCACAGACGCAATCATAAAACCCGTGTTTTGCAGGCGCAACACGACACCCTATTGCACAGTGCGATTTCCTAGGATTACAAACTTTGCTGCGCGTCATTTGACCATCGAACCCTCATCTATACACGTGCATACTGAGGTGTCTCTTCATCAATCGGACACGAGGCCGTTGTACAGTGAGGGAAAAAAGTATTTGATCCCCTGCTGATTTTGTACGTTTTCCACTGACAAAGAAATGATCAGTCTATAATTTTAATGGTAGGTTTATTTGAAAAGTGAGAGACAGAATAACAAGAAAATCCAGAAAAACGCATGTCAAAAATGTTATAAATTCATTTGTATTTTAATGAGGGAAATAAGTATTTGACCCCGTGTCAATCAGAGAGATTTCTGGCTCCCAGGTGTATTTTATACAGGTAACGAGCTGAGAAGTCCACAGACGCAATCAATCAGATTCCAAACTCTCCACCATGGCCAAGACCAAAGAGCTCTCCAAGGATGTCAGGGACAAGATTGTAGACCTACACAAGGCTGGAATGGGCTACAAGACCATTGCCAAGCAGCTTGGTGAGAAGGTGACAACAGTTGGTGCGATTATTCGCAAATGGAAGAAACACAAGAACTGTCAATCTCCCTCGGCCTGGGGCTCCATGCAAGATCTCACCTCGTGGAGTTGCAATGATCATGAGAATGGTGAGGAATCAGCCCAGAACTACACGGGAGGATCTTGTCAATGATCTCAAGGCAGCTGGGACGATAGTCACCAAGAAAACAATTGGTAACACTACGCCGTGAAGGAATAAAATCCTGCAGCGCCCGCAAGGTCCCCCTGCTCAAGAAAGCACATATACATGCCCGTCTAAAGTTTGCCAATGAACATCTGAATGATTCAGAGGACAACTGGGTGAAAGTGTTGTGGTCAGATGAGACCAAAATGGAGCTCTTTGGCATCAACTCAACTCGCCGTGTTTGGAGGAGGTGGAATGCTGCCTGTGACCCCAAGAACACCATCCCCACCATCAAACATGGAGGTGGAAACATGATGCTTTGGGGGTGTTTTTCTGCTAAGGAGATGGGACAACTTCACCGCATCAAAGGGACGATGGACGGGGCCATGTACCGTCAAATCTTGGGTGAGAACCTCCTTCCCTCAGCCAGGGCATTGAAAATGGGTCGTGGATGGGTATTCCAGCATGACAATGACCCAAAACACACGGCCAAGGCAACAAAAGAGTGGCTCAAGAAGAAGCACATTAAGGTCCTGGAGTGGCCTAGCCAGTCTCCAGACCTTAATCCCATATAAAATCTGGAGGGAGCTGAAGGTTCGAGTTGCCAAACGTCAGCCTCGAAACCTTAATGACTTGGAGAAGATCTGCAAAGAGGAGTGGGACAAAATCCCTCCTGAGATGTGTGCAAACCTGGTGGCCAACTACAAGAAACGTCTGACCTCTGTGATTGCCAACAAGGGTTTTGCCACCAAGTACTAAGTCATGTTTTGTAGAAGGGTCAAATACTTATTTCCCTCATTAAAATGCAAATCAATTTATAACATTTTTGACATGCGTTTTTCTGAAATTTTTTGTTGTTATTCTGTCTCTCACTGTTCAAATAAACCTACCATAAAAATTATAGACTGATCATTTCTTCGTCAGTGGGCAAACATACAAAATCCGCAGGGGATCTAATACTTTTTTTCCCTCACTGTACGTACGCAGCGCTCTGGCAGAAGAAGCAGTCTGAGGTGGGAACAGTGGTAACAGAACCACACGGAGGTTCCAATGTTGTTCATGAATGCTGTCATAAAAAATCCACTCGGAATTGGCCACGTATCCGAAGCAAGGACCCTCCCGAAGTAGTCTTGAGACTCTGTGGATTAATTATTCGTTGAACAAATATATAACATTCTTGTTTATGGGGGTACATTTAACTGCGTTACCTCTTTCCAAGGGAGGCTTGCGTGCTAGTTCTATCGCCACAGGTATTAGCTGTGTCGACCATTCGCCTCCCCCGTCAGATCTCATAAGATAAGCAGGATTGAGCCTGGTTAGCAGGTGGACGGGAAGCATCAGGGCTTGGCAGTCACTGTAGGCATGGGGTTGTGGGGTGGCCAGGAGGTGTCAGTGCCGAGTGTCGCCCCTTCAGAGAGCGAGGGTGTTCTCCGGGAACTCAAGCTTCCTGCCACAAGCCGTTCGTCAAATTGGCCGATCGAACCCAATGGCCAGGACCCTACTTTAAAACAAAAAGTATTGAGACTTGGTGTTGCACCCCTCGGTGATTGGCAATATTATTAATGAGACCCGTCAGCATTTGTTTAACTGGCCACATTGTTCTGGTGCAACTCCCAATGTTGAATCCAGGCTAAGATTCGCCACCTAAGGAAATGCTGCTGGGAAACTGTTTGGAAGGCTCGCTCACCGATGGACCCAAATGCAATTAGATGTTTTTTTGGCCTGTGAAACAGACGCTTGGACCCATGATTGTTCAATACACGTTAACAATTTAGTGTGGAGGTGTTGAGATTTTGGCAAAGGCAGCAGTGTCCAATGGCCTACTCTTCCAAACAATGGAACACGTTCGAGAGCGTCATCCTTGGCACGCTTGGGTCATTCTCAGAAAACGCGGCGATCGGCCACAAAGATTTTAATTGGCTGGGTGATGCTGCGGATAAAACGCTTGACCCACAATCGAAAGGTTACGAGGTTCAAATCCCCCGCCGTGGAATTGACTCGGCCCATCATCCCTCGAATGGTGGTCAAAATGAATACCCCTTTGTTGGAAGTCACCTGCGGTCCTACGGAGAGACTGGTGTCTCCAACTGGAATGTGGAGCTTCCGTGTGTCTCAGGACCACCGATGGAGATCAACAGGGAGACACCGACTGAACTTTAAAGATTGGAAACTGTACATTCCAGATCGACTCTAGTTAGAGTACTCATCGCTAGGCCACCCTGCATTCCACAATAACAGCACTCGACATCGGAACAGTTACAAAACATGAAAGTTCACCACTAGATGTCACTGTTCATTATTTCCCTACCCGTAACGTTCAAAGCAGCTCATTCCCAATACGCCAGGCTGCGACTGTCACTAGCCACTGTTAATAATCAGCAACAAGCGGAATGAGGGAACAATGACGCAGCAGTTATCGCACTGCACTGTAAACCCGAAAAACCGAGTTCGATTTCCGTTGACAGCTGACATCAGTACAGAGTGCTTTCTGAACCAGTGTTGGCAAACCCGCACTGACTGGCGTGAAGTATGGCCAAACATTCCCCATGACGGGGACCGCGTGGGGAGGCCTTCAACCAGCAGCGGATTAACGAAGGACTGCGGATTTACAAGTGTGGCACGTTCTAGGTATGCGTTCGAGAAATGAAGCATTCTGAACATTTTATTACCGTTGGGGTCAAATGTTAGTATACAGTAGAAATGAGCATCAACTGACTCCCTTAACCCAAATAATACATTTTTTAAAACGTGGGTGCTGTTGAAACTTTAAGATAAAACAAACTCGTTATCCCCATCCTTTAACAAGGCGCAAGTCTATTGATAATCGTCATCTCCTCCAATCGAGATCTAGCAGGCCATTTGTACCAAGGAGCAGTCCAACATTTAGGGGTGTTTTTTTGCAAGAGCCCTATTCACGTAAGGATTTTGGCTGCAAGTGGCACACAATGACCATTTTTTTTTTTTGCAAAACGATGGCATCACAAGAGTCTTAACGGCCGTCCCTGCTTTGGGACCTCCCCGCGAAAATCACCGGGCAGACGGAGCAAAAATTAAAACCTTCCACTCGTCGATATCGGACGATGTGCAAAGCGGCTTTAGTGGAGACACCTCCGGTGATGCAGGCGACGCCTTCCCACAAACCGCAGGCAGTGGGCAGCTTTTATTTTGTCGTCTCCTGGATTCCACCGCCTCACGGTGAACTCACGAGAGGCCGGGGGATCCACAGCCACCGCACGTTCTTTCCCTCGGCATTAATCGGTGTCGCCGCGGCCGGAGAGAGAGATCCGAGCCTCGGGCTACATCGACGTTCTGTTTGCCGGTGCCTGCTGCGTTGCGCACACACGGCGCGGCGCACACACAGAGAGCGATGCATGCACGGTCGCGTCCATAGGTGGGGCGGGAGCTCCAGGGCGAGGAGCACGGGTTGGGAGGGGGGGCAAGGCAACGTTTTCCGACTCGACAACGAACATTAAAACCAAACCCTGTTTTGCTCAACGCAGGATCTAGGAGCTGCTCCGGCACGAGCCCCGCTCTGGAAACGCCGGGGTCACCGACGTCACCCCTTAGCATTTTCTAAACGGTGAGGGTCGAGCGCGTGTGCTTGACTTTCTGTCACGTCTCCCGAGGACTCCTTCTCTACAGCGCCACCTGCCGCTGCGAGAACGACGGCGTTAACGGGCGGCGCTGTGTGCCGCCTCCGCGCCTCCTCCCCGGGCGTGCCGGGCGCCATCGCTACAAGAGGCCGCAGCTGTTGAAGGGCACGCGGCTCTTCTTGGCGCGCTGCTTGTTGGGCCTCAGGCTCACGATGTCGCTTCCGTTGGCCGCGGGCAGCGTGGGGCTGCTGTCGCTCGCGGTGTTGAACACGGCTGTGGGGATAGAAACGACGGTCACTCGCCCCCGTCCGTCCAGCTCACGATCGCTCTCGTGTCAGAGAGACCAACAGCAGCGGTTGTTCTACGGGGGAGACGGGACCCTGCAATAGGAAAGTGGAATTGACCCCCCCACTGGATTAGAGCCACGAATAGGGCAATCGCAGGGTGTAGCGGTGGCGAGATGTTAATCTCCTCGCCTGGTATACACGAGGTCGTGGCTTCGATCTTGACCCTGACGCCTGTATATTTGGAGTTTGCATGCTCTCTATCTCTCACCGTGGTTGTGTGTTTTTTCACTCCACATTTAGAAACATTCATTTCGAGAATTTGGCTGCTATAAATTTCGACATGATAAGCCATTTCGTTGAGCTATCATTTGGGGCCCGTAGCTTCTGAAAAAGAGCTCAGTGGACATTACCTGGTAAAATAAAAAAAAGTCTAACTCTTGATTTAAAGCTTTCGTGACTGCAGTAATTCATATTCTTAGCTCTTTCGGTAAAGTCGCGTTGAAGGGAAACAATAAAATAATAAAAATATATAAAACAATAAAAATTCTCACGACGTTTCTACCATAACACAAACGGTCATCATCAGGTGTTTCTTGCCGTTGGTTTTTCACACCTGATGATGACCGTTTGTGTTATGGTCGAAACGTCGTGAGAATTTGTATTGTTTTATATATATTATTATTTTATTGTTTCCCTTCAACGTGACTTTACCGAAAGAGCTTAGAATAAGTCTAACTCTATTAGATCTGGACAAGAGAATAATTGTTGGTGGGAGGCATCTGTATGACGCAGCAGAACAGGTCCACATGTGACGATTACTCAAGGAAGGATCGAGATGAAAATGATGAAATGAGAGTGGAATGAAGTGCTTTTGGAAACGTGGAATTCATGATGGAAAGCAACATACCAAGGCAGTGGGAGAAGGTTTTCAATCAGTGAGACATGGATCAGAAACATGGACACTGAAACAGAAAATATGCCAAAAGTTGAAAAGTGTGCAAAGCACAGAAAGGTGGAACAAACGCAGTTCAAGACGTCACACCGGTTAGTAAGTGAGGGAGCACATCGTTAGGTGGGACGAGGGCCGGTGTACAAGATTGGTGAGGAGCAAATGGGACGACCATCGCACACACGGTGCGCCGAGACCGCAATGAGCGCCGAGACAAGCGTCGGAGTGAGACGGATTACGGCTTGGCAAGACCACGAGGGGTGGCGACGATGTGGTGAGGCAGTTGATTGCCTAAATTCAAGCCCAGGATTTCAGTGGTGCCCGCTGAGCGCTATCCAACACAGTTCGCCGAGCCACTGACTAAGTGGCATATGAGTGCCATGGCAGCGGCTCGCCGCAGCGTTTGAGCAAATGGAAAATCTGGACTGAAGATTACTCACCAATTTTGCTGTTGGAGATTTGCTTCCGTGGCTCCTCTGTGGCACCCTGCTGCAGGCTCTGCAGATACTTCCTTGCCAGGTACTTAAACACTGTCTCGCACAAAAAAGCAACAATTTAAAAGATCCAACTATTAGCCGCATAGATTGTTGGGGAAAGTGCCGGCAGGGCACATGAGGTGGGTGGTGTGGGCAGGGCCATGCCTGACCACCTTTGTCTCCTCAGCCCTGATGTCTAAATACCGCACCAGTCACTCAATGTAGAGTTTATTAACCCTTTCTCGTTCCGATACGTCTGCAAGTTGCAGGGTGGGAGTGTCCCGCTCGCCGCTGAATCTCGGAACGTGCAAGTAGCTCGGCGTTCATTTTATTTAAAGAGGAGTTGCGCCGTTGCTTTTGTTTATACATTTTACTGTACTCACCGCAGACCACCGTAGTGATACGACCACTCTATGATAGCTGGCGCCAAACTGCCACACGCCCTCCTGCATGGCCTTGTGGGAGGATCGCTACCGATAAAGTTATTTTATTTTTCCTTCTGGTTTCGATAGGGAAAGGGTTAAATGAGGAACGTGGATAGGAATTGAACTCTACCAGCCTATACGACCGTGCGCACGTCTCACGACAGCGCGAATGATCAACCCAAATCTAAACTCCATCGGTGTTTTATGCAACCAATGGGAGCCCGATTGAGATGACCTCATTTGAAATGTGGACGTGTCGCCGTGTGCTGTCCTCCATTACGAGACGAAGGCTTCCCCACGCCATTATCAGTCATGGGAGTTGTTTGACCATACTTCACCAAGCTGGCCAGTGTGGGTTGGTGAAGAGATGACCCAGGACCAGGTTCAGATATCACTCGCCACTGATGTTGGTCGTGGCCAGTAATCAAACTCAGGGCGTCGGGTTCACAGCAAAGTGCGCGAACCACTGCTCCCCCCCAACACCGCTCCTCGCAGGCACAGGCATTGTCTAAAATTGACGATGAAAATAGTAAAACCAGAATGGAACAAGCTGCATTGCTCTGTGCACCGATCCCTATGGCACAGATATCAATGCGGGGGAAAACCTCACGGATAAACCTCCAAGTGTACGTGCCCTGTGCACAGAGCTCACCGTCGTTGATGTTGAGGTCCTCCTTGACGGACGCCCGGTAAAACCGCACCTTCATCTGCTTGGCCAAAGCCTCCGCCTCCTCACTATGAAGGCGCACGCGGCACGCAGCGTTAGCCAAGGCCGCGGAACACCGGGGCTACGACTACGCCCGGAGGTTAGTTTCCTCCTGCGCTCTGCAGCGTGGCAGGCTTCACAATGGCGTCCAGCATGGAGTGTGCAAGATGGTGGCGGTGACAATTATGGTAACTTTGCGACGATGATGACATTGATGAAGACCAACGGCGACGAGGATGAAGACGAGGATGACAAGAACGCTGATAACAACACTGTCGCTAACGATCGCGGTCACAATGAGAGGAGGGATGTCAGAGATGACGGCGACGATGAGCCGACGACGGTTTCGGCGCTGACACCTGTTGACGACGGCGCTGTCGAGGAGGTCGATCTTGTTCTGCACGAGCACGATGGGCACGGCGCCCACCTCACGCTCCACCTTGAGCCTCCAGGAGAGCGCCGCCTCGAAGGAGGCGCGGTCCACCGTGGAGAAGACGAGCACGCACGCCTGCGCACCTACGCACGCACACAGACATGCAGGGACACAGACACGTGCAGTCACGCACGCAGGCAAGCATGCACGCAGTCACGCACGCACACAGTCACGCACGCAGGCAGACACGTATACACGTAGAGGACAGCCATGCAGACGAAGAGAGAAAAGCAGGCAGGCAAATGGGCACACAGGCAGGTAGGCAGCACAGAAAAGAAGAGAAAGAGATCAATACACCGCTTGCTCCATAGTTTAAAGACACTGGAATGCATCTCTGAATACGAGGCTCAAAGGACGAAACTAGAGTGCACGACGCAAAAGTGAAAATGTCTCTTGACACTGGGGTAGTGCTGGCCTCCCCTTGCGGCCAGGAGTCGGCAGCAGACATCCCACCTTGCGCTGTGGCAGAAAGCCAAGAGGCAGCACATTCCAGCGATCTCTCGTCAACATTTGGTCACGCGTTGTTGGAGTACGGGAGGCAGTGGAGCAGCTGCTCCCCACAAACAGCCACCTGCTGTGCCCCACAATATCCTTCCCCTCGGCTGCTCAACCAGGGCCCCAAGGGCCCCCGTGTGTAGGGACAAGCTGCCATCAGGGCAGGGGTCGGCAGACCAAAATGGCTCAAGAAGAGCCATTTTTTTTCCTTACGAATTCGACACAACTCAATATTTCAAGAGCCTAAATGCACGTGAATATGTATGTACATTACATTACATCACAAAGCAGGCCGTAAAGAGCCGCATACGGCTCCAGAGCCCCCCTCCACCCCCTAATGCAGAGGGGGTCCTCTGCATTAGGGGGGAAGGGGTCCCCTAGGATAAAAAAGACTGTGCTCTGAGATGTTCTGTTGTTATGGGCAGCCAATGAATGCAAGTCATTATTATTATTATTATCATATGCCCTTTTCTCTTGAAGGTGAAAGTCGACTGGGTAACGAGGCATTCATCGGGACTGTGTGCGTTCAGATAAAGCTGCAGGTGCCGCGACCCCGTTTCCCATCGGCGGGCTGTGCAGGCTTGGCATGTCGGGTTACGTTAATGTGTAGGGTGATGTATTAGCTTCCCAAACAGAACCGGAGATCTGTAAATCTTTAAACCGCCTCCTGCACTCCCAGACAGTTTTTCTTTTTCAATTATTTTCTTAATGCCAAACGAAAAAGTGAGCTGGTTTGCATGCTTGTGTGGCTTCGAGGCATGCCCAAAGACACAGCGTTAGCAGACCACGGTTACTTTGCTAAGAGGCTCCGGTGTGGTGTAGAATGAGTAGAGACAATTCTTGAAATCCCGAGACTTTAACTAATTCTGACATTTGATTTTGCGTAATGTCGTGAGATGAAAGAGATTTCCATTCGATACTGTAGCAGGGAGAAGTGCACCACCTTGTGTCAGAGAGCAGTCCTGGCAAGTTATGTCACAGAACGAAGTCTAGCCGAGTCTCGTGAACCATTCTACCGGGGGAGATTTTTGGCCAACTCCAAGAATTAGTGTTTGGCTTCACGTGGGAGCAAACCTGGAGAACCCGGAGAAAACCCACCACTCGTAAGAGGGGGTGACACTCACTACTGCCTACCGAAAAAACTAAGAATACGTGGCAAGCTGTAGAAGCGCTAACCAGATTCAAACCTGCTGGGCTTGCGATATTTGCCGAGATCGGCGCGTTCACGGTGCTTTGGCGCTGTGAATTAGTCCACCCCACAACACAGCCGCAGCATCGCCTCACCTCTGTAGTAGGCCTTTGTGATGGCGTCAAACTCCTCCTGCCCGGCAGTGTCCCACAGCATCAACCTCACGTCCTGCCCCTTCATCCTGCGCAGCAGCAGCAACAGGAGCAGCAGAATCAGACAAATCAGCAGCAAAAGCAGCAGCCGAATCGACCAGCATCAGCAGCAGAATCAGCAACAGTAGCAGAGTCAGCAGCTACAGAATCAGCAGCAGAATCAGCAACAACAGCTGGAAACTGTTGGGCATTCGATGACGGGCAGGCCGGGCGAGTGCTGCGCACTCCGTCTGGCTCAAGCTGTGCCCGTCGCCGCAGAGACGGCTCGAGAACGCCGCTGCCTGTTACCAGCGCTGCCCTCTTCCCGAGAAGTTCCACTGAGATCGCCCCCCACCCTGTGAGTCGATGGAGGATGGAACCCCAAAACGAATCGGCTCTTGCAGATAAAGAAAATTCAACAGTCGTCAGAAAAAGACGTAATAGGAGACGTTTCAGGCAATGGCCCTTCTTCATGTGCTACGAAGAAGGGCCATTGCCCAGAACAGTTGTCTGTTCATTTCTTATTTGTGCCTGTGCACCACTGCCAATGCGGTATCCCCAAATGCTGTTCGATTTGGTGGATACAGGGTTCACACTGTATGGTCCGAGCTGTCCGATAAGAACAGAATGTAAAGTGCTGGAGTAATAATAATAGTTAATTTTTTTTTCAAATTAAATGAAGCATAAACACCTTCACCGCCGCTTTGATTCGGAAACCATTGGTCACCAATGAACTGGTGCCGCAGTGGCGAGATCTTATCTCCCTCGCCTGGTATGCAGGTCGTGGGTTCGATTCCAACCCTGATAACTGTATACTTGGAGTCTGCATGTTCTCCCAATGGTCGTGTGGATTCTTCTCCAAGTCCTCCGGTTTTTCTCCTCCGCATTTAGAATCAACACGTGTTGCTATACATTCCCACATGACAAGCCACTTCTTTGAGCTATCGTTTGTGGCCAGGTCGCGTCTGAAAGAGAGCTATAGTGGTCAGTGGGCCTTACCTAATATTAATAACATAAATAGTTGAATAGCTAATAGTTGAATTGCCGAAGCCAAACTCAGAGGTGTATTTATGATCCTTGGGATTAAGTGAAAGTACCCCAAGACTCAGAGCCAAACCGAAACAACTGAGAATCCAAGTAGAAAAAACACACCAAACAGTCTCTCTTGGCCAACTCGTTTTATCGCATTAGGGCTCGCTGCAAACGATCGTTGAGTGCGCATAAGGAAGGGGGAGCTTGGTCAGGCACTGACGATAAATCACGTTTCAATAAATCAGCCCCTGCCTGGGCCTCGTTCCAACCCCTTGCTGTGACTCTACGCAACTATGGCCATTCAGTGCAGCAGGTGCAGATTAGAATAATAATTATCTGAACAATGGCTTCCAAAAGAAGTCGAAAAACAGAAAAGGCGTTATTAAAGCACAGACTCCAGGCATATAAAAGACCAGGGCTGTGATCTTTGAACAAACTCTGAAAATTCATTAACGACGGGGTTCACGGTGTTCCAAGACCCTCATATCACATGCTGTTCTTTGGCACATATAGGCACGAAACGCATTACCTGCCGTGGCCGTGCTAACTGGTGTGCCTCGACTGTGCGGCACAGGCTATCGGCACCAATACATGCGTACTCATTTATTGCGATTCCATCAGCGTGTGTCAGTGCTGCAGGGATATTTCCCTTAGGAGTTCACCACACACAGAATTTCAAATTTTAGAAGCTAAATATAACAGATTTTTGTTGTTGCTTTATTGAAAGTTGCTGGCACGAGCTCAGGGCCTACTGTGGACCTTATCAGCGTCAGCGACGCAGACACGAAAGTGGAGAGCGATTGTCGCAAGACTTAAAGTGACTGTGAGTTGGGGAAGACGAGGGGAGGGGGGGGGGAGAGTCCCAGAGTTCAGCGGTGGCTGCGGGGGGGGGGGCTGTATCGCGGTGAGGCAGAGTGCGGCGCGTGGCAAGGAAGCACAATTTTCACGCTGAGATGACAAATGGGCAGACTGACGCGAGACATTTTAGAAAAGTATTGACCGGCAGGGAGGAGGTAAAAATGTCAGCAAATATGTGAAATTGATTCTCTGTGGGTGATAGAGGGTGGCTTTTGGTGGCATAAGGAGTAACTGTGCGAGATGCAGAGTATGTGGTTGAGATAATATAGGGAATGAGATGCAGAGTATGTGACCGACTAGGAAGGCAGATAGGGAGGCTTTGGTGGAAACTAAATTGTCACATATCAGAGTAATGAGCCATCACCACTGAGGCGCTCTCTGGGTTTCCCCAGCGCTGCCGGAGGCGCTTACTGAATGAGCCTCTCGAGGAAGTCCACCCCGATGGTTTTCTTGTACTCGGAGGTGAAGACGCCCTTGCAGTAGCGCTGGATCATGCTGGACTTCCCCACGCCGCCGTTCCCCACCACCACTACCTTTATGGCCACTTCAATGTCTTCCTCCATCATGACTCCGGCGGCCCCACGCCTGGCGCCCACCACACAGGCGCCCTGGCTGCCCCCGCAGAGGCGTTGGAGGAGGAGAGAGCGCGGATGCAGCGTCTGTGGTGAACGACGCAGAGAGGCGGACAGGTGAGTCACACGTGCAGTCACCCGACACATCAGTCACCCCACATGCCTGCCATCGGTTTGCATTCATTCTGTATGGTAGGGATCGGTGGACATGAAGACAAACAGGCTGACAACTGGAGAGACAGAAAACTAGACAGGCAGACTGACAGGCAGACAGAAAGACAAATGGAAAGACAGGCAGGAAAGCAGAGGAGCAAATAGGGAGATAGCAATGTTTTCCAAGCGAAATTGAAAGGACTGCTGGACGGCTAGGTCACACACCCACCAGATGCCACGTGTGCGCACACACACAGAAAAGGATATCCTGGCAAACCTAATGGACCTTAATAGCAAGCGCTGTTAGTGCGCACCTGTTAAGGCCCGCATCCCGCAGGAACAGGTGGTGTCGCAAGTACCACATCTGGCCACCATTGTCTCAAATCTGGCATTGTTTGCAACGTACTTAAGGTTTAGTTGACTGAGGGAAGGTTCAACACAGTTTCAGTTGCAGCTTGTAACTGATTTGCAAGCGTTGGCAAGAATTGAACCCAAGTTACGGGGGCGTAGTGCAGCGCAGAGACCATTGCAACATCATTCCCTAGACACGCGCAAGCACACGCGCGCGCGCACGCACACAAAAACCCCAACAACCAGGAATCACCACTAAGTGGTGGGGACATCACCATGGCTCCTGCGTCAGGATTGATTCGGTCTCCATGTACACACGTACGCTCACGTCAGACTAATACAGTGACGCATCTGAAGAGGCTTCCTTAAAATAACAACGCTGGTATTCTCAAAAACACATGACAACGTTCTGACATGGCAAGTAAGACACGGGAGATTGATAGCCCAGAATTACAGACCTATCTGTACGGATTGCTTTGAGTGTCCGCCCCTCTTATTTGTGGGTTTCCTCCGATACACGAAGAGGAGTCTTGAGACTGAGGATTTCCTGGGTAAATTACATATTAGCTCAGAGGTCACATCATGGTTTTATCAAAGCACTAAGACATCAAACGTTGGCATCTTTTGCAGTGTAACACTCACAACTAAGAAGGCCTGGGTTCGATTCTCGACTACGGTGACTTTTCGTGTGGCATTTGTGTGTTCTCCCTCTGTTCTGCATGGGTTTCCTCCGGATTCTCCAGTTTCCTCAAATAGCCCAAACAAATACACGCACAGTGTAACCAGTATTTGACAAATAAACCAGCGCTGCAAATTACTCAATGGGGATTTTGCACAGCAACATCGTTCCCATCACTGGGAAAACTTGGTAGGACCCTCATGACAAAAGGTCCTTGATTCTCAGTGGGACTTTCCTTGGTAAACATGCATAATAATAATAATATGTATAATAAAATCTGGCTTTCAGCCACCAATGAATACACTTTGTTCTCAAATCTGGTGAATTTATTATCTTAGCCTGCTGTCCAATGACGACCGCCACCATAGATAATGTACCGAGTTAATTTGGCTTATTCCAACTGAGGATTACACGTACAGCTTTTTTCAGTTTCATTGCCAAAGGACTGACACGCTTTGAAGGGCGTAAGGGTGCACCACCACCTAGCGTGGATAAGAGGCCGATTGAAGAGACATCAAAAGTGACCGCGACGTCATCTTCTGTGGCCGATCACCACCCAAGAGGCCATGCCAGTCAGCTCAACGCGAACTCCGAAAAATAAGCTGCCGAGATGAGATGTCATCACGTCTCACGGCATTTCATAACATCTGTCATCGGTGTGGGGATGGGAAAGAAAGCAAAGCAAGTATCTGATACTGTTTGCATGGTGTAAATACACTAGATTCTCGATTATCCACGTGTGTTTTATACAATTTTGCGGATTAACTGTGCACCTGATATTTTGACATAAATTAATAACTCGTGGATTTTCCCTTAAGCCCAAATTCATAACCTAAAAACAGTTACACATTGTTATTCTTGGAAATATTTATTACAAGTCACATGCTTAAACCGAACAAATGTGCTCCAGTTAATCAGAAACCCACGGAGTCACCTCTACAGTACAGTAGTTGCAATATCTTTACAACAGTAGGCAGAAAGAGTCCAGGTCTGGTTCCGATATAACTTGCTATGGCCAGACAATTAGCTCAGCTCACGGATACCGTTGTTTGGGTTGGATCGCGTGCATGCAAGTGTGTCATACAGCCACCTCTCCACCCGACAGCCAATCCGTAAGGTTTGTCACGTAAACAGGAAGATGCCAATTAGTTACTACTTCAGCACACCAGCGTGTGTGTTGGAGAGCAAACTCACAACATTTCAAATTTGAGCGATGACGTTTTGCTGCCGATTACAACCAGCATCATCGGGCAATTGGCAAAAGTGTGGAGGTGGGTGTAGAACACATTGACATTTATGCAATCCTACCAAAAAAAACGTTGTCATGACTAACATCAGTTCACGAACGCGTTACAAATCAGCTGAGTTCATAGCATACCTGGTGTCAACCCACACGGTTTACCCCGTATTCTTGTACAGGGAAATTGAGTTTTCAGGTCCATACGACGTACAGCCGTTTCAATACGGGCAAAAAATATTTAGTTTAACACGTAGCAGGCTTTCGCGACCAATATTATTCATAATAAAGGTTTTTGGGTTAGATCGCGTTATTTATAAATGTGTCGTAACCCTCCACCATGTAAATGATGTTTATTCACTCTTCAACACACCGGTGGGCTAAAGTAGTGAACTATTTGTCTTATGTAAACGTGACACATTTTTTTACTCTTTGGCCGTGTCGGGTGGTGGGGTGTTACGACACGTTTATAAATAACGCGATCTAAACCAAAAACCTTTATTATGAAACATTTTTTGTCTATATGATTGTGTCTCTTCCTTGTGATGGGACTTTGTGGGATGAACGTTGAGATGTTATGAGGGCATGGAGTGACCAATAAGGTCTGAATTGGTCTGTCATAAGGTAGGCACTGATAAGGGGTTGACAGGTATGTCATAGTGCAGTGTACCGATTAAAGCGTCACCACTCCCCCACTCTGCCAATGTCACCTGGAGCAGCAGCGGAGGAGAAACCTCTCACTAAAGCAGCAGCAGAGAAGGAGAGACCTCCCACTAAGCAATGATCAAATGGGGGAAATTGGATGGGAGGCGTTGGTTGCTGAAACGGAGGGCATTGGGAGAGCAGTGGAGTGTGCATGAGAGAGGCCCCCCCACTGTGGTGAAACGACGGTGTCAAATCCCACAGTGCCCTGTTGTCTGGGTCACTCGGTCCTCCCTCTCTGAAGTCCCTCTCCGATAACATCGCAGAGCCACGCATGGAATGTCTCGCCGCTGGATTATGAAAACGCTGTGCCCTGCCGCAACGTCCTGTGCCCGCCACCAGCCACGGTCATTTGTTTATGATTGCACGCTTAGGGGGGCGCATTCATGTTATTGCAATTAAAACGTTTGTTTACTTATTCACACGTGTTCATTGCATGAATGCAATCTGTATAAGTTACAGATTTAATGTGCGTATATGTCATAACTGGGTTACTATGTACGAGTCAACGGACACTATAGATACACCCTTGAAAACGATATGTTCCAGATTAAATATTTTAAATACGCAAACAAAAACAAATACAATTCTGGAACCAGTTCCACCTTCACTAATTGTTTGTGGGGGAGGGAGCCAGAGTGCCTGAAGAAGGCCCATGCATACAAAGAAATAATTCTCAAAAGTCCACGCAGATAGGTTAGCAGCCTACTTGCTGTACTGACATCTAGTGGCCACCTCGTAGACCAGCATATGGATGTCGCACCTGCATCAACCACCAAATGCGTCTCCTAAGCACCAGGTTTTGCAGGCGTTTGCCACCACCTGCAGCAATGATAACTCGTAATCACTCCTCTCCCGTGTCTTTTCACGTTGAACCGAGTGTCGCTCGGCGCGATGTCCGACGTTAAGTTCCACGTGCAGCACAACTGCGAAAGCTCGCGCAGTGGTGATAATAATGTAGTTAGTTCAACTGAGTCGCAGACGTAGACTTGGAGGCAACACATTTATTTAACACCAACACACGGGGTAACTGTCCCTTAACAGAATAACAATCTATGGTAGTGACCACCAGGCTAACTACACTACAGGCCGGGACCACAGCTTGGGTCCAGGTGCACGTGTTGGAGACTCGGAGAACGTAGGACGGAGACGAAGGTTTCTTCAGAATGAACAACAACGCCGGTCCCTCTGGGGGGATCCGACTTATATCCTCTGTGGTGTGGCTGGCTCCACCCTTGGCCACGACCACCTTCCAGAATTCTCGAGCAGGATCTGGACCCCGACCACGTGACCACCCCTAGCCCCCACTTGGGGCCCCTTTGTAAACTTAACCGGTCACGTGTCCTCTCGGGTCAACCAGAGTGCCATGGCCTTTAGTAACCCCTTTCCTACGGCCGGCACTTCAACAATCTGTCCTGTAGAGGCCGGCACTGCACGCCAAGCGTGGTGCCACCCAGCGCTATCACGCAGCACTCACCGAGCCCCTCTAGGGTCGGTACTACACCCACACCATCGTGGTATCTGCGATGTCGTTACATCACATGCCATGCCTCTCTAGGGCCGGCACTACACAGTGACATCCCGCGATGTCACTACAATGAACACATTCCTGCGGAGGGAGCTGGTAGGAACGTTGGGTTGCTCGGTCAATGGCCAGGATCAACGGCGGCGTGGTGTATTCCGCAAATATGCCCGACTGAGGGTGGGCACAAGCCGGCATGAGTAGGTTAAACGTTGAGTTTTATAAGGGCACCACGGGGTGACCAGCCCCTCACCACCCAGCCCCATCCCTCCCTCCCCCCCACCCAACCCCACCCTCCCCACCCAGCCCCTCCCCACCCTCCCCACCCAGCCCCTCCCCACCCTCCCCTCCCAGCCCCTCCCCACTCTCCCCTCCCCACCCAGCCCCACCCTCCCCACCCAGGCCCTCCCAGCCCCACCCCTCCCATTTTTGGATGCACGACG